TAACTACAAATGTAGGAATATTTGCTCTATCCTAAATGGTACTGGTATTGCCTTCTTACTTTTCCATTTCATAGACATTTTAACTAGATGTCTGTTAACCATGAGATTTGGAATTATTCAGTATTTAAAATCAGGCATCTTTTAGGAAGTATGTCAGAGCTGGAATCTTGTATATGCTTCTTTTTAGTTATGTGTACTTCAGAAATTTGTTATTTAAATATTAACTTCTCTAAGGTGTAGTTAGTACTACTTACTTTAAAATGTAGTCGGGAAAATAGAGTAGCATAAAAATGTATGCAGCCATGTCTTGCACAAAGCTCTCAAAGCATAGCTAAAAAATAATAAAGTCTAACAATTAAACAATATATCAAAATCTTACTGATTGGTATACCATATAATTCAGTGTGACAAACATTTGAGTCTTATAAAAAATGTTTTAGGGTCAGACCTCGGTTAAAAACAGTGGCATTCTTTCTGTAGACACAGTGGCATTCATTGTACATCCTCCACATCAAAGCTGTAATTATTACCTCTACAAGACTATTAGTAGAATATTAATCTAACAAAGGGACTAAATGCAACAACTGAGCTTCAGATAATTGTGTCAGCTTTAGTGAGAGCAGGTGAGATGAGGCTACATGGGTAGGTCACACCAAATGCATCATACAGGACCTTATAGAAGTTCATAGAAGTTTAGTGTAAGTTCAATAAGAAATCACTGAAGGATTCTGAATAAAGAACTAACCTAATTTATGTTGTCAAATAATGACCTCTTAAATTATATAGACTGTTGGGGAATATTATGTTAAGGTGTGTTATTTTCGTTTATGTTGCATTTGTTTAACTCTGCAAAGCTGTGTTACTGTGTCTATCTAAAACACCTAATGGTCTAATAAAGAGCTGAACAGCCAATAGCAAGGCAGGAGAGAGAAATAGGCATATCAGCTGGATAGAGAGAATAAATATGAGTAAAAGTGTGGGAGAAGAGGATCTGAGGATTAGGGGATGAGAGAGAGCAAGAAGAGGACATGAGGTGCCAGTCACCCAGCCAGCCATGGAGAAAGAGTGAAAGTATACTGAAGTAAGCAATGGAAAAGGCCCAGAGGCAAAAGGTAGTCTGGATAATTTAAGAAAAACTGGCAAGAAGCAAGCCAAGGCTGGGCATGGGTAATAATAATACTCCGTATGTGATTGTTTTGTGGGGAGCTGGGTGGTGGGCCCCCCAAAAGAGTCCAAAAGACTAAAGAGCCAAAAGAGTAAAACATCACACTGCAATAAACAATGATCTAGAGGACAGCTGACAAAGTAGGAGGCTAGGAAAGTAGTTCAGTAAGTAATGTTGCGGGTCAAGACATCAGCAGTTAAGATTTACAAAAGCAAATAGAAGGGAGACGTGTTTGCAGGTGGTACTGATATTAGCAATTATGTATAGGGAAGAGAAAACTGCAAGATTTCTGTCAAGTAATTACATGCTGTACAACATAGTGCAATGGGAAGTATAGGTAGAAAGAGACATAAGTACAGAAAGAGGTATAGAAAGAGAATGAAGCCTGGGGCTGAGGGGATGGCTCAGTAGGGAAAGTTCTTGTGGTGCAAGCGTGAGGACCAGAGTTCAGATCCCCAGCAGCATGTTAAGGTTAGGTGGGAGTGGCAACCTGACACTTAAGAAGACAGAGACAGGAATCCTCAGAGCAAGCTGGATAGCTAGACTAGTCAAATCAGTAAGCTCTGGATTCCAGTGAGAGACCCTGCCTTGATGTGTAAGGTAAAGAGTAGTTTAGTCTGAGGAGTGGATAGAGAAAATGTACATTTACACAACAGAGTACTATTCCTATTCAGCAGGAGAAAAAAATGGAATCCTGGAATTTGCAGGCAAATGGATGGCAGTAGAAGAAACCATTCTGAGTGGGGTAACCCAGTCACAAAAAGACAAACATGTATGTACTCACTCATATATGGATTTTAGACATAGATTTGGGGAGTGACAGCCTACAATCCCACGGCCAGAGAGTTTGGAGAACATAACCTTCATCCAATGGCTGATGGAAGCAGAGGCAGACTCCCACAGCTAAACACTGGGCTGAACTCAAGGAACCCAGTGACAGAGAGGGAGGACTGATGAGCAAAGGGGTTAAGACTGGGCTGGTTTAACCCCCGGAAACAGCTGGCCTGACAAGGGTTAACTCTTGAATCCCAGATTGATACCTGGGAATCCAGCATGGGACTGATCAAGACCCCCTGAATGTGGGTGTCAGTGAGGAGGCCTAGGCAATCTATTGGGCCTTGGGTAGTAGATCAATATTTATCCCTGGCATACAAATGGACTTTAGTTGCCCATCCCACAATGAGAGATACACTCTCACCCTGGACTCTTGGGGGAGGGTCTAGGCTCTGCCCTGGATGAAATGACAGACTATGGACACCCCCATGGAGGGCCTCACCCTCCCTGGGGAAATGAGAGGGTATTGGGGGGGTTGGTGGGAGGGAGTGGGAGGAGAATAGGGAAAGGGAGAGGGACCTGGGATTGACATGTGAAGCAACCTTGTTTCTAATTTAAATTTAAAAATAAAAATAGAGTAGTTGAGGAAGGCATTCGACAATCAACCTCTGGCCTCCAAATGCACCTGCACATGAGTTTTCCCACGCAGGCGTGAACAGGCATACACACATGCAAAAAGCAAAGCTTCCACTGAGAGAGAGAGAGAGAGAGAGAGAGAGAGAGAGAGAGAGAGAGAGAGAGAGAGAGAGAGAGAGAGAACTGGGTAATCGCATATAGAACCCTAGAGCTCAAAAGGAAATTTGGAACAAGAACAAAAGAACAAACAAGATTTTGATGTCAACTAAAGTTGTGTAGTAGAAGCCTTTTTACTTCAATCTAGCTACACTCTGATCGAATTAGTGGTACCACCGAGAATTGTTTTAGTAGCCTGGTATGGGTGGAAGTCAAACTGGAAGATCTAACAAAAGAGGAATAAGGATGAGGGAAAGCGTACACTCAACAACAAGTGGCTACAGAACAAGGTGGGTATTTTGAAAGTGGCATTTCAGACACGTGATCCCACAGCATGTTTTAACTCCCACTGACAGCTAGAGTGAGACACGACAATCACCAGTAAGGCTTAAGGTCAGTAAGGAATGGTGAAGCTCCAAGTCACATGTTGGAAGATGGATAGGAGAGTCACTGAAATAGATAACGCGGGTCAGGATGGTGCAGACACAGACATGCTTGCAGATTTAGTGAGAAAGCAACAAAGAAATTACAGTCTCATGAAATCCAATCTGGACGACAGACAAGGATGTCTTCTCATGGCGGTGTGCTATCAGAGGATGGATCAATAAAGGCCGAAAGGAATGGCGTTGGTGAGACAAGTATGGGTTTGCAATGGACTAGAGTTGTTCACGGGACTTGGGGAGACGCCATGACCACCGCAACTCTTACAAAGAAATCATTTAATTGGGGTGACTTGCTTACACTTTCAGGGGTTCAGTCTGTATCATCATGGCAGGGATCATGGCCTCTTTGAAGGCAGACATGGTACGAAGGAGTAGCTGAGGGTCCTCCATCTTGCAGGCAACAAGGGTCAACTGAGACACATGGTGGTATCCTGAGCATAGAGAACCTCAAAGTCTGCCCCCACAGTGACATGCTTCCTCCAACAAGACCATAACCACTCCAGCAAAGCCACACTGACTAACAGTGCCACTCCTTATGAGATTATGGGGGCCAAATACATCCCAACTACCACATTAGGAGTTTCAGTGATTCAAACCTCCAGGAAAGTCTCAGCGAAATGGTGAAGGCTGCTAATTTCAGAATCAGAACAAGATGAAGGTGGTAGAAGATGGTCATCATATACAGTAGGAGGGTCAGAATCTACTAGTACAAATAATACAATTGCTAGTTGAATGCTCAGTTAGTGGTAAAAACAACTGTATGTTGATTGAGACTGAAAATAGATCACAGGTGGAGAAGTCCCCAGGCTTTCTCAGTTTGCCTACATGAAGTGTCACCACGATTTTTTTCACTGTACTCTTTAGCAGTTGTCTCGGCTACCTGTCTGTTTTACAGTACCAATGTACCTAGGGTAGGACTCTCCGTTCATGCAATATGCACTAAAGAAAACCATAAACTGAATTAAATTGGCCTGTAAGTTGTAAGAATTTAATAATGCACGGGAAGCCCCCACCAAGTGCTGGATAAACAGTAACTTAACACAGGTTTCTACTACACTTTTGTAGGAAAGATTCTGACTTGTACACACTCAGATGGCAATACGTATTGGTGCGTGAAAAGTTCAGAATTTTTAGACATTTTTAGAAATAGAAAGGAGGTGCAGAATTATCTCTGCTAAAGGCAAGTTTCCTCTACTCTTTCAGAATTATGCCTACCAGAGGCAAGCCCCTCTACTGTTTGAAGATTTTATTTTGATTCCTAAATGGTGTCCTCTGAGATGCAGAACGTGTCTTCGTGTATAAGTGTCGAGAGAGCGAAAGAATGGGTTGAGGAGAGGGATTAGGAGAAAGAGAGTGCAAAAACTCAAGCAAGCCACTGTACAAGAGAGCTTTGAAAAGCTGGATGCCAGCGGAACCAGAGCTGCTGGGCAAGTGCAGCTCTCCCTGGGAAGCTCGATGTTGTGTATTTTCAAATGCTTGTCCACGAGGTGGCGGACCTGTCATCTCCTAACACTAGAATTATTTCTACCGGGTTCGTGAGTCTCTTAGAACACCCACACGTGGCTTGTTACGTGAAGGAAATACAACCTCGTAAATCGTTTTTTAAACGTTCAATCTAGAAAAGAGCGTTCAAATGCGAAGTGTGACAACGACTGGAAAAAGAGGAGCAGCCCTCAGTCGTAGGAGCAGCACTGGGGGTTGAAACTACAACTCCCAGGAAGCTGTGCGCTGGCTCCCGATTGTGCGCTTGCGTTCTGTCGTCCGCGTTAGGCTCACTGCGCCCGGGGTTTTTATGGAGCGAAGGGAAAGCGGGACGAGCACGCTGCTGCAGTGCTCACGTCCCTTTCCGGCCGTGGCACCCTACGAAACCTGGGTATTCCATTTTTAACCTGCAAAGTCACCGGGAGACTGACAGCTTGTCTGGCTGCTGCCGTGTGTCACGTGGCCGGCAGTGTCACGTGACTCCCTATGTTGCCTTGACAACAGCTGGCCTGCCGGGACTTTCCGGGAAAGCGCGGGCTCCCGGTTGCAGGTAGGTGAGGTGCTGTTGCTGCCTGCTACTCTGTCGGTGTTTCCAGGTTGTATCCCAGGCCGGGTCCCCAGACTTGTATTTGCGCATTACTCCGCTGCTCTGTCCGGACTCCAAGTCGGATCGTGTTTGCTTCGCGCCAGCCCCCCAAATCTGCGCTCCTTGCAACCTGGACACCACCGGACTGAGGGCCCTTTCGTGGGGTCCGCCTCAGACCAAGCTTCTCGTGCAACACCTTATCCTGACCCTGGGCCCTTTTGGTCAAAAATACAAATAACGGCATTAGATGTTGCCCTGCAGGTTGGAGGGGATATTAGAGACTCGAGTCCTCCGCTCCTGTCCCTTAGAAAAACCAACCAGGGTTTGTGCTGCTCCAGGGAGTTAAATCTGAAAGTTAGGACAGATCTGAATGAAGATGGGCTCACCGAAGGGACAGAGTTGAGCTTGGAGCTGCAACTTGGGTATATCACACTCAATATGTTCAGGTCATTGTGTTGGCCTGCCTTTGCTTCAAAAGAAACAATTCATGAGTAGCACATATCAGTAACTTTCACGGGAGTTTGTGCTTATTTGGGATGTTTTAAGACAGGGTAGCACCGTGTAGCTCAGACTAACCTGGAACTCCGGCTGTAACCCAGGCTGGCCTCCAACTAGAGAGCCTTCTGTTTCCTTATTGTAGGGATTTCAGGTATGCACCACTGAATTCTCTATTGCCTTCTGAGGGTTATAAATCCACTTTGTTAATGTCTGGAAACATCCCTGCTTGCAGTAAATCTATTTTGCAAAACCATTAATCTGAAAATAACTGACTTAATCAAGCTTTACAAGAAAAAAGTGCTCTCTCCACTTCCTGCTTTTTGTTTGTTTGTTTTGTTTTTGTCAACATTCTCTGAGGACCTGGTTTCTCAGAGCTATTCGCAGAGACAAATACATAGACAGTGAAAAACATCTTGGCGCCCACCTCTTGACAATTGGATGAAATATAATTATGGGCCAAACAAGCTACTTTCTCGAGTCAGTTTGCTTCAATGAATTAGAACTCCATTAGCATATTTTAATTGCGATTTTATACTGTCTTGATGAGAGACGTTTAGGTAGTGTTGTCTTAATGATGATTTCCTCAAGAGGTGATTTTATTTTTTTCTTCTGTTTTCATCATTTAGTGTTTCCAGTGCCTTAAAGACTTTTAGGATGCCTTCTTTGTGAAGTGAAAATTACTAACTATGGCTCACTGTTCCAAAGAAGAGCTCGATGAAGAATTTGAACAATTTATGAAGGAGGTAAGTTTAAGCCTTCCAAAGCTTTATTGTAAAGTTGTCTTTTAAGTCCCATCCTTAAGTGCTTTCATCTGAAACGCAACCACCCCACCAGCAAGCACATTCCTTCGACTCCCACCTACAGAAGATACCCAGCAGCCCTTGGTTCCGTGTCATTTCAAATGCTGGCACCTGTGAGCTCAGTACCATCATCGCAGCTAGTCTGCCCCAGCAGTTCCCAACGAAGACAACATTCCATCCTTTCGTGGTACATGTGGCATGCATGTGCAGGCACATACACACACACACACACACACACACACACACACACACACACACAGAAAATCATGGTTTTTCAGCATGCTAACTCCCTTGATCATCATGATAAATTGTTGAACAAACATGTTGCATAAAGATGTGATGCTTCAATATCTGATTTTAGGAGAGTAGTTAAACCCAGTGTTTTAAAGTTCTTCAGTTATAATTCACAAACCATACAAGTCGCCCATTTAGAATGTGTATGACAACTGTTTTAGGATTACATAACCATTACCATAGTCAGTTATAGAATGCATTCATCACTTCTGAAAAGAAACCCTTTATCCTTTAACTGTTACTCTCAACTCCTTGTCCTTCCCCAGGCTTAGGCAGCCACTAATTGCTTTTTGTCCCCAAGTTGGCAGTTACAGATATTATAGAAATGGAACCATCTGGCTTCTTTTACTTGGTGTAGTGTTTTCAAGGTTTATCTATGTTACAGCATGTCTTGGCATCATATCATTTTAGTGAGTAGGTTACCTTTCTGTGAATATACTGAATCTTGCTTATTAAGTTTTCAGTTGACAGACATTTGAGATCCTTCCGGCTTGGATAGTTGCGATGATGCCGCCATGAATGATCATGCAGCTTTGAGTGTGGATGTGTGTTAATTTCTTCTGAATATTTGCCTAGAAGTGAAATTGCTGTGTCACAAGCTGTCATTCCCACTAACTGCATATTCATTTATGAAGGGTCCAGTTTTCCTTGTCTTTCCTAAATACCAATACTATCTCAGGGCCAGGCCTTTTGTTTTGTTTTTGGTTTTTGTTTTTTTGTTTTGTTTTGTTTTTGGTGATAATAACCTGGGACAAAGTGTAGAAGATTTTAAGAGGCAGGGCCCCTCCAGTGTATTGGAAGGGTGGGTCCTCATCATTTGCCTTTCTGATCTTTGCCACAGCTCTGAATGGGCAATGGTTCTATTCCTGTTTGTAGACAGAGAAACAGGGGACAGAGGGCAAGAAATGGAATGTTTCAATGTGGTGGCAATGTTTAAAGACAAACTGAAAGGGGATAGAGATACCAGAAATTCAGATTGAAATAAAGCAGATTTTTTTCTTTTATCTTGCCCCTTTTCTACCTGGAAGACAGTGAATTCTTTTTAAGCATTTTAAAAATGGAAACTCCATCAAGTTGCTGAGATACCATTTCTGTTTGGCAGGTGAAAATATGTCATCTTGGAGGTTTAGATAGTCACTGTGATATCATCCTAATTGGATGGCTGTATGAAATAGTGAGAAGTAGAAGGATCTAGGTGGAGTCCTCAGTTAATTTGGTACCACTTGGTGTCACTCTTATCAGTTGTAATGGGGGCAGTGTTTCCCTCTGGGTTTCAGTTCCTCATCAGTAATCTCTGCAAGGTTGTTTAAAGATTAAATGCGATAAACCAGGTACAGACCCTGACACTGGGAAGGCATGGAATAAACATGATTTCTTCCTGTGGAGTTGGGGGAGATGGGTAGCAGAATAAGAATGAAAACAGATGAAGAACTTAGTGTAGGAGAAATCTCTCGTTGAAGGAGTGGGCTCAGGAGTCGCTACCTGTCAACTGGCTGTGTGTGAGACCACAAAAGTAAAGAGGAGCCGAGTAGAAGGATGCTCCTCAATTCATAGGAAGAGCGGTCCAGGAGGCATCAGTTTCCATAATGTGGTCAGCGGTGGACTGATTACATTTTCTTTTTGGCAGGCATTTTAAAAGCCTTCTAGCCCCGGAGGGAAACCGTTTGGGATGAAACCACATTTTATGGGACTGAGCAGTTAATTCAAGAATTGCTACTATGTAAAGGAAAAAAAGCTAGGTAGAGTACAAGAGAGTGGAGATGAGGAATTCATCCTGCATCCCCTAACCCAATATAAAGTAGACTCTAGTATTCCTCCCTTAATCCCACAGTTGCTCCAGGTCCTGTTTGCTAGGTACTGGAGATACGGTGCTATCAGGAAAGTGGGAGGAGAGGCAGCTAAGGCGGGTGATAGAGTTGAAGTGGGTTGCGAAGGAGGACCCTGCTGCAGGTTCTCGAAAGCAGACGAAAAGAATGGTGTCTCTGAAGTGGGGAGAAGGGCCTCCCTCACAGAATGAGAGCTTAGAGGCCAGATAAGGAGAAGGGTCATGTTTAGTTCTATGTTCTCAGAAGAGGGAGGCTACCTTATTGGCTAGATGTGCGCGAGTGGGACGGGGGTTAGAAAAAGAGATTCATAATTTTCATATAAATAATAACTAATGAGTAGAAAGGGACAGATACGTACATGTTGGTTAATATCTGGGGCAAAATATTAACTTCTGTGGGCACTTCCATCTCCACCTATTCAGTCTCTAGATTCTGGGTTCTAGAGTCATTATAGTAAGTTTGCTAAATTGTTCCTTGTTCTTAGACCCTAGAAAGTATCCAGAATATAGGATTTTATTCGTTGTTTTCTAAGCAAGGATGTTGATCATATTTTCCTATTTTGTTGTCATGCCTATTTTAGGGTTTCTATTGCTGTGAAGAGACACCATGACCACTGCAACTCTTATTAAGGAAAACATTTAATCGGGGCTGGCTTGTGGTTTTCAGAGTTTTAGTTTGTTGTCATTGTGGCAGGAAGTACGGTGCCATTCAGGCAGATGTGGTGCTGGAGAGGTAGCTGAGGCAGGAAGAGCGAGTGATACAGACCCTGGCTTGAGCATTTGAAATCTCAGAGCCCACCCCAGTGACACTTTCTTCCAACAAGACCACACCTCCTAGTAATACCACTCCCTGTAGGCCTGTGGGGGCCATTTCACTCAAACCACTGCGGTACCTTACTTGTCTAATTCTAGAGATGGAAGCAGTATTCAAAGACATGTGCTTGATTTTGAAGCTTGGCCACACGTGTCTGGAGATGGAATTTATACATTATATTCTTAGACTATTGTGACTATTGTTCATGTGACAATTGAACTGTGAGAGAACTAAAGGAAAAACATGTAGTTATATCTGGGATTTTATAATTTGAAATATATTTTAAAATTTATCAATTTATATCTAATTCAGCTTTCAGATGATTCTTTTGAAAGTTCAAACAAAACGTCTAAACAACCTAAGAAAGAAATGAAGAAGAAAGACACAATGCCTTGGTGGATAACTGAAGATGATTTTGATGATGGTAAAGTCTGCTGATTTTTTTTTGTTGTTTTAAGTCATTTGACCACAAGAGGTCAGTCAAGAGTTACTGCATTACTAAACTGTAAAGAAAACTGAAATTTGAGTTGATTTTCATATTATTCTACTTTGTTATACATTTTATATTGAGAATATTGTTTTACATTAATTTGCATTGAGATCATTTAAACTTAAGTATATTTGCATATTTACATGTCTTATATATGATGAAAGTAAATTTTAGGTGTCAAATAACACATGCATTTGTCTTCTCTTACACGTGCTTATACTTTCCCCAGGATGTTCCTAGTCACGTTTTACAAATGCAGTGTGACTCTCAGTGTTTACTGTAACTGGTGTGTGTCATTTGTAGGGCTGTCTACGACTTGAAGCAAGTCACACTGTATATGACGTAGCCGTCTGCTTATGCTGCTGCCACAGTGGTAAAGAACTGTGACTACGACTGTGTTCTCAGTCCTTGTAGGCCAGGGTTACTCACCGTTCTGCTGACTAATAGCATTTCTGCTTCTCCTGCCTAGGGGAAGATTTTACCTGTGACTTTTACTGTTGTCGTTATTGTTACATTCTTTTCATTTTTGCCCCACAACGTTGAGCCTGAATTCTCCCAAGTAATGGTTGAGGCTCTGATGGTGGCCCTCCTCTCATGTGGTCCAGCCGCACCCGGGTATCCTCTCGTGTGGTCCAGCCGCACCCGGGTATCCTCTCGTGTGGTCCAGCCGCACCCGGGTATCCTCTCGTGTGGTCCAGCCGCACCCGGGTATCCTCTTGTGTGGTCCAGCCGCACCCGGGTATCCTCTCATGTGGTCCAGCCGCACCCGGGTATTCTGATGGTGGCCCTCCTCTCGTGTGGTCCAGCCGCACCCGGGTATCCTCTCGTGTGGTCCAGCCGCACCCGGGTATCCTCTCGTGTGGTACTCTGCCTGCTAGGAACACACTTGCATCCAAGCCTCTGTGCCTTGCTCCCCTGCTCTCACTGGCCTTCCTCTCAACTCCCTTGTCCAGCAAGGCTCGTGTCACCACTTTACACAGTCCTGCAGTAACCCTGCCAGCTCCCTGTCACCAGGTGTCTTCTCTTGTGAGTTTGAACACCACGGGGCGCCTCCACACTGCCTGACACTCCTGGATTTGGGAGCTTTGTGTGGATGGGAAGCGCTTCTTTTCCTGTGTTAGCATAGATTTCACAGCACTCCTTAGTTTTTGTTGATGATGATGATGATGATGATGATGATGATGTTTGTTTGTTTTTAACTGCAATACATTAAAGGAATTTCTCAGTGAAAACTTAAGGTGATTTTTTTCATGAACTCCTCAAACCATGCAACAATTAAGTATACCTGTAAAGAATTCTTTTCTATACTCATTTTTCCCATTAGTGTTCAAAAAAGATATCATAAGATAAAAGTACTTTGGAGATTGTCGCCAAAGATTTGGAACTGAATTAGCATCGAAGCCAATCAGAACAGAAATGTGAAAATATTCCAAAAGGAAAGAATAGTTCCAGGAACAGAAACACTTGCCTGTAACAACTAAAATTAACAGTTGTTTTTAAGAAAGTGTCAGTTGCAGGTAATAAAAGAAGCAGTTAAAGCTATGTGAAACACAAGCCTTCAAACTCCACTAGCACACGAGAGTTCCGCTCCACTCCACCAGAGGGTAGCCTGCCCCATTCCCAGTCACAAGCATTTAGTGAGTTCACAGTACATGCTGCGTATCAGGCAGTACGGTACTTACAGGATGGGAGTCCTGCCACAGATCAAAGGAGCTTCTGAGACCTGTATCCCCATCCTAAGGAGAGGGATGCCAGTCTTGAGTAGCTACCACTAAACATTAAAACTGAGCAAATTCTCATGGATTATGGGTTTGTTTGTTTCAGTTGTCATAAAGCTAAAGGGTTCTGCCTAGTTAGTGAAACTGGAATTCTCTTGCTGGTCAGTAACTGAGTTATCTGTGAGTTTCTGTTGTTGGTCCGCGTCCCATCTATTGAGTTCAGCTTCAGAGCAGAGTGAGGAATTGCCACAGCAGCACCCCAGCTGTGGTTTGCACTCAGTCACCCAAGGGGTCTGGGATTGATCTTGACTTTGTACAACTGTATGGAAATTGCTGAGTGATCTGGAAAGACCATTATCCACATAAAGCCAGAAAAGAACTTGCTTCTGGAGCCCAAGGCTTTTTGTCAAGTTCATAGCTGAGGCTATGACACAAATCAATCATGAAATACGTTTAATGTCTCCATTATAATTTAGTTTCAGAGAAAATGGGACACTCAAAAATGTTGTTAGAGACTACAATAGCCTTGCCTCTCCAAAAAATATTACATATACCCTGGTGTGAAACTTCCCAGTGTTTGAGGAATGATGACTTCAGAGATGTTCTGGTGGTTTTTTTTAATGATATTTACAAGAAATTTGTCTAGCCCTTATATTTGTCCTTGAACCTACTCTCCCTGTCTTTTGAGTTTTGTGTGCTAGTTCATATTCTTCATAGTCTGTTTCAAACAGCAAACTTGTGTAAAGGAATCTTATGTAAACTTTTTAAACGTTCTTTTTAAAACAAAGGGTACTCTAATCAAACAGAATTACAGTTTTTCTTTTGTAAATTTTAGTTCTAGTTGTTTTATTTTTTATTTAATATGACAGATTTGTAGCCATTATATCCAAAAATAAATAAGACAGATTCTTTGTGTCAGCATAATGATCAGAACAGCTCCCTGAATATGGCTACATGAATATAAATGTGAATACCATCTCATAAAGACTTGTTCCTAGGGCTGCTCAGGACAAATGTGAGCTATCTGAAGACAAAGAAGACTTGCCAGCCCATTATGGACACAGAAGAGGAGTCTGCTGAAAAAGCTCAGTTTCTTAAGAGCAGTGGAACCTCCATCTTAAGTGTGGACAGCTTAGAAGCCAATGGTGAGAAGGGGGTGTGAGTCAGGAAGTCACGGTTGCTATTCTTGAGACTTTTGTAACAGTGAACCCAGCTAGCCTGCAGCTTCCATCCCAGGTGGTACAGACAGATGGTATGTCTCCCCAGAGAGTCAGAATCACAACCCCGAGACAGCATCCACCTTCCAGCCCTTTGTAGATCTGCTTGGTGGGTGGGGGTTCCTTTACACCATCAACAGAAGCATCGCTTAATTTTCTCCAAGTTGTACATGTTAACAGAATATGTTTCTCATTCATTTCTGTGTAGAACTAGTCGCTTCTGAGCTCCAGCATAGCACCCTGGGGTTGGGGTTGGACACACTAGAAGAACAAGAAGAGAAAGAGCAGTTCTTTGCCAGACTTGAACAAGGCTTGACATCTTCTATTGATTATTCCAAATTAAACCAAGAACTGGATTCTGATGACTCCACACAATTCAGAGCTTTACATAGGTAAATACAATGAAAAACATTAATGTTTTTAACTTTTCAATACTTCTGTATGTGCATCAATCCTAGTAGACAAACATGTAACAAATTCCATCCATTTTAAAAAAAAAAAAAGAAGCAAAGAGAAGTTTGGTTTGTGCCTTACCTCTGTATGGTGATTGTTGGTTATCAGAGACCTCATTTATCTAGAAATTCCAGTTGACTGAGCTGGCCACTCTCTCTAGAGCATAGTAGACCATTGCCATTCTCCAGTCTTTGTTAAGGTCTTAAATTTCCTTAATTTAGCTATCATGTAGCTGTTTTTCTTCTCATAAATGAAAATAGGTTGTGTTTTTATCTAGGATCTTAAGAACACAAAAGTAGGATGAGAGAGTTGGGAGACTCGTGCCATAGGTAACTAGAGCCGAGTCTCAGCAGATGAAGTAGTACCTGGACTGCCACGGGCTGTGGGGTTGAGACTATAGAGTACCTAACAAGCTTCCAGCATTTTAGATAGTGACAGTTAGCAAGAGTCTGCAGTCAGGAACAGTGGACTTTATTTCTCACAACTATACCAGCACCTGGTTTAAGGCCTTGTCCTAGTTACTTTTCTATTGCTAAGATGAAAAACCATGACCAAGGCAACTTAATAAAAGCAGGAGTTTATGTGGGCTTAATAGTTCAGAGGTTGCAAAGGCCTGGCAACAGGCAGCAGGACACCTAAAAGCTCACATCTAGATCTACAAGTACCAGGCAAGGAGAGCTAACTGCAGATGCTGGGTTTTTGAAAACTTAAAGACCACCCTACTGACACATCTTTTCCAACAAGCCACGCCTTTTCTAGTCCTTCCCAAACAGTTCAACCAACTGAGGAACAGGTGTTCATATATATGAACCTCGAGGGGCCATTATCATCCAAACCACTGCAGGCCCCTGTTCAGCCTCCATTCAGAGTTAAATTGCTTATTGGCATATAAATGCTAATCTCATTGTGTGGGGTTTTGTTATTGTTCTGGCTTTCCTGTAAAGTTTGCCTGGCTAATGGGATGATGTGTGTTCATATTAAAGTATGCACATAGGAAATTGTGTTTGTAGCTAAGAAAAATGGCATTTTATTTTGATTATTTGCACAGCCTCAAGTTAGTTTTGGACTTTAAGAATCTTTTGTTTTCAAAACATTTTCCTTCTATTACCCTAATTTTTAGATTTGGTAAAAATTTGGTGGAACAATGGTACTTGAGAGAATGTAATTTTAGGAAATTCGAAGCAAATAATGCAGCAGTGTTGCATGGATGCACATTAACCTGTGGTGTTGCATGTTAAATGTTTTCCCAGCTATCAGGCTAACACAGAACCCACTGAAGATGGACATGAGAATGAGCCAGAGCATGAGAGACTGCCAGGTAACTTCACTGAAAAGATAATTCAGCGTGTAGTACAGACATTGATAAAAACAGTCCTGAAAAGGTAAAACCACATTGTCTTAGAAAGTTCTGTGAGCAGCAGAGTGTATAGTAACTGTGACATTACCTCGGTGGCTAAGAACTTACTAAGAGGGAACTGCTGCCTCATATATTGAAGCTAATGGTAAAGTTTGTGTGAAAACGTTGGGGAATCCAAAGGCAAAACAAAGACCTCCAGTGTGTGGTCCAGGAAGCAGTACTTTTTCCCTTCTTTGATTCCTTTTGTTTTTTAAGATAAATCTTTCTTTACATTGCTGGGTGGCCTTGAAGTTACTCTGTAAAGCAGACTAGCCTTAAACTCACTATGTAAACCAGGCTGTCCTTAATCTTGGAGATCCTCCTGTCTTTGTCTTCCAAGTGCTGATATTAAAGGTGTGTATCTGTTTTTATATTGAAAGGGTTTGCTTTACTGGGCTGGGTTTTGCTTTTGTGACTAACAGGAAGGCTTCCTCTGGTGTGATGAGCATCTCCCCTTTACTAACGGTGTTTATGGGTGTGGTTGTGAACTGTTTGCTGTTTTAGTTTTTTGAGATGACAGTATTGCTACAGAGCTCAAAGCTGCCCTGAACTCAGATCAGTCCTCCTGCCTCAGCTTCCTGAGTCCTGGGATTTCACATCCAGCTTGTTGCCTATCTGTCGTTTATTGTTTTTGTTTTGCGTTCTCCTGGTTTACTCATAGAATTCTATTCCATTCCCTCTTTTGACTTTCTAGTTAAACCTTTTTATTGTACTTTTGTCTTAGTTGCTACAAACCATACATATTTTACATTATTAGAGAATATTCAAATAAAATTCTACTTTATATGCCTATTTTTAGGTAATTTTTTTTTGTTCTACTTGTCTTACAATAGTGGAATATGTTGTTACTGTTGTTGAGAATTTTTTTAAGAAATGTAAAGTGTATTTTTTAAATTTTTTATTATTTTTTTATCAAGCTATACATTTTTCTCTACTACCCTTTCCTCCTCCCCTCTCCCCTTCTACCTCTCCCCTGCCCCCCATGCTCCCAATTTACTCAGGAGATCTTGTCTTTTTCCCTTTCCTAGGCGAATCCATGTATGTCTCTCTTAGGGTCCTCTTTGTTAACTAGGTTCTCCAGGGTTGTGGTCTGTAGGCTGGTTATCCTTTGTTTTATGTCTAATATCCACTTATGAACGAATACATATTATATTTGTCTTTCTGGGTCTAGGTTATCTCACTCAGGATAGTTTTTCTGGTTCTATCCATTTGCCCAATTTCAAGATGTCATTTTTTTTTTTTACCGATTAATAGTACTCTATTGTGTAAATGTACATTTTCTTTATCCATTCTTCGGTTGAGGGGCATCTAGGTTACTTTCAGGTTCTGGCTCTTACAGATAATGCTGCTGTGAACATAGTTGGGCAAATGTCCTTGTGGCATGAGTGTACATCCTTTGAGTATATGCCCAAAAGTGGTGTTGCTGGGGTAAAGTCTATTCTTGTGAAGACTTGCATTGGTCCACCCTTGCTGTCAGTTCCTGTGCCCTACTCTTGTGTATGGATTTCAATTTGTACGTACACTGTTTTCTTCAGCATGAAGAACTCTCTTCAAACCATCTAGTTTAAATACTGTTAAGAACAAAGTCTCTTAGCTTTCGTTGTTGAAAAATATGCTTTACCTTCATTATTAAAAAAACAAAACATTTTAAATGAGGTGTGGTGGGTCACATCGAAGTTTAGGAAGCTGAGGCAGGAGGACTGAGAATTTAAAACCCTGTTAAAAAACAGAAATAACAGGAAGAGAAGGGACACTACTCTCTTGAACTAAGTTTTTTTTTTTTTTGTAATATTCCACAGTGATCACTGAGGGTCTTCCATTCACATAAGTTGGGGTTGAAAATTCTCCCTGCCTTTTGTCACCTGAGGGGGCTGTCCAAGCAATAGCAGTGTACACAACCTTCACATTAAGCATTTAGTATTTAATAATAACTAAGAAGCACCCTCATCCTCAGGGACCCACGCAGATTTCTTCTGGAAGTCTTTCTGCCTATCTATGCCCATGCCTCATTACTGCCCCACAACCTCTGCATGTCTTGACCTCTCAGAACTCTTCATTTTCTCAACTCGTTGAAAATGACCCACCTTCCCCCATCCTCCAAAAATGCATTCACCTTCAGTGATTATGGAGCTCATATCTCATTTGTTTATATTTCTTTGGAATTACATTTTTCCCTGCCAGTTATTTGGTGTCTAAAAACGGTCACTTTCCATATTTTGTGCGGGAGTCCAGCTCCAACAGGTCAGAGAAACTGGAGAGGAGAGGTGGAGTCAGCGGCTGTATAAACTCAGAGGAGACCTATCTGGGGAGGGAAATTTAATTCTTTTCTCATCTTCACTTTCTCTTAACTCTTGTATATTATCTAAGACAAAAATCTCTATGTAAGGATAAAATCACCTCACAACTGCAAGTTACATATTTTTGAAAAACAAATTAAAATCTTTACATAGCACATTATGATCACAAGTTACATATTTTTCTTAGAAGCCCACATGTAGTTAAACATTTTTTTGTATTAATTTTCCCACTGTAATACCTTTACTCCAAAATAATGATTATTTTATTATTGTTGATTAACAAGGCAAGTATATTTCGACCCGTTCCTTTGTACCTTTGTGTGTGGTTTCAGGTTAGCCGATTCCTAGCCGATTTCTACAATACAAAACTTTACTCAAGTGGTCTAGCTAACCATCTTCTTTTTTCCTTACACACACTGAGGTTATTTCATTTCCTTTCACAACTTTGTTTTTGCAAGGTGCACATCAAAATCTGTGATTAATTCTGTAAGATACATGACCATGGAACTCAGACATAACTTTGGGTGCAGGGACATAATTGTCTTCTTTGGTTATCAGCCTGTTTTTCCATGGGCAGAATTCATGTGTCTATAATGCATGAAACTTCCTTGTTTTCATTTTCCATCCTTAGCACATCTCACATCTCTAAGCATTATTGCTCTATAAAAAGCATGTTCATTATGATTTGCATGTAAATTGCCCATCGAAGAGTGGGAATTTTCCCATGAAGCAATCACACTAGACTAGATACAGTGGGATTCTTTCATGTAATAATCACACCAAATTCAGTAAGAACACGTTAGCAGCAAGCAGGAGAGGGCACAGCAGAAGCAAGGCATTCTGGAAACAACTCCCCAGGTCTTGGCCTCTTGTGGGTGGGCTGGTGTCCGCATCTAGCTGTGCTAATCAGGGAGCTGTAGTCCATAAATGCCATTGTTGACGGCAGCTCCTCTGACATTGCACTGCCAATTTTGTCTAATTGTTCACAATGGAATTTAAATTCAGTTCCTTCAATTTTAGCATGACAGAGGAGGTTTTCAGATTGCATTATACTCAAGAGTTTACAGATAAATTTGTCAATAAAGGATGGCAAATGAGCATTTAGACTTTAATTGTCTATGGTCTGCTTTATCTGAATTTTAATGAACATATTCTTGTTTTGAAAATTATAATTTTGTAGTTAAACATGGAGAATATTTTGAATGCGTAATATACTACAGGTCAGTGCTCTCAGTGTCACTGTGGTTGGCGAGACTGGGTACTGGCCCAGATGGTTCATTTTATGTCAGATTAATTCACTTAGATATTTCTGAAATCTCTGCCATGCTGTTTCCCTTCCCTGTTTCCTTTCATTTCTGTGTCACTTACTAGTGATGTTTCCTTCTTATTCCACACCAGCTCTATTCGTGACAGATCCCTAGGAAAGAGCCTGGTCATTCCTATGTTATATGGTAATATTTTCCTATAATTTGTTCAGTTACTAAATGAAAGCACTAAAGTGTAGTTTGGAATAATGTACATTAGCAATTTTCCCATTTTAGAAGGAGGGCCTGAGTGAATACTTGCTTGGCATGTCCAAGTTCATTTATGTACTGCAAAGAGAAAAAAGAAAAAAAAAGTGATGTGTGGCTTCATTAACTTCTAATGTAGATTAAGCAAAACTAGCTATAAAATTGCCAATCAGTACTATTACACATCATATTTGGCCCTTTGATTGTCGATACTATATATGAAGTACCCCTTAACTACTGTTTAGTTCTCAGATCTCAGTGTTCCTTGAGGTAAGTGCTGTGGTCATTTCTACAGGTAAGAAAAGTAAGACCAGGGGTTTTGTGATGGACCATCATTCTGAAGCTAGAAGTAGTGGGGTAAAGACCTAGGCCTTTTCCAGGTTATAGAGTTAAGCACTACTTCTACATACTATTTCTGTATACCCACACTGCAACCCTTTGCATTCTGAAAAACGGTTCCTGTCCTTTCACCCACTGATCTCAATCAGTCTCTTGACTGAAAAATAATAAGCAACTTAAAAATTGATGAAAGAGTGTTGGCCATATAACTCCTGCCCCACCTGCCCCATGAGTAGACTAATGAAATCAGTTAACTTGAAGATGCCTTTTTCTCCCACTGCAAAAACACTAAGATATATATAGTGTAGGAGCTTCACATCATGAATTGTCCACAAATGAAGAACAGCAGAAGTCATATAGAGCCAGTGTTTTAAGGGACATGTCAAAGTACAGAAAATAAAATAAAATAGGAGGAGGAAGAGGAGAAGAGGGAGAAGAAAGAAGCAGTAGCAGCAAAGGGAAGGGAAGGAGAGAGAGGGCAGAAGGGTAAAGGAAAGGGATAGGAGGGGAGGGGAGGGGAGGGGAGGAAAAGGAAAGGGAAAGATCCTGGGAGGTACCGCCATGCTAATACCTAAGGGGGTTGTTTGGAGATACCTTCTTTCTAAGCCAATAATCCTTTCTTGATATTTAACTTTGACAGTGTGATCCTTCTGTTTCTAACAATAATCTCCTTCAGAAACATACAGTGATGATTTTGAAGATGCAGAGGATGTTGATGCACTGTTGATAACTGAAGATGAAGAGACCCATCCCACAGAAAAATCTGAGTCAGGAAAAGCACTTGGACCCGCACAGGTATGTATCAGTTGTCCTTCAACAGTTCTGTGACTGCTTCTCTCCACTTGGCTGGCTGTCCATGTGAAGACTTGAGGTACAGAGGTCTCAACAGTTCTGTGACTGCTTCTCTCCGCTTGGCTGGCACTCCATGTGAAGACGAGGGACAGAGGTCTCAACAGTTCTGTGACTGCTTCTGTCCACTTGGCTGGCTATCCATGTGAAGACTTGAGGTACAGAGGTCTTCATGGCCTTGCTCATTGTTACCTTAAAGTCTCAGGGTGTCAGTGTAAATTAAACAATCATAATAGTGGATGCTTCTATGAAGGATGGCCTTTGCTGTATAATTTCCTTAAGGTAAGCTTTAGCAATTGAATACAATTAAATGTTGTTGCTACTTTTCAGTTGGGCTATGAACTGACATTGTTGTAAGACTTGACTTTGTAGAAGCAGTAAATAGCCGATCTCAGGGTTGCTAAGAGTGGCAGTGTTAGTATCTGGAACTCACGTGCTTACGATAAGGAATCACACTGCTGCATTCACATCCAGTCTGCTGCTCTCTGATCTGTCATCCCTCAGTTCTTCCCAGTGTGTGCTTAGGACTCCATTAAATAATGCCAGTACCTGTGTACTGTAATTTGTCATACAAGATTTGTAATAGTAGTTAATGGGATCATTACTATTTATTATTTTCATCTGGATCTGGACAGTTTTGAGGGGGGGACTGTTAGGGCAAGACGTTTTAAGCTTATATAAAACCATAGTTTCTCTAAATAGAAACAATTTGAGGTTATACATAAATGCATTGTTTTTTTTAATTTATATAATACATTAACTTGAGGAGAGAGAGAGAGAGAAAGTATGTCACTCGGACTGCAAGAAGCAAGATGATTTTTAAATTGATGGAAAAATTAGAGTGACCTCATGACATCTTTAGAAATTCATGGTATTTATGTTTGAAATTTGGTGATCCCAATATTTTATGAAAATTAATAAAGAGCATGATATTATCATTCATCAAGAAGGTGTGCTCTGTATAAAAATGTGGAACTCTCCCAGAAGAGCTGAGTAAGAATCAAAATAATAAAAACTAAAGTTGTTACTGTAGGAGACTCTGCACTCTGCCTAACTAAGAAGGGAATCAAGGACGATGCTCCTTAAAAACCTTGGTATTGAAGAACTGCATCTCTTCTGCCATTTGGTAGCATGCCTATCTGAAGTTATGTCCTTCAAATGGTAGAGGAAATGTGGAACTGGATGTATATTTGGTAATTTTTTTGAACAATTAATTGATAATGTTATAGTTGTAGGCTGTACTGTAATTCTGTCACATAGCCCTGTTACTTTGATATTAAAAAAAGAAGACACAGTTTAAAAAAAAAGACAGCACAGTAGATGAGTTGGTGTCCCCTAGGTACTTTAGGCAAAGTTTCTTAAGGCCTAAAATGGTTTTGGTAATTGTCCAGGTTTAGAAGAGACAGCTGTGTACAAGTTCTACACAGCTGGGGCTCAGACAAGTGTTGGTAGAGGAACCTAGAAAACATGGTTCCTGACCTTCTCGTAGCTCCTGCTTCTCAGAACTGTGGTTATTTCATATAATTTAGCTCTCAAAACATGTAATTTTCTTCTTTTAACTTAGGAGGAAGAGAAAACTGGCATGCTGGCTAATGGTAAATATTAACTGGCAAGTAATTTAGACTGTTCAAAATCTTATCTAAATAATTTTGAATAAAATATCCTTATTTTGAATGTCTCTCTAAGAAATTAAAATTCATAACCTTTCCCAGTCATTTGTCCTTTATGCCTATCTTGACCCCATCCTGTTACATTTGACATATTTCCTTTTCTATTTTTCTGAGGCGTTTTACCTCCTAAATAAATGTATAGATACACATGCATTTATGTTTGCCTATTATCTTGTACATACCATTAATATCATGCATGTGAAAACACACATACGATTATACACTAACAACACTTATATGTAAATGTTTACTTTTTAGTATTGCACATGCCTAATTTTATTGACCCAAAAGTCACACAGTTTTCCTACACTCCTTATGTTCTGTTTATGTTCCTGCAGTTGTGCTGCTCGATTCTTTAGACTCTGTTGAGGATGCCGACCTTGCTGATCACAGTAAAGCAACCCCTGAAGCAAAGGCCCTCCCAGAAGTGACTGGTGGTGAACTAGCAGGCACAGGTAATGTGTGTGAAAACTTGACTTCTCTCTAACTGTAGAATGCTCTGTGACTAACTCGCTTCCTTTATAGGAAAAAAATCCATGGATAACCATTAAAGACGTTCAGTCTCATAGGTTGAATATGCTGTCAATACAAGGGGTTTTGACTATAGGTGAGGATTAATTAATTGTGCCCATCCATGGTTTTCTGTTCAATTCACCATGTGTAGGAGAAATGGACATGGGTCTCTGTTGTGTTTTATGTAGCTTCCTCCTTAGATAAAGGCTAGGTCATGCTCTTAATTCTGAACTATTTTCCTTAGAGCTTGTAACAATTTTGTGATAATGTCCTTTCAAACTGTAAAGCAATAGAACCATCACTGCCAATTGGATCTTCCATGAAATTAGGATTGTGCCAGGCAGCATATTTTGTTTTGATGTAGAATATAATATATTCTTGATTTCCCACATGGGTAGTTGCAAATGGGAACTCTAACCATCTTTCTTTGGGAGTTCAGAGTACTCATTAATATTGGTCAGGTAGCCGGGCGGTGATGGCGCACGCCTTTAATCCCAGCACTCGGGAGGCAGAGGCAGGCGGATCTCTGTGTGTTCCAGGCTGGGCTGGACCGATAGCCTCCAAAACAATACAGAGAAACCCTGTCTCGAAAAACTGAAAAAAAAAAAAAAGACCAGCTCTTAAAACAATAGAAAAAACAAAAAATACTTAAAAGATAGACATTTCATCAAGACATAGTTTTGATACACACACCGAGTATCTACCATGATGATATATATGTTTGCAGAGCACATTTCTTGGTCTTACTACTATTGCCTTGTGCAACCATGTTAACTCCGTGCTAGCACAGTCTGTCTGTCTGTCTCCTCGCAGTTTCTGGTAAGCAGTCCTGAGCACTTTTAAAGGATGAAGGTAGGACCATAGCTTTTCTGGTCCAGTCACTCTAGGTTTGTGTTGGGGGGAATCATCAGAAGAGTATTAAGGTGTTCATGGGACAAGTGAGGAAGGCAGAAGTTATTACGTGAACTGCAGAGCACTGCAGAGTTATGAAGTGGCACACTTGATGCTGCCAAGTGGCCTTTTTTACAATTTTAAGTTTCAAAGCGGGATTTATGATTTCTCTGGAACACTGATGCTCTTTAACTATAGGAAACTGCTCTAGTAGTGTCCTCCACTTGTAGGCTTTTTTCTTTTCTGTATGTGTTGCAAATAGTCTTGGTGACCCAGAGCGTTAGAAAGAAGCTTCACTGTAGGGCATTACTACAGATACCTCCATGACACTCATCTCCTCCTGCATTTTGAAGCATTTATCTAATTATTTTTTTAATCAATAAAAGCCTGGGAGTCAGATATCAGGGTAAAAACCTGATTGATCAGAAAAGCTGTGGAGAAGCAACCAGTGACCCCCTCCCTCCCTCCCTCCCTCCCTCCCTCCCTTCCTCCCTTCCTCCCTCCCTCTCTCTCTCTTTCTTTCTTTCCTAAATCCAATAGCAAGAGACTCTTTCTAAGCCCCTCTCTACTACTTCCTGTGTCTCTCTGTATGTCCTGGCTCCTCCAAAACCTCTATGGCTAATTTTGATGAGACAGTAGGTAGCTCCGCCCTTTGATTCAAGGTAAACTTTATTGGCAGTCTCAGGAGTGTGAGAGTGCAATCAAAATATCCCACAACAACACTTAGTGTGGGAAAAATCCCATACAAGCTGTCCTCTGTTTAGTTTCTGTTGTGTATAGAACATGAGGTTATATAAACCATTTGAGGGGGGATGTTTGGTTTGGGGTTTTTTGTTTTGTTTTGTTTCAAGACAGGGTTTCTCTGTGTGTTGCTCTGGATATCCTGGAACTCACTCTGTAGTCCAGACTGGCCTAGAACTCACGGAGATTCACCTGCCCCTGCCTCCCAAGTGTTGGAATTAAAGACGTGTGCCAGCAACACCTGGCTAACCTTTTTGTGTGTGTGTGTTTGTGAACCATTTGATTTTTAAGCATTAATCATAGATGTCAAAAGAGGAGACTCATCACTGTATTTTTCCCATTCTGTGACTTATTCTTTAGTTTTGAAAGTCCATAGTTAAAATTGTAAAATATTAAGAAAATGTTCATAAAAGTATTTGGTCGTTATTCTCAGTTTTTCCCAAAATTTGTCAGCTGCAGGAAGAGAAAGAGGTGACATCAAGCTTTCTGTTTTAAGTGACTGAGTAAATAAGTAATGGTACTGTTAGCTAAGAATAGGAAATACTGGGAGAAAAACACATTTTGGTGAGGAATATAATGAATTTAGTTGGAAGTGAATTGTCTGACTTTACAAGACAATGTAGATGTCTTCTAGAGAGTTTGATGTTCAGAAAAGTGATGATAGAAATGTAGATTTGAAAATACTGAAGCAGGCATATAGATAAGGTTAAGGGGCTAGATAAAATAGCTGGGGGTACGTATACAGTTTAGTTTGTTAGAATGCTTGTTTGGTATTCACAAGGCCCTGGGTTCAGTATCCAGTCTTTGTGAGACAAGTGTGATGGTGCATGCTTTTAATTCTAACACTTGATCAGAAGTTCAGAGTCATCTTCAGCTGTCTAACAAGCTCAAAGCCAGCCTGGACTGCATGAGACCCTTTCTCCAAAACGAAAGGGAAGAGCCAGAGAGATGGCTCAGTGGACAAAGGTACTTGCTATGCACAAGCCTGGTGACTCAGTCTCTAGAACCAACATAGGTAGACAGCACCAACTCCAGTGTCGTCCTTTAACTTCCTCTGTGTAATTTGTATTTGTGTGTGCACACCAAATACATCCAATAATAATTACAGAAATAATGTTTTAAAACCAAGGAAAGATGGAGAGGAGGAGAGAGAGAAGAATTGGATTTATTAGCATCATCATCATCTTGGTTTTTGTTTTTTCATTCTTTATTTTTTTTTGTTTTGTTTTTTTGAGACAGCGTTTCTCTGTAGCTTTGGAGCCTGTCCTAGAACTCACTCAGTAGATCAGTTTGGCCTTGCACTCATAGAGATCTGCCTGCCTCTGCCTCTCAAGTGCTGGAAATAAAGGCGTGCACCGCCACAAAAGTATTCAGAGGGTTTTAAAAGAAGACAGGAGGTAGACCACTGGGTGGGCCATTGATAACAAACAACGGAAAAGCCCTGGCTGGAGCGGTGGGGATTACAAGTAGACGAAAAGCGTAAAAGAGACAGTGGCCAGGGAGAGGGTAGTGTCAGATGTCTCACAAGTGTAGTGGAGAGGATAGTGTCAGATGTCTCACAAGTGTCAGATGTCTCACAAGTGTCAGATGTCTCACAAGTGTCAGATGTCTCACAAGTGTAGTGGAGAGGTTAGTGTCAGATGTCTCACAAGTGTAGTCAGATGTCTCACAAGTGTAGTGGAGAGGATAGTGTCAGATGTCTCACAAGTGTCAGATGTCTCACAAGTATCAGATGTCTCACAAGTGTAGTGGAGAGGATAGTGTCAGATGTCTCACAAGTGTCAGATGTCTCACAAGTGTCAGATGTCTCACAAGTGTCAGATGTCTCACAAGTGTCAGATGTCTCACAAGTGTCAGATGTCTCACAAGTGTAGTGGAGAGGATAGTGTCAGATGTCTCACAAGTGTAGTCAGATGTCTCACAAGTGTAGTGGAGAGGATAGTGTCAGATGTCTCACAAGTGTCAGATGTCTCACAAGTGTAGTGGATAGTGTCAGATGTCTCACAAGCTCAGAAACGACACATGACTGGGCTTGGCCATCAGGAAGCAGCTTCAACAAGATGATGGGACACTTGGTGCTTTGCAAAGCTGGAGGAGCATGCTTGTGGGAGAACCGTTACAGACTGGCACTGCCACATTGCAGAGTGAGAATGGCCGTGGTGCGGCAGAGACAGTGTCCTTATGTTGAGGAAGTGTGAGAACAGTTTTACCCAGCACAGAGAGGCTAGTCAAAGACTGTGACGAGACAGTGACTGGTAAGTCAGAGCTGACAATCACCACATCAGGACTGCCTTGACTTTGCTATGACTTCATACTGATAGCCTACCCACATTCCTGCCAGGCTCTGCTTTTATAATATTGCCATTGTCCTGCAGCTTTGTTCACCATTCCTAAGAGACTAAGGGATGACTTCAATGTTTCATCTTCCTCCTGTGCCTATCACGTTGTGATACCTAGGAATTACATTTATTTCAACAGGTGTTTCTTACGGACAGAGCAGTGGTGACACAGAAGCCCTGCATCGGGCTTACTGTCACATAGCTCATTCTCTGGGAGACACAGGCGAACCAAGAATTGAGCCTAGCTCTGTGGAAAATGTCAAGAGCTCAGGAAAAGATCATCTTCAAGAAAATGAAGAGTCTTCAAAGAACATCTCTACCACAGAATCCGGTAAAGGCCGACAGCTTTAGCAGAAAAATGATGGGTGGATAATAAATGGACAGAATGTCTCTACTATTTACCCTCCTTAAATAGTGGTCATTGAAGTATACTTTGCATACAGTTTGCTGTGGTGATGACTTCTCAGTGTTTGACTGTAAAGGGCATGATCAAATGAAACCCCACCTGGATTAACTCCAGAGTTAGAGCTAAACTCAGAATACAGCCTACCTCCTAATGTTCCTTAACCAAATTGAGCCACAAGCTTGGTGTACATGTATATGTGTATTAATGGTTTTTAATAGAAACTAGAATTTTGAAATTTAAAAACAAAATCACATAGCAAGTGTGTGTGTGAGTTCTGGGTATAGATAATGGAGTTGTATTTTATAAATTCAAAGAAAGGGTTCCTTGTACAATTTTGTGATACAAACTTCATTTTTTGTGCATGCCATTTTGTTAACTGTATGCAGTAGAGAAATTTTTTATTTTTGTGGTACTCCATGTGTAATTTAAGCAGTTTAGGCAATGTTTTCATTTCTAATCTAACTTTTTTCTCCGTTTAGATCTGCCCACAGTAGAGGAGCTGATGAAACCCATCAGGATAGACTCCTACGGGGCCGGTGGCTTTGACTTGCCACCCATCAGGTATGAGGTTTGGGCAATGCCCTGTGCAGGATGGCTGCCTAGTTAAGTAGTGTTTACTGTTTCACTTCTTGTTTTGTCATGGAAATTATAACCATCTGTTCTGTGGAACCATTCCTAGTAAATAATTAATGAAAAATACAGGCTAGCATGTGTCTACCTGTGAGCTTCTGCTCTTATTTTATATTTACCCCCTGTCCATCAAAATTTTTGTAGTACTAAAAGAAAAAGACCTGCTAAGAAAGTTGGTGCCATTAATTAGTCCTAATGTTTTCATTGAAAATATGATTTTCTCGTCTTTCAGTGACACGTGGCTAGTTGATTCACCAGCAGAGGAAAATTTTTTTATGAATCATAGGTTTTCTATTTTATGAATCGGTTAGTTCTAACCTAGTCACCAGCTGGCCATCATCTCCCAGGATAAGCTCTGAGGTCATGAGAGAAATTGTCTTTGTGCAAATCCTGAAGCTCCAGTATTTAGTGGCAATGTATGCAGGGTTCCATCACTCATCAGCATGGATAACAATCATAGTAACCTGTTGCAGACAACTTTGCATGCATGTAGCATTTACAGGATCATATCCTCTCTCTCACATCCATGTAACATGTAGGCAGCATCTTCAGACTCCTCCCTCAAAGGTGAATTAACAGGATCTAACTAGAGCCAGATGACACTGATGCTTCCCATATTTTACATGACAATAGCAGACAAGAATTGTGCATTCTTTATGTGCGTGAATTCAGTCGTGATTAATTAATTAATTCAGCAGCTCTGGATATAGTTCATTGTTTTCCTTAGTTCACAGACAGGAAAACTGGGGTCTAAGGTTATATCTATAATCAGAGAACAAAGCCAGCCCATGTGCCTAGCCACATGCATTGTCCAGCCCGTGATTCCATGCAATATTTTCATGAAACTGTCCAGTCACTATCTCATTTGTGTTTTCAAATACATATTTGTTTAAAAGCTGAGTACAAACAGCTCTTGTAGAGTAAACATGTTTCAGGTTATTCAAGGTGTATACTCACTCATAAAGAGAATTGCTGGATCATACTGAAACTATTTTTAACAGCAGCAGTACTGTTTGACATTCCCAGCAGTATTACACAAGGGTTCTAGTCCCTCCACCCTCACCACCACCATTGTTTTCTGGTAGCCATTGTAATGGCACATTGAGGATTGTCTTAGGGTTACTCTTACTGTGATAAAGCATGACCAAAAGCAACTTGGGGAGGAAAGAGCTTGTCTTACCCTTGCACATCATTGTTCATTATGGAAGGAAGTCAGGACAGGAACTCAAGCAGGACAGGAACTTAGAGGCATGAGCTAACACAGAGGCCATGGAGGGGTGCTACTTATGTGGCTTGCTCAGCTTGCTTTTTTGTAGAACCACCAGCCCAGACTTGGCCCCACCCACAATGGGTTGGGCCCTCCCTATGTATCATTAATTAAGAAAATACCCTACAGACTTACCTGCAGCCCCATCTTATGGAGGCATTTTCTCATTTGAGACTCTCTCCTCTCAGATGAGGGAGCTTGTGTCAGGTTGACATGAAACTATCCAGCACACAGATGCTGTGCTAAGGGAAGTAAGTCATAGACAAACACCAAATTCTCCTGCATGTTTGAACTACATGCAATAGTAGAATATCGTAGAACAAAAGGAAGAAAGGCAGGAGATGCAGCAATAATTGTCAGTGGCTTGCTTGGTGGAGGTTGTCGGGGAGAGTGTCCTTAATGCTTATAGAGTTTCAGCTTCACAAAATCAGAGTATGAGGAGAGATGGCAGGAAAGTTTGTTCAACATTATGAACAGATTTTGTCACTGAAATGTATACTTACAATGGTTAAAATTGTAAATTTTATGTGAAATACATACACCACAAGAAAAAATTATAGAATAAACACACACACACACAAAAAAAACCCTGAAGACAAATATACTTACATAATACAAGGAACAATAGTTTCAGAAGTGTCAATAATACCATTGTTAGCACATTTAAACCTTTAGCAACTTAAACTGATGTAACACAGTCCTTGAAGTCCTAGTAGTAGACAGTCAGACAATTATTTCTCACTCATTCATGAGTCAGTGAGGCTGGTGTGGGCTCTGCTCTGTGCAGTCATTCAGTGCCCAGTGCCTCAGTCATCAGCTGTAGCTTTGAGGCTGTAGTGTTATCCAGCCAGTAAAGAAGTGGTCTATCCCCTTAGCTTGCATTCTGTCAGTCAGAGTTAACACTCTTAGGAAACCAACTGAAGGAAGGTGGAAAGTGTGATTTGCTTGCATGCCTAGAAAGAAAAGAGTTAGTTTGGTAGTGTCTAATTAGTAGCCTCCTAATAACCAGATTGCCGATGGCTATCATTTTTCTTTACACAAAGTCCTACTCAGCACTCTCACCATCTGAAAGGCCATAATATCCAAGAGAAGCATGGCCCTTTCCAGCTTGGGTGTGATTCTCTACCAGTAAATAAATGAAAAGAGTCATTGTCTTACCCCCAGCCAACATACAATAATGGAACTGGCTGTGTTCATAAATGGAAAGTCTTAGGGAAATAGAGCAGTCAGGTTGCCACTTTAAAAAAAACAGAAGGACCTTGTAAAAACCTTAAATAATGGGATTGCCCAGCTTAGGCTGTTCTACTTTTCTAGAACTTCTTGTGAATATACTGCCCTGGATTGCTGCTGCTCTGTTCCTTGAAGGATTTATCTAAGGTTATCACCATGGCCAAGCCACAGTGGGTTTTGTGAGTTGGGCATGCTGTGTTGGGTGACAAGCTTTTTTCTCAGTCTACTTCCTGCCTACCTGAAGGTAGTTTTAAGACCCCCATTTTCTGGCTCTGGGGAGCTAGCTGTTCTGCTTTTATTTACTTTGTGTTTGAACAAGATTGCTGACTAGTGGACTTCTGGTCTGTTGGGCTCCAGTCAGATCCATGTGCCAGCAACTAAATTCAAAGTTCTTTGCTAGATAAAATTTTAAACCTACTTGAGGTGTTTGGTTCTTGACACTCCAAGAACAGTAACCCCATGTGATGAACACACATGATCTGTAGCCCTTGTGAGAAACATTCAGCGCTCTTTCAATTGAGAAATGTAATGAAGTTCTATTTCTCATACCATCTTTCCAAAGTGAGCCCTATTGCTGATGTCTAGACGTCTAATCCCAATAGGACTTCAATTTCTAAGTATCCCTTGTCAGTTCTCTAGAAGAGCCATTCTGTCCCGAGTTCATCTGTTTCTTGTAATATCTTGCTGAAAGCAGCCAGCACTTAGTGTCATTATGTCCTCTCCAGTCACTTATTCCTCTTACTGTTCCAAGTGTGGCATGTGGTCGGCCTCATATGAAATTGGAAGTGGCAGATTAGCAAATGTTTTGCAATAAAACACCTTTCGGTAGCCTCTGCCATCAGTTTCCTGGCATCTAGAGTCCATCCATGCTAGTGCTTACATTCTGGTGGCAAGAACTAATGTCAGGGAAATGTGGCTTAGTTGGTACCCAGCAAGAGCAGGAAACACTTGGATTAGCATCTAGACAGCATCTGCTGCTGTGAACAGGGAAGAAACTGAGGTACTTTCCACTGGGTTAGAAGTTTCCAGCATTTACTGAGTAGCTTGTCTACATAGTATAAAAATGGTGGCCTCTTAAACTGTTCTTTAATCACAAGTCATAAGATATTCATATTTTTAGAGCCCTTATGGTTTACTGGTATTTAACCAAATACAAGACATTCCCTGTTATATGAATGCATCTTTTGGGGATATACCTAAGAGTGTAATTGCTGGGTCTTGTGGTAGACTGATTCCCATTTTCCTGAGGAATCTCCATACTGATTTCCAAAGTGGGTGTACGAGTTGGCACTCCCATCAGCAGTGGAGGAGTGTCCCCCTCTCTCTACATCCTATCTAGCATAAATTGTCATTGGTGTTTTTGATTTTAGTCAAAATTTGATTCTGACAGGAGTAAGATGGTATCTCAGAGTTATTTTGATTTGCATTTCCCTAATGGCTAAGGATGTTGAGCACTTTCTCAAGTGTCTCTCAGCCATTTTAGATTCCTCTATTGATGAACAAAGGGGTCAAGACTGGGCTGGTGAAACCCACAGAAACTGCCAACCTGAACAAGGGGGGAGCTCTTGGACTCCCGACTGATGGCTGAGAGGTCAGCATGGGACTGATCCCGACCCCCTGAATGTGGGTGTCAGCGAGGAGGCCTGGACAATCTATGGGGCCTTGTTTATCCCTGGCATACAAATGGACTTTGGGTGCCCCTTCCACAATAAGGGATGCTCTCTCAGTCTGGACTCTTGGGGGAGGGCCTAGGCCCTGCCCTGAATGAAATGACAGACTCTGGATATCCCCCATGGAGGACATTCACCCTGGGGAATGGAGTAGGGATTGGATGAGGGGCTGGGGAGCCTGGAGGGGTGGGGGAGGGGAGGGAGAGGGAGCTGGGATTGACATGTGAAGCAAGCTTGTTGCTAATATAAATTTTAAAAAAAATTTAAAGAATTTTTTAAAAAGACATTCCCTGGAGATAGTTCCCTAATTTTAAAAAAAAATGATGTATCAGACATGTTGATGCACGCCTGTAATCCCAGCACTTGGGAGGCAGAGGCAAGTGGATCTCTGAGTTCAAGGCCAGCCTGGTCTACAGAATAAGTTCCCGAACAACCAGGACTGTTACACAGAGAAACCCTGTGTTGAAAAAAACAGAACAAAAACTAAAGCATGTTGATTTAATAAGAAATTGTGGGTAAAAATTACTTGCTTCATTAAAATTATCTGAAATTAGTCAAGCATAATGATGCATGCTTATAATCTCAACACTCAGAGGTGGCGGCAGGAGGATCTGGAGTTCAGGGTCATCCTCTACTAAAACGTGGCTTAGAAGCCAGCCTGGGCTACATAAGACCTTGCCTCAAAAGAACAAAAGTATAAACAGTTACATGATAAGGTGTGAGTGTCCCAGGCTAACTGCTAGTGTGGTGTAGTGTAGTGTAGTGTGGTGTAGTGTAGTGTAGTGTAGTGTATGACCTGGTTAGCACTGTAACATCATTTGAATAGTTACAGCTCATATGTCTGTGCAAATGTGGGTGGATAACTGAGGAACTTGAGGAATTATGCTACATCCTGTGCTCTACTTTGTTCTGCAGCCTTAAGAAAGCAGCTGACAGTAAGGAAGAGGAACCTGTGAGCTCCTTATTCCTTAAAGTGAACGTAAGCACTCTGTCTCAAGATCCCACTCCCGTGAGCCAGTTTCCCTACAAACACGATGAGAGTGTGGCTTTGCACAAGACAGCGGGTGAGAGCGTGGGTGGTGGCTGTCCAGCAGCAACTGCTATGGAAGAGCGTTTGGACAAAATGTACCTTGAGATTTTGAAGAAAAAAACAACTGTCAACTCTTCACTATTACCTCAGGATGACAAAACTAATCGGGTAAGAAGTATGTGCTTAAGCTAGTGGGGCCGATGACATCATCTGTGGGTGGCACTTATTGCCAAAACTTCCAATCTCCAAGTTCAAAGTACCACCGTAGCATTCCCTTTCTCTTTATTTTCTTTCATTCTTCTCTCATACATTCCATCCCAGCCATAGTTTTCCCTCCCTCCACTCATCCAAGCCCTCCCCTACTTTCTCTCTCTCCTAAATCCACTCCTTCTCCATTTCTCTTCAGAAAACAAGGAGGCCTCCCAGAGATATCAAGCAGACACAGCATAACAAGTTACAATAAAACTAGGCACAAATTCTCATATCAAGGCTGGACAAGGTAGTCCAGTAAGAGTAAAAGGATTCCACAGCAGATGAAAGAGTCAAAGACACCCCTAATCTCACTGTTAGGAGCCCCACAAGAACACCCAGCTATAACATATCTGCAGAGGACCAAGGTCAGACCCATGCAGGCTCCCTGGATGTCTCTTCAGTCTCTGAGCCTTGGTTAGTTGGTTGCATGAGCCATTTCCTTGTGGTATCCTTGACCACTGTGGCCCCTACAACCTCCCTCTGCCCTCTGCAGGATTCCCATGGCTCAGTCTAATGTTTGGCTGTGGGTCTCTGCATCTGCTCCCATAGGTTGCTGGAGGACACCTCTCTGGTGACAGTTGGGCTAGGCACTGATCTATGAGTTTACCAGAATAGCCTTTCCTCTTGCCTTTTCTTTCCTTTCCTTTCTCTTCCGTTTTAGTCCCTCATATCAGACTTGGATAGTTTCAGAAAATAGTCTCTTCTCTTTGTTACTCATGGCTCATCTTCCTCATAGTCTGCACCATAGGGGAGTTGGATTTTATAGGATTGTGATTAGCAACTGTGACAAGATGTGCATTTCATTGTTCCTTCTTTCTTTGCTTTTGGCTTTGTGTTTTATAGTTCCCATGGTTCCAGTATTCTATTTTTACTTTCTAGTTTTGTATTTGCTATAAAGCATCTCATTTTTGTGGAGTGAGGCAATGTGCTGTATTACTTTATTGTTGCTGTGATAAAAGGCTCTGGAAGAAAGTGGCTTTGGGAAGGAAGGGTTTGTTGGCTCACAGTTCAAGGTACAGCCATCATGGTGGGAAAGTCAAGGCAGTAGACATGAGAGGCATGAGAGCAATGAATCCCAGATGTAGCACGGTTCCTTTTCCCTTCCGTACAGTCCATGATCCCAGTCAGGGAATGGAGAGACTTCTCACCACCGTCAGGACAACCTCTCACCACAGGCTCCCCGGCCCATCTCCCACCCAGACTCTTTCGGGTTGACAGGTCACTAGCCATCATAAGTATTGATATTTTTAATGTACCATAAATCCAGAGGAAAGACAGTACTATTTTGGTTGTAATTTCAAGATATCTTCTTCCTTGATGTTTTCATTATTCTAGTAGCTACCTACACACCTTACTTTCTTGCAAGCTTATTTTGCTTTCTAGTACTTTGTCCTAATGCTAACTTTGAAGATAGACTTCAAAACACTGAGATTCTAATAGATTAGAGAACCCGCTGTAGTAGTTCGCCCCTCATGAACCTTATTATTTGCCAGTCACAGTCTTGCTGTGTATTAAATTTTCATTAACAATAGTTATTGTTCATTCCGATACTAAAGAGTTTGTTCTTGTTGTATACAGACTTCCAGGACTCAGCTCAGTGCTGGGGAAGAGGGACCTGTAACTGGTAAGCAGGTTCCATACAAGAAGGCCAGAAGTGCACCTCCTTTGCTTAAGAGAAAGCCGCAGAGTGGTCTGTACACATCAGCTCGGAGCTCAGGCTATGGCAAGCCCACTTCGCCACTCCAGTTATTTTCTACTTTTGAAAAGAAAACTTCAAAGGACAATACAAAAAGTAAAAATGTGAGATCCATTCCCACCTCAAATCAGTTTAGGAAAAAGGGTAAGAATACATTCTCTTCAAGATAAAGTTTGATGCATATAACACATTATTTCATTTTCTTTGTTTTTGTGGAGGAGAATGTTAAAGAACTGTATATTCCTCATAGGGGAAGTGTAGTTTATAGCTTTTGACCCAGGGTAGTGGCAATGAAGACAGTGAAAGGGGACTGATGAAACTGTGTTTAAAGGTAGAACTGATATTATAAAATCTGGCTTGGGTCACTAGTTTTTGTTCCGAGCAACTGAAGGACTGGAACTGCCATTCCCCGAGGTGAGAAAAATCGAGGTAAATTTTGGGTTAGAAGGAAGAGAGATTATGGTTTTGAGATGACTATTTTGATTGACAAGTAGTGATGAAGAGAAGTCTTGGCATTCAAGAGGAAGTATAGACTCAAGATCCCATTTGAGAACTTATTAATGAGCAGAAGGCACATTTTTCAAAGCAGTAGCACTTACTGAGCACGAGGATGTTCTATTGTTGTTATGATACAACACCATGCCCAAAAGCAACTTGGGGAAGAAAGAATTTGTTCTTACAGGCTACAGTCTGTCGTTGTGGAAAGCGAAGGCAGGGGCTTGAAGCAGAAACCACAGAGGAATGCCGCTTACTGACTCGGTTGTCCTGGATTTCCCAGCTACCTTTCTTATACATCTCAGGTCTTGCTGCCTAGGGGTTGCACCACCCACAGTGGACCCTTCTACTTGAATTAGCAGTTAAGAAAATGCCCACAGACATGCCATCCACAGGCCAATCTGTTGGTGTCAATTCCTCAGTTGAGGTTCCTTCTTCCCACATGACCCTTACGTTTATGTCATTTGACACTTGAAGCTATGACAGGATAACTAGAGGGTAAACAAATGGGCTCAGACAGAACAAACTGCAAACAAAGCAGGCAGAGTCAGGCAGGAGAACTCTGACAGAACCTTTAGTCTAGGACCTTCTGGGGGGAGTTCTGTGAAAGATAGTTGGTACAGTAGCTGACTTGAGGAGAGAAGAAGTTAAGAGACACTTTGGGGCCACCACAATAGCACTGTGGGTTAAGACATTTGCCACTGCAGCCTAGCAGCCTGAGTTAATCTTTGAACCCACATGAAGGTGAAGAATAGAACCAACTCCTAAAGGCTGTCCTCTGGCCTCTACACCTGCACACATATCACACACATATCATACACACACAGTAATAAATTACTATTTTAAATTAAAAGGGGGGCAGGAGAGATGGCTTAGCAGTTAAGAGCCTTGGCTGTTCTTCTGGAGGTCCTGAGTTCAATTCCCAGCATTCACAAGGCAGCTCACAACTTCTATAATGAAATCCAGTGCCCTCTTCTGGTGTGCAGATGTACATGTAGACAGTGCTCTCGGTAGCTGTAGTGACTATATGCTTGTACGTCCTTAAGAAGGATTGACTGGGAAGAAAAAGAATGTGCAGTGTAGTGGGCAGAGGGGATAGTTGCCTGGGCAGAGTACTTGGCTTAGAAGAACTGTGGTGGTGCACAGTAGACTGCATTAGCTAGGAATGGGGGCAGCTCTGAGTCCTGGGAAATGTGGAGGACAGGAAGAGAGCACAAGCTGGGAGCTGGATAGATGTGGGAGGGTTGTGGATGTTCTCAGAAATCAACACCGTGCCATTAGATAGTAGTAAAGAGGGAAAGAAGAGAAGATATGAAGTAAGCACCCAAGAGATTACTAAGTTAGAGGTTAGAAGGCCATTGCATGATTGGTGGTGGGAACCTAGATCATGCAGTGTAAGTGAGCAGCTAAGGGAAAGGAACTTAAGGGGTTACCAGGGCCTGGGTTTGTTGAAATCATTGCAAATGAGGCCAGAAGTGTCACAGGGATTGAGAAAGGATCAATGTAAATGGTGGGTTGATAAATGAAGGCAACATTTTTATGAGTAAAGTTAACTAATATCCTAGACTTGTTTTTCAATATTTCAAAATCTTACAGTATTTTGACTACCAATCAAAACACATTACTCTTGTAAAACATGCTGTTTGGGGGGCAGTTATGTTGAGCTAAGCACGTTGCTATCAATTACAGAGTTAGGTGTCTGTTAGTGGAGGTTAGTGGCTAGCAGACCTGCCATGTGGGGGCTGCCTTTTTCTTCTAGTTACCTTTTATTTAGAGTTTCGTGTTTATGTTTTCATTTGTAACACAATATTGTTATGAGAAGAAAACTTGCTGGTGAGTTCAAATTCAAATATAGGGGAAAAGAAGAAAAAGGAAAGTTAACAAGGAATCCTGGTGCCATGCTGAGCGCTGTCAGACTTTTCCCTGTGTGTGTCTTAATGAGAGAAATAAGGGGGGGTGGGTGGATGGAGAGTAGAAGTAGATACATGGCTTAAATGTTTTCTAAGAGTAATATCTGAAAATGCCAGATAAAATCCATTGGTTTGTATACTCACCTAAAAATCAGTTCTTAAAAAAAATGAGATCACACTTCATAAGTTCTTTTTATTTTTTATAAACTTTTTAACTTGTTTTATACATATGGTTGCTTTGCCTGCGTGTATGTGTTGTATACCATTTGCATGCCTGGCAAATGAGGGTCCAGAAGAGGGCGTTGGACCTCCCAGAACTGGAATCACAGACATTTGTGTGCCACCAAGTGGGTACTAAGCATCAAACCTGGGGCCTCCAGAAGAACAGCCAGCGTTTTCCCCATCTCCCCTGCCCCTCATAAATATATGAGATGTAGGGTTACATCTACAAGGAGATAAACCTCATCCTTAAAAATTACATGTTCTAAGAAAATAGATTTTGATAACCTCTGAGAGATTGCTAAAGCCATATTGTTGTTTCCTGGCTTCATTTTCAATTTTATGTATTGCCAATCACTTCTTTCCCTTCTAGGAAATATGAAGTAATATATAATCCTTCCCCATGCCACCCAACCAGTGGTTTTGCCTTTTTAAGGTATATTTTCTCTTGCAACCATGTCTCTCGGTTTGGAGATTTAGTTCTTGCTCTGGTTATTAAGGAAGCTGAGTGTCTGTTACTGACAGTGGCTCCAATGTACAATTCTTTTGGTTCATTTCTTTTTGATTGAATGTTACTAATGCATTGTTTCTTCAAAGAGGACTTTAGGGTTTTAATTCTGCAGTGTTTTTCTGTTTGAATTTCATATTAAGAAATTTTTATTTCTTAGATGTCTTGCAGAGCACTTGGTTCAGTTGCTAGCACCCACTTGTTGGCTCACAACTGTCTGTACCTCCAGTACCAGCGGATTCAGGGTTCCCTTCTCGCCACTTTGGGCACCAGACACAAGCATGTGCACAGATAGACATTCCATAAACACTCATACATATAGAAAAAAAGATTGAGGAATGGAAGTTCTGTTGTAAAAGGGCTGGCAGGCTAAACTTACATATACAAAACCACCTGTTTTTAGCTGTCTGGTCCTAACAGTCATGTGCTGGCAGGACACACCTAGCCCTTGGTCATGGTGTAACCTGCCAGTGATTGAAAGAGATCACATGTTGTATCTGCAATGATTCAGTCTTGTTATGAATCCTGTAAGAAATTTCTTTAGAAGCATACATGAAACACACTAAGTATGATGGTGACCATAAGGGGAGCCTTCACATGGGCCTGTAAAAAGGATAGAAGAAGTGAACCATTCTGTGAGGAAGTATTGAATTATTCTCTTAGCTTTTCCGTATTTTCCAAATATGTGATGATATTTTTTATTTAAAAAAATACATTTAAACAAATCTTGAGGAAATCATTGTAAACATACACACAAACACACACACACATACACACACACACACAAAATTTCAAGTTACTTATATACCTTTAAGGCTGCTGGGTAATGTTTATGGGATGCTCAGAGCCTGTCACATTTGAATGTGGGCTTTAAGATCCCACAGAAGTGTCTCCCAACACTGCCTGTTGCTAACTGAATAGTACACGCCCCAGCATTACTCTGTCTTTGGAGTTTAGAAGTTACTGTAAAAGCAGAAAATGAGACCAAAGATGTATTAGTCACATTCTTTTCTAATTTGCTAGATGATGTTATTGAATCATCTTTGAAATCAGACTTGGGTTGACTGTTACGATGTACAGGGCTCCATGGAAGCTGTCACACCTGTCACACACTGAGTATCCAAAGTGTGCTCAAGACAGTGACTCTGAACTGACATTCTTCCTACTTCCTAGCTGCTCTTTCTGACTCATCATGTGGACATCCTTACTGTGCCCCTCTTAGAGAACAGCTTGTTTAAAGGGGGTAAAGTCCTGAAGTTACCCTGCTTCACAGTCTGCTCACACTCATTTTGCTCCATCTGTAGATGCTGATTGTGGGTGGCTGCTGGGGGGCAGTGCCATAGTGAAAGCACCGTGCCGTGGGTAGCGATCTACATTTTACCTCCACATTGCTGCTGCCCTCGTATTTATTTTCCGTCATTGCTGAATGCTCATTCCACCTTCCTTTTATGATGCTTTCTCCTGTTGTCTATAATATCTAGAAATACTATCTGGAACAAAACTCATCAAGCCTGCAGCTTTGAGTAGACCATCCCCCCAAAGTGAAGGTAGCCTAGCTACACCTAAGCAGCCTGAAGATCCCACAGCTGACTCCTCTGTCCAGTTTCCGACTGTAGGTATTGTTGCAGTTCATATTAATATTTATAATTTTTATATATTAAAATCATTTTAAAACTAGATTATAAAGAGTATGTTAATTACACACGGTAAGAAACTATCACAAGTGAAGATGATTAATATGTACAAATAAAATATGAAATTTCTTTCCTTAGTCACATCATTTACTGGTAAAGATAAAAGATCGTTATTCCCATGTCATGGCCAGTCTGTTTTCTGGTCTGTGTTCTCATGTAATGAAGTCATGCTTCTTTTGTTAAGGAGCCTCTAGGACCCTCTGTTGGGAATGGAGAAAAAGAATCATTGATGTTGAAAAGAGCTCAGGATGCGGAAGAAAAGTGGAGGGGTGCACAAGCCCTAATTGAGCAAATTAAAGTCACATTCTCAGAAAAGGAGAAGGAGCTAGAGAACACACTGGAAAACCTCAAGAGACAGCAGGAAGGAGAGCTCTTCAAACTGAACCAAGAAAATTACATTCTTCAGACCAAGGTACCAAATACACGGTTCTGTTTTTCCTTCTAATTTATTAAAACAAAAACAAAAACAAAAAACCCAAACAGATATGCTTCTTTTTTTTAAAGATTTATTTACTTATTATAAATATAACATTCTGCCTCCATTTATGTCTACACGCCAAAAGAGGGCATCAGATCTCATTAGGGATGGTTGTGAGCCACCATGTGGTTACTGGGAGTTGAACTCAGGACCTCTGGAAGAGCAGTCTGTGCTCTTAACCTCTGAGCCATCTCTCCAGCCCCCCAGATATGCTTCTTACTAAATTCCTTGTTTTCTTGGTACCTGGAGCATTTCAATTTCCCACATACACTGCAGACTTGGTTCTTGATTCTCTCCAGAGTGAGCTGAACCATGGGAAAATCAAACAAGGCTCTTTTGATGATTTGCCTGTGTCAGCTGTTCTTTTAAAAACAAATCAGTGAGTTCATTATGACCGTCAGAGAAATGATGGTTTTAGCAGGAAATGCAGTAGAAGGTGTAGAACCAGAGAGAGTCACCGCAATGTTTGTGAGTTTTTCTCTCACAGAAAGTCGCTGTGTTGATGTGACCATGGTCACAGCACTTCCCAGGACGGTCAGTAATGGCGGTTGTTTTCTCTTCATTTTCCTGTTCAAGTAAAAGGATTTCTCCATTTTTTAAAGTTAAGTAGCTTTGAAGAAACAAGCAGAAAACAGAGATGGCTACAGCTTGGAGAAACATCAGATCCCGTCACTGGAGAAAAGCTGAAGCAAATCCAAAAGGAAATACAAGAACAAGAGACACTTCTTCAAGGATACCAGCAGGTGTGGCAGTTCTTCAGCTTCTGATGACTTTGGTTTTGATCCTTTAATTATAAAAGTAAGATATATTAATATACTGCTGTGGTCATTTAACATGCAGACATAAGTAAGGTAATGTGACTAGTGATCTTCCCCCACCTTTCCCCCTTCTTCCTCCTCCCCTCCTTTTTCCTGTGCCCTAGAACTCACTGTAAAGTCCAGATAGTCCTCAAGGTTGTGATCCACCTCCCAAGTGCTGGGTACAGACATGCACTGTCTTGCCCAGTTGGCCTACACCTTTCTTATTTACCAAATTAAAGTAGCTAAGAGCATCAATCTGAATTCAGATGAAAACCTGATTTTAAGTTTTAACCTAACACCTGCTGTGGAGCCATATGCAACCCTCTCACCCCTGTCTTTATGAGTAGAGATAAGACAGAGAGTAGTGAAATTCAAAATATGGCAGTACAAACCAGCCTCCTAACCTGGCACGTGGTAGCCAATCAGAAATTGTTGCATGCTGTTTTAATAGCCATGTTTCTTAGAAATGAGTATATTTTCCTTAGCTTTCTACAAAGTTCATAATAGGTTTTTGACTAGTCTTGCTATTATTTTCACCATATCAGTCTACACTCAAGTGCTGATGCCTCAACGATGAACTTTTTTTAGTGAGTGCTCTGTAGCAGCATGTACTCTGGTGTGTATACGCCTGGAAGGTTTAAGGTGTAGCTTCCTTCTCTGTCTCGCTTTTTGTCTGTTCTTCCTCTTTCGTCCTCTACCTCAATAAACATCTCTTTCCCAACTGTAATCTGAGCTCTGTGCCATTCTTTGTCACCCAGAGAAAATCGGGAAAGCATGTTTACACCAGTTGCTCTGAATGTTTGGCCTTACACACTGCCCTCAGGTTAGTGAGATCTGTTCAGATCCTTCATCCACCGTCCCATCTTGCCACACAGAGAGGGACTTAAAGATTTCCCAGGCCCTAAGTATGTCAGCTGTCCCCTCATAAGACAATGCACAAGTTCTGTGTGTGTGTAGACATGCCATCTTCCAGGCACTAGTCCACGCGTGCCAAGGTAATCCATAGCTTTTCTCACCACCTCCAAAGCTCTTAGTTTTCAGCAAATTCTCAATATAAAGTGAGGTTAGTATGTCGGAGCAGATATCTAATCACAGATTCATTTGTTCCATATATAATTACCTCACTGTTAGAAGCCAGGCTCCTGGAGGTTTCCCCTACTCCTGATTTTTTTCCCTTCTGGCCAAAACCAGAAACTATATATTGGATATGTAGTCCTGCTGGGCTTTCTCACTCCTAGCTCACCATGTAGGTGAAAGACTTCTGCACGCTCCCTTTTGTATTTACTCTGGTAACATTCAGGGTATTACACTGACAGTAGACCCCACTTTGGGGGAATTTTAGAACTTTTTTCCAAGTAAGCATTTGTAGCATTTTAGAAAGAGTTGTATCTAGAGAAGTTGCCTTCTAAGATAATAAAAGATATGTAAAAAGAACTTTATAAAATTAAAATCTAAGGAAATTTTAAAGACCACTTAAGTGATTTATCTGTTAACATTCCATCTTATGTTTTAAGTGCTGCTAACTTTTAACTCAATCATTTTTCTGTTTTTAAAAAGGAAAATGAAAGGTTGTATAATCAAGTAAAAGATCTCCAGGAACAAAATAAGAGAAATGAAGAGCGAATGTTTAAGGAAAATCAGAATTTATTTAGTGAGTTAGCCTCTTTAAAGTAAGTTCTTTTAAATTTCTGACACTTAAATATACTTAACAATTTCTAAATATATTGTTACCATATTATTTTTTCTAGAAATGCTAAATATTTTAATGTGTTTGTTTTCATTTGTACACTGATTTCCAGTCTTGTAGCTTTACCCTGATGCTGCCAGGGAGCTCTAGAGAGTAGACCAAACATCTTCTAGGTGAGACAGAGGCTGTGGTTTGGCTAAAGCCACTTGTTCGGGGGTGGGGGACAGGTCACCTATGAGTTGTTACTATCCAGTACTCTGCACAGAACACTGGACACCAGACTGCTTACTCATACGCTACACCCTGGCCATTACCTTACTGTTGGAAGAGCAAACACCAAGCCTACAAAGTGCACACACGAGGGAGAGCACTGTCTTCCACTAGGAAATGACTATTTAATGCATTGTTCCACATAAATGTCTAATCACGCAGAATGTTACCAGAATTTTGTTGACTAGGAATGTCGTGAATGCTAACCATATTTATTAACATGCTCTCTTTTTTTAGATAGCTTATAACATGATAAGTATAGCCTTTAGCATATACTGACCTTTCATGTAAAACAGAAAAATATAGACCCTGTAGTAAACAGAAGTGACAGCTATACAGATTGGTGAGCAGTGGGAGGGAGGGAGGGAGGGAAAGAGGGGGGGGTCAGTATATCCTCAAAGCCGGCTGTGCTGATCTGCTGCTTGAGAACACTTAGATCTTCTTTCAAGATGCTTCTCATAGGGATTTCTAGCAAAGACTGGCTGAACTGGAGATGTGGCTCAGTTGATGACATCTGGGGTCAGTCCCCAGTACCACATACACTAGGCCTAGTGTACCTGCCTGTAGTCACAGCACTCTGGAGGGAGGCAGGAGGTTTGGAAGTTCAAGAACATCTTCAGTCATTTAGCAACTTAGAAACTGGCTTGGACTGTGTGTCAGATATTAGATAAATAAATATAACTTCACATTTTTACCACCTGTCTTCTAGAAAGAACTACTCCAAAATCCTAAACTAAGTGAACTTCCATGGTAAAATAATTCACTTAGATAATTTTTTAAATAATTTATCTTATATATCTATATATCTTATAGAAATTTCTTGAAAAATACCTAAAATTTGAGTCTTAGGGCCAGATATGTTTGTGGTTTTGTTTCTGTGTATAAAATTAGGCTTTGTGTATGTCAGAAAAAGAGTCAGCAACAGTGAGACCAGAAGTACACAAAAAGCTGTACAAAAACAGTACTTCATATTCTCTGAGAATTAGAAGCAAATGTTTTAAAATTTTAATTAAAACAAAAATCTTAATATTTCTGCTCTTCCAAAGTGGAAAGTATAAGTGTTTCCCTCAAATCTACTTTTCTTTAACATGTCCCTACTTTCTTCTTCAGAGTAATGCTTTTTCTCTGTGGGAATACACATAGTGTGAGTTCATTAGAGTATTTCATATTAAAAGGAGTACCTTGTTTATTTTCAAAATCAGAGAACAGATGCACAAAAATCACTTCCTGTGTCAAGCAGTTGAAAATGCAGAACCCATCAGAAACCAGAGTTTTACAGATCTGCTAGCAGAATTACGAGTGGTGCAGGTAAGCTGGATAAGGATTTAAACTACTTGAGGTTGGTAAAGTTATCATAGACACTCCAGTATGTGTAAAAAAAATATGTTAGTAATATATAAATAAAACATATTTTAGGCCAGGCACTGGTGGCACACACCTTTAATCCCAGTACCTGGGAAGCAGAGGCAAGTATACCTCTGTGAGTTGGAGACCAGCCTGATCTACCTGGCGAGCTCTAGGTCAGCTGGGGTTACAACATAGTGGGAATCTGCCTTTAAAAACAAACTGCTTTTAGATAAATAGCTAATAGGTCAGGTATTGATGAGTGCTAGTCAGTCAGGGGAAAGCTTACCTGGGAAAGACCCAGGCAAGGTCTTTGGGGCTCCTTTTGAGCAGTCATGACAGGAAGGAGCAAGCTACCTACCCAGCAGGGGGATACCTGACAGACCCTTTGGGTAGGAGTGCTCTAGGGGTAGAGGGTGTTCTAGCTACAAAGAGACCTCTGTAGCTAGTGTGAACAGGAGATTTATAGTCGTGTGCTCAGTCATGGCTGGTTATGCGGCACCCAAAGTCATGGTTAACTTAGGGTTCACTCTAAGAACCACCAGAAGCTTCTGCTGGAGGAGTGTGGCTAATCCTGCTGACTACTGTGAGAACAGGCTTAGGGGCTGAGAGGGAGAATGCTTAGATGTGAGGTTATCGCAGCAGTCCAGGCAAGGGACTTCGAAAAGAACACATTAGGATTATAGAGTAGGGATCTCCAGTGTGATGCTGCAAAGACTGGAACCAGTACTAGAGACTGTGGGAAGTTAATGGTTCAGGGGTAGAGCTCCCTCTGTTCCTTTTAGATAGAATGGGACCTGAAGTTGGGGAAACATCACAGCTGTGTTTTGATGGATTGAGAGGAGAGACTATCCCGTGATGTATTTATTGTGTTTGGAAGTAACCCACTTTTATATTCCTTCAAATATCAAGAAAGAGAAAAACCATCTAATGGAAGACATCAAAAGACTGAAGCAAGACAAACAGGCTCTTGAAGTGGACTTGGAAAAAGCGAAGAAAGAGAGGGACCAAGCCAAAGATCAGATTGCTTATGCCACAGGTTAGTGCGGCTGAGACCATTCTCTGTTCTCTGATGGTCCCAATCATGAAACCAAGTAATAGAGCCTGTAACCTGTGAAACATTTTTAAACTAGTGATAAAGTGGTATATACTTCTTATTTTAATTAGAACAGTTGCAGCATCAAGGGAGATTCAGGCATCAATTGAAATCATAGCTTCATATTGAGTCCTGTGGTGTTAGCCTGGCTGAGAGCTTCCTGAAGTCAGGGCCGAAACATGCTCTTAAGGATTTGTCACATGAACACGTAACACTGCATTATTTATAGGGATGAAAAGAAACATGGCATGGTGCCCACGAGGAAAAATTCGTGGAGACAGATAAGAATGAACAGAATTTATTTGGGGGGAAGTACAAACACCAAGAGTTTTGGAGAAGAAAGGCATTATTGGAGCCAGGCCCAGACAGTGAGATTCAGAAATAAAGGGAGGCTCGGGTAGGGCTTTCAGCACATTGCTGGGTAGAGGGAAGCTCGGGTAGGGCCTTCAGCACATTGCTGGGTAGAGGGAGGCTCGGGTAGGGCCTTCAGCACATTGCTGGGTAGAGGGAGGCTCGGGTAGGGCCTTCAGCACATTGCTGGGTAGAGGGAGGCTCGGGTAGGGCCTTCAGCACATTGCTGGGTAGAGGGAGGCTCGGGTAGGGCCTTCAGCACATTGCTGGGTAGGTGGTCCGGGCAGCAGAGGAGTGCTCTCTGCCAACGTTAATCTTCTATTTACAGCGCCTCAGCTTCTGTGTGAAAGCTGTGCAAAGAAGCCTTTCTTAACTGCATAGAAGAAAACAATGTTCCCTTCCCTTATCTCTAAAGGAGGAGGGTAAATGGTTTTTTTTTCTAAAACAAGTTCAAAAAAGTTTTCATGTAAATTTGTTGTTAACTAGGCCACTTGTAAATGTGTGCCATTTTTTTATTTAACTGTAAACATTCCTTATTTTTATTATTCCTTGAATCTATTTATTTTTTCCCCTAGAAACAACTTGATTTTCATAATGTACTAGTGGGAAAAAAATCACACATTTCTAGATAGCCATCCTTGCTATGAAATAGAAGATTTGGATTATGAACATAATCTCTTGTCTCCATTACTAAAAGATTCAACTAGACACTGATATATAGATCATTTGTTCATGCCTCTTGTTTCTTTATAATGCTTTCATTAAGTAGACATTGTTTTTCATTTAAAATATTGGGATTTTGTTATTTCCATATGTTATAAACTACTATGAGGTTACTGAGTTATTTTATTGTGTAGGTGAAAAATTATATGAAATAAAAATTTTAGAAGAAACACATAAACAAGAAGTCAGTCGTCTGCAGAAGCGGCTACAGTGGTACGCCGAGAATCAGGAGCTTCTAGACAAGGATGCGGCCCGTCTCCGAGAGGCCACTGAAGAAGCTGAGAAGCTGAAACTAGAGGTACCCTGTACCTGAGCCTCTTGCTGTGCTGTCACCCTCTGTCACTCTGTCACTGCTCCTTGCTGTTGGTATTTGTCTCCTGTGCTGGAGATGAGCCCAGGGCCTTGCACTTGCTCTGCCGTGAAACTACACCCCCGCTCCAAACCCCTTACTCTTAAAGTCTGAATTCATAGCTAGTTTGGGTTTTGGCTTGAGTTCAGATGATTAGCCTTTTTAGATAGACTGTAGATCAACGCCAGCTACTCATCATAACCTGTAGGGACCGTATGGCGTGACCCACAGAGCCCTGACTCAGCACCTGCTCTGCTCCACCCAGTGAGTTCTCCCCCAGCCACACCGTCTCCAGACTCCTCTGGCTGCCTTGTCCTTGCTTCTGCTCTTGCCTCACTCCCTTTCTTCCTTATCAAAACTCAGCTCAAGTTTCTACTCTTAGAACTCCCCCGGCCCTGCTTTCTTACTTTCACTCCATTCTGTGAGGGTGCTAGCGCCTGTCTCTCTGTAAAGGGATTTTCTTTATTTGTTGGTTTACTTAGATTATCAACCATCTGTCTCTATAAGTACGAGGACCCAGATTCTCTTGTTTTCCCGAATCTTCAGCCTCCAGTGCTGCCCCTGGACACACTTGGAACAAAGGAGTAGCTCAGTCAGTGTCTGTTGCAGAGTTGATTAATGAATTAACATTATGTATCCCCACCTTTGAACTTTCCTGTTGTTGAGAGTACACTTCTTGTCTCCCTTGTGGACAGATTGAAAAACTGAAAACTGAGTCTGGGAGCCCAGCCACTCAGCAGAGGTTACGCTCGAAGGAAAGAGCTCTGGATGCCAAAAGAATTCAGGATCTGGAGCGGCAGGTAAGCGTCCCAGAGAAATTTTGATTGAAGCACTTTTAATGTATACAAATGTATACAGACTGAATTATTCCCAATACCCTTAAAGTGCGGCAGTAAAGTGTGTAAGATGGCATGACCCAGGCTCACATCTGCAGAACGATAGGCTGAGGCTCTCAGTCGGAAGATGGAGACCTATTGATGAGAGACCTTTTACCTCCCCACTCCAGGAAACTTCTAGGAAGATGGAAGCAAAAATTTGAAATATTGGGTAGTGAGTTTTAATTCCTGCTTCTTGGGAGGCTGAGGCAGTAGGATCTCCCAAACCTAGGAATTCAGGGCAATCTCAGAAATACAGCAAAGCCTTTTCTCTTTTTTTAGATTAGATAGGTGGGAATGGAGTACAGGAAGAAAGATCCTAGAATCTGGAATAGGCTGCTAACACTTGGGAAATGTTACAAAACTCCACTGTGCACAAAGAGCATTCAGTCTCCCGGTCTCCTGGCCATCAGCCTGATCTTGCTCACCACTGACACCACAAGTGTTCATTTCAGTGTCACCATAGCAAGGAGGTGTATGAAACTCTCTGTGGAGCTTCTCGAGATGGAGAATTTTTTATTGAAGTAGTTGTGCAATAATACAGACAATTTCCTTTTATTTTTAAAACATTCTATGTAGCATTTATGTTCATAGATAAATATTAAAGTATGATTTTTCCATCCTTTGGATTACAGGAATTTTGAGTAGCTTCCTGGTATTTAAACAGACAGCTATTATTTCATCACAAGGCCAAGACTGTGATGTCATCACAGAGCTGAATGGTTTTATGAGGAAGTAAAAATTCAACTTTGTTACTTTCACAGGACCTTTTCTGGTATTAAGAGATATGACTTAGGAATTTAGTTAAAGAGTCAAGAAAAGATCAGGACAAAAGTGACTTGAAGTGTGAGAAATATTTTAAAGTGAGTATAGTGTGGGATTGTGTTTGGATTGTCTTCAGGGCTTAGGGTCTATGTTGCCCAGTATAGAAACAGCTGTCCAGAACTGGGAGGGGACAGAAACAAAGGAATCCGTCCATTAGATGATCTCCTAAAGAGAGACCATGTCACACTGGATGTGTGGGAATAAAGAAATGGTATGCTTAAGGACTTCAGGTAGTGGGGCTATGGAGATGGCTCAGTCATTGAAGTGCTTGCTATGCAAACATGTAGAGCTGAGTTCAAGCCTTAGGGCTTGTCATTCCAGCTCTGGAGGGAGTGGAAACAGAACAGAGTCTGGTGTTTACTGGGTATCTAGCCAACAAGCCCAGTCCACAAGCCCCAGTCACCAGTGAAACATCCTGTCTCCTGAGAGTCCTCCTGAGGGATAGCTGCAGTTTCTGTGCACTGGAGCAGCACTCTCTTATAGAAAAGTCTGCAAGCATGCCATTGGTTTGTAGACTGAGTGAAAGCTGCCTTTTCTGAACACTTTCAGAAGGTCATTTTAGGAGAGAGAGAGAGATGGCTTTGCAGTTCAGAGCACTCACCACTCTTGCTCAGGACCCAGATTCGATTCGCAGCGCCCATGTGGCAGCTCACAACTGTCTGTCTCCAGTCCCAGAGAATACAATGCCTTCTTCTGACCCCTGTAGGCTGCATGCACAGGGTGCTCGGAGAAAACACCCATACATGTAATTTGCTTTTCCTTTAAAGCACGATGTCTTGTGTCCTTGGAAGGGAGAGCTAGACGGGGAGGTACTTAGGACGGTCTGTGTCTGCTCTGCGGTAGTGCATTGCCTTCTCTGTGCAGTGGATACTCGGGGTGCTGTCACACGATGGGTCTGCTGTACTCCAGACAGGCTATTGCCCATAGAATGGACAGGCTGGAGGTGTGCTTTGAGTGGCTGTGAGAGATGTCTGTAAGTGGAGCAGGTTAATTAGATGGTAGAAGGTAATCTTTTGAAATAACGGTACTCCTGTGCCTTTGATCCAGCGAGGAGGCAGGATGTAAATGTCCTTGACATGATCATCTAAGCTTAGATAGTAAACTGCGTCTTCATGAAGATTTGTCAACTTACATATTACTAATGTTTACCACATTTTCGTAGGTCAAAGAAATGGAAGGGATTCTGAAGAGAAGATACCCCAACTCCTTACCTGCTTTGATACTGGCTGCCTCGGCAGCTGGTGATTCCGAAGACAGAAACACAGTGGAGTTTATGGAGAGAAGGATAAAAAAGCTAGAAGCTGATCTAGAGGGCAAAGATGAAGAAGCAAAGAAAAGCCTGCGCACCATGGAGCAGCAGTTTCAGAAAATGAAGGCGAGTGCAGGGCAGCAGCCTCACCTTAACAGCGCTGAGCACCCTTGCCACCCCATGATTCCGTCGTGTCCTCTTGAACTGTCAGCAACTCCCTCCTCCCCCTGCTCCCACCCCAATCCACTCCTCCATTTCTGTTTAGGAAAGGGCAGGTCTCCCATGAGCATCAACAAAACCTGGCATATCAAGTTGCAGTCAGACTAAGCACCTCCCCATGTATTAAGACTGAGCAAGGCAACCCAGTATGAGGAGTAGGGTCCCAAAGCCAGCAAAAGCGTCAGAGACAGCCCCTTCCCACTGTTGGGAGTCCCAGAAGAGGGCCAAGCTATGTAACTGTCAGATATATGCAGAGTGCCTAGACCAGTCCCATGCAGGCTTCCTGGCTGTCAGTTTAGTCTCTGTGAGTCCCTTTGAGCCCAGGTTAGTTGAGTCTGTGATTTTTCTTGTGGTGTCATTGACCCCCTCTGGCTCCTATAATCCTTTCTTCACATCTGCAGGATTTCCCAAACTCCACCTAATGTTTTGCTGTGGGTCTGCATCTGTTTCCATCAGTTGCTGGATAAAGCCTCTCTCATGACTATTGGTCACAGGAGATGGCCAGTTGAGGCTAGGTGTCCTCTATTGCTAGGAGTCTTAGCTGGGTTCATCCTTACAGATTCCTGGGAGATTCCCTTGCTCCAGGGTTTTACCTGGCCCCAGAATGCACCCCTTCCTTCTAGTATCTTTCAAGTTCTCTCTTCATCCCCTTCCCCCAACCTGATTGCTCATGCTCCCATCTCTACCCACCCTCAGCCCACTCACAAAATCTCCTCTAGTTCCCTCCCAGAGAGATCCAGGCATCCCCCAAGAGCCCTCCTTGTTACCTAGTCTCTCTGGATCTGTGGATTGTAGCATAGTTATTCCTTATTTTACAGCTAATATCCACTTATAAATGACTAGATACCCTGTTAGTTTTTCTTGTTATGGGTTACCTCACTCAGGATGATTTTTTCTGGTTCCACCATTTGCCTTGTTTTTACCAGCTGAGTAATACTCCATTGTATAAATGTACCACATTTTCTTTATCCATTCATTGGTTGAGGGGCATCTAGGTTGTTTTCAGGTTCTGGCTATTGTAAGTAAAGTTGCTATGAACATAGTTGAACAAGTGTCATTCTAGTATGATTGAACATCCTTTGGGTATATACCAAGAGTGCTATAGCTGGGTCTTTGGTAGATTGATTGCCAGTTTCCTGAGAAACCGCCATACTAATTGCCAAAGTGGCTGTGTAAGTTTGTGCTCCCACTACCAATGGAGGAGTGTTCCCCTTGCTCCACATCCTCTCCAGCCTGGGATGTCACTGTGTTTTTGATCTTAGCCATTCTGGCAGGCGTAAGATGGAATCTAAGGATCATTTTGATTTGCATTTCCCTGATGGCTAAGGATATTGAACATCTGCTTAAGTGTTTCTCAGCCATTTGAGATTCTTCTGCTGAGAATTCTCTGCTTAGATCTGTACCCCGTTTTTAAATTAGATTATTTGGTTTGTTGATATCTAGTTTCTTGAGTCCTTTATAATTTTTGAAATCAGCCCTCTGTCAGATGTTTGTTGGTGAAGGTCTTTTCCCATTCTGTAGGCTGCCATTTTGTCTTATTGATAGTATCCTTTGCATTATAGAAACTTTTCAGTTTCATGAGGTTCCATTTATTAATTGTTGATTTTAGTGCCTGTGTTATTGGTGTTCTTTTCAGGAAGTTGTCTCCTCTGCCAATGCATTCAAGATTATTTTACACTTTCTCTTCTATCAGGTTCAGGGTATCTGGATGTATGACAAGGTCTTTGATCTTCTTGAACTTAAGTTGTGCAGGATGATAGACATGGATCTATTTCATTCTTCTACATGCTGACATCCACTTATGCCAGTACCATTTGTTGAAGATGTTTTCTTTTTTCCATTGTATAATTTTGGCTTCTTTTGAAGATCAGATGTCCATAGGCGTGTGGGTTTACATCTAGGTCTTCAATTCAATTCCATTTACCCAATGTCTGTTTTTATGCCAATACCAAGCAGTTTTCATTACTACAGCTCTGTGGTAGAGCTTGAAGTCAGGGATGGTAATACCTCCCAAAGTTCTTTTATTGTACAGTATTTTAGCTACTCTGGGTTTTTTGTTTTTCCATATGAAATTGAGTATTGTTCTTTCAAGTTCTGCAAAGAATTGTGTTGGATCTTAATGGGGATTGCACTGAATCTGTAGATTGCTTTTGGTAAGATGGCCATTTTTACTACATTAATTCTACTGATCCATGAGCATGGGAGATCTTTCTATCTTGTGAAACCTTCAATTCTGTTCTTCAAAGATTTGAAGTTCTGTACAAGGTATCTTTATGCACCCCTGTCAGTGTTAGGGTCAGAGGAAAATAGATTAAAACACCTCTGCTGTATTTCAGAAGCAAAGGAGAAAAGCCACTGCTGCTGTTGAAATATTTCCACTGACATTCATCTAGTCGTGGATGTGGAGATGAGGCAGAGGCACCCACCTTGGAGGTGGGATGGATACTGAAGAACATCCTAACCCAGGAATTTCTTAATTCCTGAATTTTCCATTCTTCTGTGGCACAGAAATGTATCGAAGTGTTCACTCCAGCTCCATCAGGTTCCCCTTGTCCCAACTCACATCTCTGTCTTCTATATGCTTGTGCCCATACCACCACCATCCATCTTTTAAGTGGTAGTTCTGGGGTTAGACTCAGGGCTTTGTGTGCGCTAGTCAGGCACTCTACCACTGAGCTACAGCCCAGCACCATGCACATCCACATTTGTTGATACCCCTTGAACAATTTCTGTGTGATCATTAAATATCGAGACTAGATATTTAGTAACTATTTTAATCAATTAGCCACTAATTGTAAATACTAAGAGAATCAGGTATTTCTCAAACACTTCAATACCTCCAGTTACTTTATATGTTTATCCTCAGGGTATGATAAGCTTGCATGGAGAAGCAGCATCATAGGCTGACATAAATTTAATTAGCTTAACAGTATAAAGTATCAATACTATTACTTTAGTAAACCTCAACTGTTTTTTACTTTTTGAGATAGTGCCTCATTTAGCTCAGGCTGGCCTTGAACTCACTGTGTAGTCCAGACAGATCTTATACTCCTGATCCTCCTGTGTCCACCTGTTCAAGTTCTGGGGTTGCAGGCCTGTGCCACTATGCACAGCTCTTAAAAGTTTAAAATTTTAGCCGGGTGTTGGTGGCACACACCTTTAATCCCAGCACTCTACAGAGAAACCCTGTCTCAAAAAACCAAAAGAAAAAAAGTTTAAAATTTTAAATACCTGAGTGCTGCATCAGCACATGCATTATCTAATATATATGAATCACTTTTTAAATGATATAGTTATACCCTTCAGAGAATAAGACCTCAATACATCTGATTTGCAAAGAAATATGTGAGTGTTTGGATAGAGGACTCATATGTACATAGTAAAATGCAGGGTTTCTGAAATTCATGGCATGTTTAATGGGCTCTCACAGGACCTGAATTCTTTCCTCAGATCCAGTATGAACAGCGGCTGGAGGAGCAGGAGCAACTGCTCGCCCGCAGACTGAAGGAAGCTCCACAGAACCAGCGCAACAGCTCAGCCAGGCTTAAGGCACTTGAGACTGAACTTGGGGAAGTAAAGGAAGCCCATGAGGTCACTGTAAGAAAGCTAGAAGCTGAAATCGATGCTCTCAAGCATCAGAATGCTGAGTTACAACACAAGAAGAATGACAAAGAGGATCAGGAACTCCAGTCCCTAGAATTCCAGGTAGAGCAGGCACACACTAAAGCAAAGCTGGCAAGACTCAACGAAGAGCTGGCCGCAAAGGGGAGGGAGATCCAGGACCTTTCGAGAACTGTGGAGAGGCTCCAGAAGGAGCGAAGAATGATGCTGTCTAGACAGGGCCCCAGGAGCAGAGAGGAAACATCCGCCAAACGGGTGAAGAAGGAAGTTCTGCACCCCAGCAGAGGGAATGCAAACTCCTTCTCTGGAACCCTACATGCCAAACTGTACCACCCACACACCTTCACTGATTCCCATGTTTCAGAGGTTTTACAAGAAAACTGCAGATTGAGAAAAGAACTAGAGGGGTTGATTTTAGAGAGGAATAAGCTGAAGACGGATTCTGAAACAGCAATGTACCAGTTTGAAAACTCCATGAAAAGGTAAAAGGTTAAATTGTTCATAAACATGGGAACACAAACAGTTTTTTTTAATTATAAGGTGTATTTTCTCTTTAACTTGACCTTGAAACACATCTGTAACAATATAAGAAACTGTAGTTGATCAATTGCTAGAATGCTTGCTAGAGTATGTGGAACCCTGAGTTTGATCCTAACACCACAGAAACGTGGTGGGTGGTCCATCCATGTCCTCCTAGCACTCAAACCCTTGGTAGAAGCTGGAGGATCCTAAGTCCAAAGTCATTCTCAGCTGCGTGGCAAGTTCGAGGCCCGCTTGAGATACAGGCGAGTGGTCTTTAAAAACACTATGTTGTGTGTGTAGTGGGGTATGTGAAGACGGGGCTTTCAGTGAGGCTCCTCTACCTGCTAAAGCACCAGATGCCGATGAACTGAAACCTCCGTGCCAGTCCAAGCCATGTCTTTGGGGTGACTGGCAAGTTTCCTGTCTTTACTCAGAAGCCAGTTCTCTCCCCCAGGCTCCCATCCCTGTTCGTGATTGCTAAGAGCTAATTCCAACTGCCAGTCAGTTTTATCTTTATTGCTTGAGTTCATTGTCTAGAGGATAGTGCCTATAAATGTTTCCTAACAGTACATATATATGTATATGTATGTATGTATGTATATGTGTGTGTAATATATATTCTTTAAATGCTCTCATAGTCATCTGGTCATTGTTTCCTTCACTAACTCCCAACTTCCTTAAATATCAATACGAAATTTCTCTGCCTAGCATTTCATATCGCATGGCCACTCTCATTCTATTCTCTGTGCCTAACTTGCTGTGTTTCTTTGTGCCTCTTGCTCAGTTGTGTTTGAAGTTCTGCTTCTTCCACAAAACATTTCTTGGCACATCTCAGAAAATTGCTAACTCCCACCCACAACTCCTACATAAGCACTAATCATCACCCGCCTTGTAGCTCCCAAAGAACGGAAGATTGCACTGCTTTGCCTGCCCATGCCTGCTGCTACCTGCCTTCACTCAGCAGGATGGCCATGGGAGTAGCACCCACAGTGCTTATTCACTGATCCATTGACAGCAGTTGGCAACTAAGTCAGCATGGCAGCACCATATTGAAACTGGTTTCTCCAGTACTGGATCTAGTTGTTATTCTTTCCTAAAAATACTTTAAAATTCAGGCTTATTGTTTCTGGTTTCTTGTAGGAAATTTTTAAAGTTTTTGCTAGTATCAGTCCCGATTGAGGCTGTTCTTTACTTTAACTGAGTTATATTATGAGTGATTTTGGTTTTAATCCTTTTCCTAGAATGCTAACTATACTGCTTCCTTGGAGAAATAGCAAATAAGCAACTGATGCCTGTCTGTCACTTGTAGATTGCCATGTTAGTTCTTAGCAGCAGCGATTTGGAGTCACACCACTTACTTAACTGCCTGGAATGCATGTACTTTGTCACCAAGACAAACAAACCATCACATGTACCATCCAAATATGTTGGTGGGAAGTCCTATGTATATGTCAATAAAGCACTGCTGGCCAATAGGAATCTTGATAGGTGGGACTAGGAGTCCAGGAGGACTCTGGGAAGGAGAAACACAGGAGTCGAGATCTAACGCCATGGGGTAGGAAGCCCGGAAACTTCTCCGGTAAGAGACATACTTAGATTAACAATTATGGAGTAATTACTTAAGTCAGAGCTAGCCAGTAAGAAACAAGCAAGGCCAACAGCTTCATAATTAATATAGCCTCCTGTGTGTTTATTTGGGACTCATGCGGTTCTAGAACCAGGCTGGCGGGAAGGCTTCGCTCAAAGGAAAAGGCTTCTCTTTACACAAATGAAGCAGATAATTACAATAAAAGTATTTTATTCTCACAATCTATCACAGCTGTCCCTATAATCATTTACATGCCCAAATATTGGTGAGCTCCCAATAAAAACTATTAAGAATTTTAAAGACTGTGGCTATCCAAATAAGAACCCAAGTGTGAAATTTGAGTGTCCCTTAAAAGACAGAATGACTAAACATTTGCTTGAAATTCAGGCAGGTGCATTGAAACTTTGGAGTCCCTTGGAGAATATAGCTTCAGACGGAGGAGAGGGGAAAGCCCAAAGTTTAAACTCCATTTGTGCTTGACTTGATCTCAGACTGGACAGTTTCCAGATCTGCGTCCTTGGTGTGACCTCTGTGTGTCACTTTTCTTAAACTCACTACTCGTACAAAACCTGGAATGCTAGCAGTGGGTGACTACAGGAGCTCACAGCATGCTGTTGAACATACCGGTTGTGCGTGGGTGACTACAGGAGCTCACAGCATGCTGTTGAACATACCGGATGTGCAGGCAGTAGTAGCTCCCCTTTGCTGTCTCTTTCCCAGGCCTTGAATACTGGCCGGGCTGCCTGGAGAAGCCACTTTACATGTTCCCTCGTGTCTGTTCCACAGGGTCAAGGACGACGCTGCAGCACACATTGCATCACTCAAAGCGTCTCATCAGAGGGAAATGGAGAAACTCCTTTGCCAGAATGCACTAGAAAATTCCTCTTCCAAAGTAGCTGAACTGAATCGCAAAATCACAACTCAAGAGGTAGCTGGTCCTTCTTAGTTGCTAATAGTGTATTTTTAAGGCTATTGATAGAACATGATTTCATTTAGGAATGTTTTAACTTCAGTTTCTCAGGTTGATGATACAAATGGAAAATAATTATTGATTTAATTTTCATACATATAGAAGGGATACAATTGTTATATTTTTTAACATTTTACCTTAAAATTATGCCCTATAAAAAGTGTTTATACAGAATTGTCCCTACGTTTCTCAGATCTTCCTCTACATAGGCTGTCACAGATAGCTGAGGTATATGTCTAGCTGAACTTGCATGTTGACCCACCTCTGTCCACCCCAAGTCCCAATGGCAAGTGGTTACCCTCATGCATTCTTGCTGTTTGTTACCTTTCATCATGGAATGAATAATGGTTCCAATCACTGAGGCACTAGGGATAAAGTAAGGGGCAGAGACACACAGCTCAGCCAATGGGAAGCACAGCCTTCCAACAGCTGTGACGGGAATGCTCACAACCAATCAGCAGCTTCCTTCTTGGGTAACAGGTACATCTACTCAGACTATCTGAAAATAGCTACCCTGTGGCTGTTTTCTCTACTATTAGGATGAAAATAGAACATTTGTTAAAAACGGGAAAGAAAGCAGTGGTGAGTGATACTGAGTGTTTATTTTGCTCCTCATCCTTCCTGGAGGTTTTTATTTTCATAAGACAAGCTTAAGGGGAGGCCTTAAGAAATCACTACCATCTCTCCCATCCGTAACCACTTTCCACCATTATAATTACAAATGAATCCTTTGTTGGGGAATTTTTTTCTTTTTTTAGTAAAAGCTCATGTTTTTATTGTCACCTCCCAGTTCAAAATGCTTGCCTCTCTTTCTAGCCAGCATCCTCTTAGATCTGCGGTCGGGCTCAACACACTCACATCTCAGCACAATTTTCTTTGTAGTTTTAGCCTTTTGTGGAAAATACGCTTAGTCCACCCACCATCGCCACTGTTTCCTGTCATAGCACCGCTTTCCCAGGGCATACAAAGAATCCTTGCCCTTGTACTGTGCCATTTTGTGGGGTTGGTGCCTGCCACATTTCTTGCAGAACATCTGATGGGTCTTAGGAACATTCACCATGTTGGTGGGAGCAATAAAGGCACAGAAAGAAGCAGGAAAATTTAAATAGAGACAGGTTAAATATTTTTTAAATCGTTGTGAATTATCAAATGTGAGAATGTTATGGTACCTTTTGAGAAGTGCCCTATTACAAAGAGGTAAATGTTGAAGCATGTGGGGATTCTAGTGTAAGGAATTCTGGACAATCCTCATAATGTAGTAAGTAGTGTTTTAAATGCTTTTCTAAAGTATTCTTCAGAGTACCACCCAATGTAGCCCTGTAGATCCTAGCCAGGTGTCAGAAGGCAGCTGGCATTGCACCGAGTGATTTCCAGGGATAGTCTGGGACAGGTTTCGAACAGTGTTGTTCTAATACCATAGTAACGCAGATATCATCTCAGTAACTCAGTCTTCCTGAGATGATAAATGTGATAGAGTTGCATGGAAGTCAGTGGCACCTGCTCATTAGAACAGTGATGGTAGCATGTCACAGAGAAGAGAGCCAGGCTTTCCACACGTTCTTAGAATGCCTGATGGAAATCTGTTCGTGGACTCCAAATTCCTTTGTCTAAAATTATGATGTGACATTTTTAGTTCAGAGATTATGAGTAATATCTTTATTTAATAACCAAGTAGCCTTCTTAATCACAAAGTATGAAGATAATACTGTCTTCTTCCAAACTTTGATTTACAGAGGTTTACTTCTAAAGGCTTTTTTCAGTCTTGAGTTGGCTTATATTATTTACATAGTACTCAAGGGAGAGCCTTATTAACCAAATCCTTCTCCCACGTAAGCACTGACCCTGCTCAGCGTCCTAGCTCAGACAAGATCAGGCACATTCATGGATATGTGGCTGTACACTAACCCTACTTGTCATCTTTCCCTAGGTACTTATAAAACATTTCCAAGGTCAAGTTAATGAGCTGCAGGGTAAACAAGAATCCCTTGCAGTTTCTCAAGTTCGAGAAGAAATCCTACAGAAACAAGTAAGAAATAACAGAAATACTGGACTAAATAAGTTTTTCTCAGGGATTTCAATTATGTTAATTTTTCTATCCATATAGAAAAATCGTTAGTAACTTAATGTAAAGTCTGCATCCTAAAAAGTAATCAGTCTAGAAATCTGTTTTAATGTGACTTATTCAATCAACCTTCATGTCTTTAACTGGTAAGTCTTGTAGCTTGTATATAGTACAGGATTTCTGAGCATATATGCTAACAGTGTGGCCCCTTCAAAATCCAAATATCCTTCTCAAAATGGCTGAGACATCAAAGACCTGTTGTATACCCAGTTGGTGAGAATGGTATTTATGGGACATTGTTTCAAGTTACTGAGTAATGTAGGCGGACTCCAGTCAGACCTATAGATGCAGTCACAGCTATTCCTGGGTGGGACTTTGGCAGCACCAACCAAGCAACAAAGACAGAGAAGCCAAAGGCCCCTAGTGGACTCAGAGCCAGCAGAGAGAGGGGATGCTGCTTGGTGGTCTGTCCCCAACCCTCTAGTAAACTGTCTGACACAGGCAACATTTATCTCTCTAGCTAACAGAAACTAGTGTTCTCATTAGCCACAAAAGCCAAGCTGTCAGAACAGAGAAAAGAGGGGGAAATGTCTCCATTTGTAAAAACTGTTTACTGCCCAGTCCTTACCCTGGCTTGAACAGCAAGGCTTGTAAGACCTGGTGTGTGCTCCACCTGTGTGTCTCTTCCAGCAGATAGCAAAAAGACAATGAAAACAGTGACCTCTCTGGGAGCCTCAGGATCTACAGCTGAGGAACCCGCGCAATTAAATCTGTAAGAGACAGTTATTAAGAACCAAGTTTTACATTTTGTTTCCTCCTGATAACTAGAATTTGTAAAGGAGGGGGCAAGAAAAGACTACACCTTCCTCTCTCGTCTGGGAGCCAGTCTTGTGGCTCATGCCTGTAATCCTAGCATTCTGTAGACTGAGGCACGAGTTTGAGGCCAGCCCAGGTGAAGGCCAGAGAGAGACAGAGACAGGTAGATGTGAAAGAACTGGTTTTAGTGGAACCTCTGCTATCCTGGCTGCTGCCACTTTCCCTAGGACCCCACCCATAGGTTCCAGGAAGAGTTGAGTTGCCCAGAAAGCGCTGAATCCCTAGAAATTATCAAGGACAATAATGGTACTCAGCTCTGTGAGTTCTTAGTTGGGACAGGCTCCTGTAACAAACGACAGATTAATTAGATTTGAGAAAAGCAAATGAGTGGATTGACATTCACAGTGCTCACCAAGCAGGAGAAAACTCAGTAGAAAGTGACTGTGCAGTGGCTTAGAATTCTGCTTTCAGCAAAGAACAGGAAACCTACGTGGACCAGTAAGACACAGTAAAGCCAGGGTTTCAAAGGCAGAGAACTATGGGAAGGAATAAATGGGAGAAAACTTTTGGAGTGAGATTTTATTTCAGATTCATCAGGTGTCTTCTTCTCTGGGCTGATAGGAGCCAAACTTAATTGCCTTTAGACAGAAAATGAGGCACAGAAAGCTTGTCCAATTTGCTGTGTCATAGTTACCAGGGGGGCACACTGACAGTCATGCTGTGCCTCCAGCAGCAATATCATTAGACACAGGCTCCTATGGAAAACTACCACTGCTCATTGACCCAAGGTCCCACTGGTTCTAGGAAGATTAAAAATGGTAATAATTATATATTTTTTTCATTTCAGTGCTCATGATGCACACAGACCCTTGTTAGCCTTAATCACTAAGCTTACAGGCTCTCACAGAATTGAAATAAAGCTTTTAAAACAAGCAGAGACAGGAAATAGTATGTTCATGTTTGCAAGGCCAAAAAAACAAGGTCAATGTTAACCAAGTTATAATCTTGTTAAAAGCATACCTGAGACTTGATAATTTATCAAAAAGCATTTTTAATTCAAACATCCAAGAACATCACATCAGCATTGGATGGGGGCCTCTATACTGCATCATCCCATGGTAGAGGATAGAGGGACAGGAGACTGCATGTTTGTCCTGAGCCTTTTTATCTGAAATGCTTTCAAGTCACATGGGTCTTTAAGGTCATACCTGCTGCAAAGGGGTGCAGTTTTTTTCAGCCTCTACTACATCGTCTGTCAATCTCTGCAAACTCAGGCACATAACTGGCTCCTCTCTTGGGATTTATGGTACTCTTCACAAAAGAAGGCTCATCATTCATGAGGGAGCAGCCATTATGGATCTTCAGTGACTACTCAAGTCTTCAGCTCACTTATTTCCTTGCACCTGAGTTATAGAGGAAGGACTTGAATATCTATCCAGACTCCTAAAGACAGATGCAGGGCTGACTGCAAATGTCACCACAGTGGAAAAGTCTATAATCACCTCATAGAAACCAAGCTGGGCGTGGTGATGCATGTTCGTGATCCCTCTTAGAAGCCACACTGGGTATGATGATACATGAGTGTAACCCCAGTACTTGTAATCCTCCATCTGGGCTGTCCAAGGTCCGAGCTGGCCTGTACAACATTTGAGATTCTGTCTGAATAAAGACAAAAAAGGGAAAAGCAAGAAATAAGCAACTGACTGAGCCTGGGGTCTCTTAAGGCCTACTGCTTAAAAAACAAAGAAACTGCAGAATCTTGCTGTACTTGCTGTAACTTATTGTAGATATTCTGGAGCTAGTTGTCACTTCCCAAGCAAGCAGCGGAAGGGAGTGGGGCTTATGGTAAGATCTGTACGAATATCCTTAGCTGTGTTACTCCATCTCTGTCACTGTAGCAGCACCTGAGACAGCCAGCTAATAAGGAGAAAAATTAGTATTGAAGTCTCATCCAGGATCAGTTGGCACAGATGCTTAGAGAAGTTTGAAGTCCACACATCATGAGAGATCATGTGTTAAAGCAGTATGAAGTCCATACGTGATAGAAGATCATGTATTATAACAGTATGAAGTTCACACATCATGAGAGATCATGTGTTAGAGCAGAGCCTCAAAACTGTGTCATTACCCATGAGACCTAAGGAACAGTTCTATGTTAGTAGTGCCACACACCTCAGCATCACTCATGCTCATCCTTCCGTGCCTGAATATGATGGCTAATCTTCAGTGTCAGTCCCATTGGATTTGGAGGCACGCTATAGGCCTACCTGTCTGGGGAGATGTTTTCAGAGAGGCTTAACTGTGAAGGCAACTCCCACCTTAAATGTGGGCAGCACCATCTGCTAGGCTGAGGTCTGGACTGAAATAAGAGGAAAAGAAGGAGGCTAGATGAGTCTGCATATGCATCTCTCTCTGCTTCCTGCCTCAGGTACAGTGTGGTCGGGGGCCTCGCTCCTGCTGCCAGAGGAGGAGCTGCAAGAACCATAGATCTGGACGGTCCCACACTTTACCTGAGGGAAGCTCCTGTTGACATCCTGTGGCTGCAGCTACTTGTCCTATAATCCTTGTCATGTGCTCTCACCAGAAGACCTGAGGCTGATTCTGTCCCCCATCCTGAACCACAGAGACAAGACCCTAGTGCCATTACCACTCACCTGTGGGAAATAAAAACATACAACTTTGGAAGCCTGCCTCCAAACAGCACAGGAAGTTCATATCTGTCAATAATTACAACTCCTTTCATGAGTCTGTATTCTAGACTGTGGAGGTGTTCATGGACAATGCTGACACTGTCACTGCCAAGGACATCTCAGAGACTGCACTGTAAGCTCATCTACAACAGAAACCAAAGCATCTACCCTACTGACACTTTATGTCATATCTGAGAAAAAAAAGGAAAAAACTTCCCTATTAAAAACTACTTCCAAAATTGGGGTAAACAGCTACAGTAGGTACAGCACCATCAATTCTAGCACAAAAGAAACATGAAATTGTATACCTCTAAAGAAACTAATTCTCCAGAAACCCCATTTTGAAGGAAATTTATGAAATGTCTGAGAAAGAATTCAAACTAATGATTGTAAGGAAATTCATGTAAGAGAATATAAGAAATCAGATCAAAAGTGAGAACAGTTCCAATTGTAAATGAAAATTTGTCAAAGAAATAGAGACCGCAAATGAAAGAGGAGGAAGTCTATGAAGCCAGGGGCACCATTAAGTAAACCAATGTTTGCATGGTGGGAATTGTAAGAGAAGAAAAAGACAGAGGCATTGAAAGTCCATTTGACAAAATATTCAACTGTGTCCCAAATCTTCCAAGAGAATGAACATTCCTATATAAGTTCAAAGGACCCCAATTAAATTCAATAACAGAGACCATCACTGGGACACATTACAGTTGGTGTATTAAAAGTGCAAGGCAGGAGCCGGGAGGTGGTGGCACACGCTTTTAGTCCCAGCACTCAGGAGGCAGAGGCAAGCGGATTTCTGTGAGTTCAAGACCAGCCTGATCTACAAGAGCTAGTTCCAGGACAGCCTCCAAAGTCACAGAGAAACCCTGTCTCCAAACCTCCCCCGCCAAAAAAAGTGCAAGGCAGGAAATTCTAAAATTCTGAATTCTCTAGGAGGAAAGCATCAAATTACATTTAAAAGGAGGCCTAGTAGATAAGAGTCCATATTTCTGGTGAACTCTTACAGGCAGAAAGAGAACAGCATGATTGCTGAAAGAACAAAAATAATCAAATATACTAAGCAAAGATACGCTTTAAAACAAAAAGAACAATGGAAAATATGCAAAATGTGGAAAATGAACAACTTTCTCCCAAATGGCACATTGGAATGTGAAAGTGAACACACAACATGAGAGTCTGCAACCACAGGAGAGCACTGAGAGCTTGTACAGCAAATGTATACATCCGAAGGAAAACATGCAAAACCAAGACAAAACTTTTACCTAGGCTAGCCAAGAAAAGTAATATCAAAGACAAAAAGGGAGACATTTTTACTGATCTGAATCAGTTACAAGGGATCATAAGAAATGGCTATGCACAATTACATGGAAAACTGGTAAGCCCAGAAGAAATAGATAACATCCCACATGCAAGTATACCAAAATTCAATCAAGAAGTAGGAAATACAGCAGAACAACAAATAGTAATACAATTGGAGAAGTAATTCAGTCTGCTGTCTAAAGTCTAGAACCCAGTGACCCAGATTTCTACAGAAAGTTTATTACAAAAATTATCCCAGTTATTTTTTTTAAATAATCCAAGAAACTGAAATGAAAAGAACTCTGATAAACTTGTTATGAGGCTACCATTACCATGACAGGAAACCAAAGACAAAACATGAAAACTGCAGACCTGTATCTGTACTGAATGTAAATTCAGAAATTTTCAACAAAAATGCTAGCAAACTGAATTCAAGAGCACATCACAGTGCTCATTCCCTGTGATCAACTGAAACTCCTACCAGAGACTCAAGAATGGTTAGGATTGATACAAAACAGTAAACATGATAAAACACCCCATGTAGAATGAAAGTATGTCCTTTAAAGTCTGCAACAACAAAAGATAGCCACTGTCACTGTCTTATTTAGTAATATAATCTTGGCAAAAGAAACCAAAGGCATTCAGATGAAAAAGGCAGTGATCTATATTTGCAAATAGTGTGACATATGTTGAAAAGCCTAGTCTCCATTTAAAAAAGAAACTACTAAGTGATTTAAAGGAAATTAGAAAAATTTCAGGACACAAAAATCAGCATACAGCGGGTGGTGGTGGTGGTGGCGCATGCTTTTAATCCCAGCACTTGGGAGGCAGAAGCAGGCAGATCTCTGTGAGTTCGAGGCCAGCCTGGTCTACAAGAGCTAGTTCCAGAACAGGCTCCAAAGCCAAAGCCACAGAGAAACCCTGTCTTGAAAAACCAAAGGAAAAAAAGATCAGTGTACAAGGACTAGAAGGATGGATCTGCAGTTAAGAGCACTGGCTGTTCCTGCAGACCTGAGTTCAAATCCCAGCACCCACATGGTGGCTCATAATTAATTAATTGTAACTCCACTCCCACTGACAGGATCTGGGTGCAACATCCTCTTGTGGTATTGAAATAACTATTAAGATAAATAAGGCTCTGTTGATACTATTTAATACCTACTGAACATGGATTTAGTACTAATATTAGATGGTAGAAATTAGAAGCTATAAAATCAGCTGTAGCCCCACAATGTATTTTGCTCCAGCTTCTCATATTCACACAGGCAGGGGTGCAAACAGTATAGAGGTACAGTCATTTTTGTGTGGGTGCATATGATTTTTAAAAGTTTAAGTCTTTTTTACCTAATAGTATATTTGTGTTTTCCCTTTTTAATTTAAATTAGAAACAAGCTTCTTTTACATGTCAGTCCCAGCTCCCTCTCCCTCCCCTCCTCCCCTGTCCCACACCAACCCTCTATCTCATCCCCTTTCTGCTCCCCAGGGAGGGTGAGGCCTTCCATGGGGGATCTTCCAAGTCTGTCACATCATTTGGAGCAGGGCCTAGGCCCTCCCCCGTGTGTCTAAGCTGAGAGAGTATCCCTCTATATGGATTGGGCTCCCAAAGTTCATTCATATATAGGAATAAATACTGATCCTCTGCCAGAGGACCCATAGATTAAACAGACCTCCAAACTGACATCCTCGTTCAGGGGGTCTGGAACAGTCCTGTGCTGGTTTCCCAGCTATCAGTCTGGGGTCCATGAGCTCCCCCTTGTTCAGGTCAACTGTTTCTGTGGGTTTCACCAGCCTGGTCTTGACACCTTTGCTCATCACTTCTCTCTTTCTGCAACTGGGTTCCAGGAGTTCAGCTCAGTGTTTAGATGTGGGTGTCTGCTTCTGCTTCCATCAGCCATAGGATGAAGGCTCTAGGATGGCATCTAAGGTAGTCATCAATCTCATTATAGGAGAAGGGCATTTAAGGTAGCCTCTTGACTATTGCTTAGATTGTTAGTTGGGGGTCAACCTTGTAGATCTCTGGACATTTCCCTAGTGCCAGATTTCTCTTTAAACCTTTAATGACTCCCTCTATTAAGGTATCTCTTTTCTTGCTCTCCTCTATTCTTCCCCGACTCGATCTTCCTTCTCTCTCCTGTCCTCCTCTCCCCTCCTCTTTTCCCCTTCTCTTTCTTCTAATTCCCTCTCCCCTTCCCCTATGCCCCCAATTAGCTCAAGGGCTCTTGTCCCTTTCCCCTTCTCCAGGGGACCATGTATATCTGTCTCTTTTAGGGTCCTCCTTGTTTCCCAGCTTCTCTGGCAGTGTAGATTGTAGGCTAGTACTCCTTTGCTCTGTGTCTAAAATCCATATATGAGTGAGTACATACCATTTTTGTCTTTTTGTGACTGGATTACCCCACACAGGATGGTTTTTCTAGTTGCATACATTTGCCTGCGAATTCCAAGATTCTGTTGCTTTTTTTCTGCTGAGTAGTACTCCATTGTGTAAATGTACTGCATTTTCTCTATCCATTCTTTAGTTAAGGGGTTGCTTCCACCCATCCTCGTCGTGTGTAGCTTCCTAAGAGTATATTTAAATAGATTTTTTTCTGCCAATATATAGTTCCATTAGCTGTTTCTTACACCATTTAACAAGATTGACAATTCTAGACACAAGTATGTATTGTTTAGTCTGAATGGACTATGCTAAGGACATGGATTAAATTATTTGATTCTAATCATAACCAAGGAGTAGTTACTGCTTTTTCCATTATGAAAGTAAAGTTTTTATCAAGAAAATGAAATAACTTTACCATTGTTCCCAGCCAGCACACAGAAAGAAATGCTAGCGTTGGACCCATCAGTAGCAGAAAAAAAACCTAGGTTCTAGAAATACTGAGAACAAAGTAGTTGGGAAAGTCCTGCTCTTGTGTCCCTTTACATTTTGTGGAATCACAGTAAACAAATATAAATGTAATAAGCTGAGGCTGGTATCTAGAAAGTTCTTAGCACTAATTCACAGTGGTTTGTCCATTAAGACTTCTTTAAGACTCAAGCCAGTGGCATCTGCCTTCGGAATCCCGCCACCCACCTCTTAGGAGTTTTCTTCCCACCCTACAGACACTTGGCCATGTTAGAATTCTCATATACTTGTTGGCTTCAAAAGACCAGGAATGCTCTACAGGTGTTGCAGAAGTCAGCAATGACTTAGAATGACAGAATCATTTTCCACCCATGAAAAGTTTATGCAGAGCTGCTGATGTAGCTCAGAGGTACAGCATATACCAGTATCCATGCAAACCTGATTTCATTCCTCAGGACTCACTCCCAAAAATAAGTCTACAGAAATTGAAATGTTCGACTATTCTGTATGTGATTGTAACGCCAACAGCTTTCTGTTCAATCATCATGCCTGGGTTTTTTTCCAAATAACTTTTAGTAATCATTGTATAGTGTATACTACCTTCATACCCAGTAGTTAGGCATTCCCTAAGTTCTCCGCAAACCACCCCAGCTCAAGACCACATGTTTCTGTGGTGGCTGTGATATCATCAGAATATTTCTCATTTAAAACAGTTTGGTTGCCTCTGGTTTAATATACTTTTGTATTCGCCTTTTTTCATACTAATTTAGGTAAGGTTGAAGAGTAGTATTGTTATTATTAGATAGTGGGTATTTTATACAAAACATGATTGAATGTGTTAATGTATCCATCTTCATTTTCTTACTATTGCCTTTAATATAGCAATTAGTGGACTCAGATCTCTGATAGAATTTACTATATGATGGAAAAATGCAGTTAATTGCTTCACTAGCCCTCATATAGAAAGAAGCCTCTCAAAGCTCCTCCATGTTATTCCTAGTGCTGTAACAATAGCTCCATTTTCATTGTGGTAAGAAAACGGAGGGGCTGCAGTGATTAAGCCCATGAGGGTGCCATTCACTCTGTGCACCCTGGGGTCCCAAAAGAGTAGTCAACCAAGAAAGACGCCTCTCCACCTGCCTCTGCTCCATTCCGTATCTGGAGAGCAAAGTACTAAAATTACAAAGTCAAATAGGGTCATGAGAGAATTACAGATAAATGTCTGCGTTCTTCCCGTGCATTGAACACTGCATGGCTGAGCTGTACTTTTAATCCTGAACACAGTTACTAATACCTTGAAACCGAGAAAAGAGCCCACCTCACTTGAACCCATACAGTCCTGGAAGGACGTGGTCCAGACATCTGGAGCCAATCAGACTGTGAGGTCAGCTCAGCTAGAGTGACTCTTCACCTCTTGGACACGAGAGTGGAAGCTATGAATTTCTAGATGAATCCAGGGTACCACTTGAGAAATGTATACAAATATTCTTGATTTTTCAAGATTATCTATTTGCAAATAATTGTTTCCTTGTGATTGTGGTTTTTCCATTCCTACTTCAACTATAGATTACAAAGCTCTTGGAAGAATTGAAAGAAGCCAAAGAAAACCACACACCAGAGATGAAACATTTCATGGGCTTAGAAAGGAAGATCGAGCAGATGGAAATGAGACACAAGCAGAGAGAGCAGGAGCTCCAGCAGGTGCATAATTAAATAAGGAGTAGGGTGTGCGCTGCTGCAGTGCTTACTCTAAGCACAGCTGCTCTGCAGCGCTTTCCTCTATGCCCGGCTGCTCTGCAGCGCTTTCCTCTATGCACGGCTGCTCTGCAGCACTTTCCTCTATGCCCAGCTGCTCTGCAGCGCTTTCCTCTATGCCCGGCTGCTCTGCAGCGCTTTCCTCTAAACACCTACTGCTGCTGTCACTTTTACCTACCAAGCCTCCTACCCATGTTCCCATGCACTTTTCTTTCTGTAGTTTATGTGTATGGATATGTTGTCTACATGTATGTCTGCACTCCAGAAAAGGCATCGGATCCCATGGGACTACAGTTTTAGACCATTGTGAGCCGCCGTGTGGATGCTGGGAATTGAACCCAGGACCTCTGGAAGAGCAGCCTGTGCTCTTAACCGGAGTCAGCTCTCCAGCAACCACTACCCCCACTACCATTGACTTTAATTCCTTAAAATTAGTTTTGAAGGAAAAGACTTAAAATCTCAAATACTTTAATATTGATTTTCCTTATATTTTAAAACAAAACTTATATCATGTCCTTAAGCACTGAGGGTGCCTAATAAGTTTTATGTTTATTCCCCTGGGAACAATATTCCATATTCAAATCATTTCACATATTTATAAAATGTATATTAGTAAGATGGTCACTGATGTATTACATACCTAGCACTGGAGCAGGTTTACTGCATTTGAAGGGAGAGGATGTGATGTTTTAGGACTGTTTCCTCTAGAGCAGGCAGTCAGCTCACTGTCACGACAAGGGTCTCCTAGATTATACTATGGTGAAGCCAGAATGCTGGCTGATCTGGTTTCTAATGAGGCTGCCCTCCTAGCATGCAAGCTGCGTTCTTGAGGCAAGAAAACTTTCTGATGTGTGTCTCTTCTTATGAGGACACTAATCTATCAGCTCAGGGCCCCATCAATACAACCCTATTTCCTCCAAATATAGCCACACCAAGGGTTGGAGCTACAGCATGTGGTTTTGGGGGGTGATTGGGACATTCAGTTCATAACAGATAGTGAGAAATTTACATAAACTTTTGAACACACACACACAGAGGCATTGAGCTTTCTGGTTGATCTGACTTTCCCACAAGAAGCCCTGGGTATACCTACTCAGTATTGTCCTGCTCTTTAAAACTGTTAAATGTTCTTCATATTTCCAGATAATACAGCAAACACGCCAAGTGGTAGAAAGTGAGCAAAACAAGGAAGTTGAGAAGTGGAAGAGGCTCGCGCAGTTGAAGAACCGGGAGCTGGACAAGTTCCGCACAGAACTGGACTCCATCCTGGATGTTCTGCGGGAGCTGCACCGGCAGGGGGTGGTTGTGCCAGTTGCTATTGCAGATGAAGTGAATACTGCAGAGTTTTAGTGGGAACCTCATTGGAAAGCAGATGGAAATGTGCCACTGTCGGGACAGCCTCTGAAAGATAAAGTTCTACCACACAGACATGGGTGAGCAGCACCAGTGTAACATCAGAATAAACTGCCCCGGACCAACAAGGACAAGAACATACGTCATGGTGTGTTTTACTGAAAACCCTAACCTAATCATATTGGAGATGACTTGTGAGCAGGCTCTGTAATGTCAGAAGACAAGACTAGCAAGGCTTTCTGCAGTAGGGCTCGCTCCCGACCTGCAGTGGAGGGGAAGCCATGTCTTATAGATGAGCTTTTCATTTTCCCTATGACAGAAAATCAGCTTTCTCATGAACAGGGGAAAGGAACGTGAGCCTCTGTGCTGGGGACAGTCTCACCAGCTGTCAGCTGAGCTGCAGAGCCTCTTCAGTAACTTAGATGACAGTGGTGACCTCTGTTCTCACGGGCTTTTTGGACCTGATGGAAAGTGACAACTAATGGTACAGTTTGGTGTATCCATTACTGTAGGTCAGATCTAGTAACTGACAGTCCTAATTTTTGGCAGCTCTAAAGTTATAAACGATAACAGAAGTTTTACCTTTTCTATTGAAAAAGAAATATTATGTCCATTAGAAAAAATAAAAATATGATAAAAATAGCTCTAGCTTATTTAACAATCTCTTTTTAAAAGCAGATCAGGAACGTGTGACCCAGCGGTAAATCAAAGATGTGGCCAGTTTTCTTCGTGTCTCCACCCATCTGCCTTACAGCCCCTTGCTGGAGAGCATGCTGTCCATGGAGACACAGCACACTTGGTGTCTGCGCTGGTTGCTCCCAGCCATCAAGGACAGCATAGGAGCTGCACAGTAAATTTTAATTTTTAGTCACTTTAAAATGTAAAAAAAAAAAATAAAGCTGTGAACTAAGTCATTAGAACACAATTTACATCAATAGCACATTTAGGTTTGGCCTACATTCCAGCTGGATATGCCAGTAAATACAATTCTGGGGTAATACTTACAAAATAGAATGTTTCGTAAGAGGTAGGCAAACGAGCCCAGTGATCTTGTGATCTAAGGATGTGAAGTGTATATAGTACCTGTTAAATATGGAAGTGTAATTATTGTCTTAAGGCCAATATTTTGTAATGTGTTTTCTTTCTGAGAGGGGAGTAAAAACTGCATTTTTAAAAATTTTTTTCTTGTATGATATTTCAGAATTATAATACAGATAATTTATTTTATTATTAAGGTGTTTTGTGTTTATTGGTATCATGCCTTTGAATACATAGCTTCCCACCCCAACCCCTGTCCTTTTGACTGATTCTACATATGAGCCATTCAAAGTACAAAGCTGGTTTTAAAACTCAAGGGAAACGTTCGGAAAAGGTCAGTGTTGACGAGTAAGCCAAGTTCAAACGCATCATCTCTGTCTGTCCACGGATGCCCTGCTCTACTCACTACTGTGTGCGCCCTAACAGTCTAGTTCTCTTGCTGAGCTTCGTCTCGGAAACAAAGGTGGAGGCCTCCTGCCTTCATTGGTACAGCTGCGTTTAGAGGCTAAGATGGCTTAAGAGAGTGAGCGAGCAGTGAAGAGCATAGAACGCAATTTTTTAATAACAGGATGGAGGCTCTGCTTGGGAAAGAATGTGACCCTATGATTTGGGATGGCATGGGCGAAGGCTCTGATGAGCTGGGGATGTGGAGATGCTGAATTCCAGTGAGGGAATCCAATCCAGAGCACCATATATACCAGTTAAGTGCTGCTTTTTGTTTTGTGGGCCAGGTTTAACTCAAACTTGAGATCCTCCTGCCTCAGTCTCCTCACGGCTAGGTGGCAAGTGTGTATCCCCTAAGTGGGTTTCCAGTGAGTGCTTTTTGTTTCCAACTGTGCTGCTGCTGGTGGTGGTTTAGTTTTGAGATAGGATCTCATCTAGTCCAGTGCTGGGATTTGAACCCTGTGAGCATGCTGTCAAGCACTCGCTTAACTGAACTAACTACATACATGCCCAGCTTGGTGAGCTCTGTTCAGAAGCAGCAGTAGCAGCTTTTCACCACCAGAGAGGGTTACCCCTCATCGACTGAAATTAATGGCCTATCCTATGACAGGTGGGAAGCAAGACAATGCTGGTTTACCTTGAGGCGGAGAGCCACCAACCCTGGTTGCTTCTATATCTGTATGTGTACCTGAGTTCCAACAAGCTCCCAAAGGTGAGATATGAACTGTAACCCACAAAGAGGTATAGGTTTCCCGTTTATACAAGTAGAATCCATGGGATTGATGTAAAAACGCATATGAAGGAACATTAAGTTGAATCAGACCAAGCATACTAATACTAATACACATCCACAAAAGCAAAGATCTGAATAAAGAACCCATCAGACTGGGGGTGTAGCTGTGTCAAGAGTGCTTATCTAGTATGCACAAAGACCTGGGTTCTAATCCCAGCACTGGATTAGATGAGCTACTATATTTCAAGGAATTAGAAAGGGCTCCTAATAGTTAGTTTGGCTGAAACATGGATCAAAAACGGCTGGTAGCAAATTGAAGAGGTTTAGGGATAGCATGTTACCATGTCATTGTCACTTAAGGATTAATACGCTGCAAGGGTCCAGGAGACCACTGCCAGCCTTCATATTTAGGTAGGCTGTCTACTATTTCTTTTAAGTTTTTGTAACAGACAGCTTCTTGTGGGACATTTTTTTCCATCCTGATGACTGATGGCCTCTTTTGGAGTGAATCCAAAGGAAGGGACAATGAACATCTTTGCTCTTTACCAGAAAACCTCTTGTCCAATAGTATTCTTATAATCTCCATGGTGGTTCATAAAATCATGTCTCCATTCAGGGCCTGAGAAACAATTCAGATCCCGTTCTTCTGACCAAAAGCAATGTTAGCAAGAAAAATAGGTATGAATGTGTCAGACCAGTGATGCTTTGCCAGGAGGGAAGAACCTTCTAATGGGCCTCAGCAAAGCCCTCGTTGCCTCCACCTTCCTTCTATATGGTATCTTAAATTTTAAGAAGTAGCATTGTGATCCTTCTCTGTCCTTGAGCAATGAGCTAAACAATTTCAAATATGTTAAATGCCCTAACATTATGCAGGAAATTGACTGCCTGGATAAGCTAAAGTGGAAAAGAGAGAACAAGGTAAAATTATTCACAAAGAAACAGGCTGGTAAATACTCTGCTAATGCCGTATTCTCTGATCAAAGGACAAGAACCATTCCAAACGTAGAGTTTTAGGCTCAGAATATGTTACAGTCTATTGATGAGTGTGCCCCCATCTAGTCTGATCTTGGAAGTTTAACATCAGGCTGAGCTTCTTAGATGAGAGAATATATAGTCAAACTACATTGAATCTTAGTGGAATTGTCTCCCCTGAGTTTTGAAATTTATTGGGACCTGTGATCCATGAACAGAAATTTTATTTTCACACCAAGGGACCAAAAAATATTTTCTGGTTTACCCAGGACTGACAGGGGCTGAGATGGTTAAAATAATGAAAATATGCATCTTGGAGTAGATACTGTTAGGGATTGAAACTCTACCATTGTGAGAACTATGTTTTACATGAAGGTGAACTGTCAAAGAAGGCAGGAAATGCTACTGGCTCTCAACACATCCACATCCTCATCTCAGGAAACTGGTCCTGTGTTATTCTTCATAGCAAAAGCGACTTCAGCAAGCTAGATCAAGAAGGGGAGACTTGGAATTGGTTATCCTTGGTAATCCAATGGAAGTAAACCAGATCCCTTGTCAGAGGAAAACAGGGCAGTCAGAGACAGAGATGGTGAAAGATGTCATAGTAACAAGAGATCATGAGCCAAAGATTAAGCTACCTGTAGAAATTGATGAAGGCAAAATAATGGATTCTTCCCCAAGCCTCCTATGTTAGCCACTTTCCCTTGCTGTGCAAAATACCTGAAAGAAATTGAAAGTATATTTTGACTCATGGTTTCAGAGGCCTCAATCCATAGGTCCGCTTCCATCCTTTCTGGGTACATCATGACAGCAAGAGTGTATGGTAGAGGAGGCTACTCACCTCATGGTGGCCATGGAACAGAAAGGCCAGCAACAAGACCCAGGTTTCCAAAGTCTACTAACAACTAGGTTCTCTACCTCCTAAGTTTCCATCACCTCCATCAGGTCATTAAACTAGGAACCCATTAATCTATTAATGAGCTCATAGCTCTCATGATCCAGTCACCTCCAAGAATCCCACCTCTGGTCATTGCTGTGCTGTGCATAAGACCTTGGAGGACATTCCAAGTCCAAACCACAACTTTTCTAGGTGAAACACGGCACTGTTAATACTTTGTTTTTAGCTGTCTGGGGCTGATTTTAGATTTGTATGCTATGATGGAAAGAAAATAAGTTTGTGTTGCCTTAAGCCAATGTCCACCCTGATTTATTATAACAGCAGTGAAAAATTAACTCACAAATCAACATCTTTGTGATTCTCCTGTAGTTTGCTGGGTTGAAATGAAGTTCTTGGTCTTGCTCAGAAATCTTGTATCTTCAGGAAGCATCCATGAGGTTGCAACTAACTTGTAAGAAGTTGTAAAGTCTTGGGCTTTTCATGGTTCTTAACATTTAGTACTTAAAATTGTGATGCTATCAATTACATTCCTTCAACTGTTTAGTACTCCAAGTCCTCATCTGGCTAAAAAGCTTCACAATATGATCTCAGATACCTTTTAATCATTATTAAGAAGTAGCCTGTCAGGTGGTGGTGGTGCACACCTTTAGTTTCAGCACACAGGAGGGCAGAGACAGGCGGCAGATCTCTGTGAGTTTGAGGCCAGCCTGCTTTACTGAATGAGTTCCAGGACAACCTCCAAAGCTACAGAGAAACCCTGTCTGGAAAAAAAAGTAGTAGCCCATGATTTAATTAATTGAACAAATTGAAGATTTAATTGAATAAATTGTTACTACTCTTGCAAGTTAAGTTAATAAGATCAATCTCATTGTATTGCATAAAAATATACATGAAGGTAGCATGTATCTGTAAGGTTTCTTTAAAGTGACTTTAATTATATTATACTAAACAGCCCTTGATTTGTTCTACTTGGTGTTGGTCTCTTAAAGAACTGAACTTCCCTTCAAAGACATTTTGGAAAAGGAATTTACTTGGGTGGAATCATTCCCAAACCAAGCTTCTGTATGTCTGAGTCTAGGACCCCTAAGACGACATTGCCAGCACACACTCTCAGAAACCAAGAGACACTGAAAACATGGGATAGCGTTTTAGAGAAATGAAAACTTGCCTGTGTAAAAATCAAACCAGAGAAAGTTCCCGTGCAATAAATGCATTTATTTTGCAACTTAAACAAGACAAATGGAGGACAAACTCATAAAGATGAGGTTACCCAGGGATTAGCAGCTGGCCATGCATACAACTCACTGTGTGCAAAACTGAGTTGTTTCCAACATCAGCAGAGTAAGGTTGACTCCTTTGCGAAATGAACATCATGTTGCTCACATTAACATTCTCAACATGTTGTGTGGTACAAACAACCCACCGGCCATCTCAGCTCCAAGCCAGGCAGTCAACGCCTACTCACCGGCCAAGCACACTGACAGCATGGCAAATAGTATCTTATTCTGAAGCCCAATAGTTCAGCAGCATGACCACGGGGATGCAAACAGAGAAACCCAGAAGGGACCACATCAGCCAGATGACAATCTGCCCTACCATTTTTTGAGAGCTCAAGTGCTTGTGAAATACTTCAGCCTGGTACTCACTGGGGTCAGAGCTGTCCCAGGGTTAGAGCACAGATGGATGGAGTTCCCTGAGGAACTCCTCAGCATGACTCAGCAGAAACACTGTTCCAGTGTGAGAGTCTCCTGGTTATCCTGGTAAAGGTCCCCCTAACTAAATATGACTTAGTGAAGGACTCAGTGGGGGGAGGGTAGCAAGGCCTGGAGAGCCTGCGATCAGAGCCAGGACGCCATGTTCTATCTTCTACTGTTCATGTACACGTTAGCTTGTCTTGGATGCTAAGTTTGAAAGTCACAGAATACTAGAGCTGGGATGGGTCAGTCATTCCAGACATGCCACCTTACCTTTAAAGCCATGGCAGTCCAGACAGGTAAAGCAGCTTGTCACAGGCAGAGAATGGTGGCAAGGGCTAGATCAGGATGCAGTGACCTAAGCCTCACCCCAGGGGAGCTCAATTGCATATGTAGCCAATTGTTTTTCAATAAAGAAGCTTTAATACTGTAAGTGTGGTTCTTAATCCAAAAAGAAAAAAATCACTACCACCCCACCCCGCAAAAGAAAAAAAAGTGGTGCCTTCCATCTCCAAACTCTATACCTTTATACCTTTATCACTAAGTGCTAGCCCTAGTCTAGGTCTTCAACTTTAAACATTGTCCTCTCTCCCTCCCCTCCCCTCCACACACACACACACACACACACACACACACACACACACACACACACACACACACACACGAGCATGCCTGTGTGGGGTTGGGGGGGCGCGTGTATCTAGCTATCCAGAGACAGAACATATCCTCAGGAAAGCGCCCACAAGCGTTTCTCAGTCCAGGTCTATACGTGAGGTCTGGGAAACCGGCTTATTTTCTAGAAGAACGGCTGGTTCCGAAATCAGAAGATCATCCTCCCCAAAGGAGTTCTGGTCTGTGTTCACAAAGTTGGGGATGTCAAACTTCATAAACCTGCTCAGCTCCTCCTCAGACCTCCCACTGCTTCTGATGGCTTCCTGGAGCTGGACATCACTGTCGATGGCTGTTGTTTGGTGGCAGACTTTGACCCTGTCCAAGTGTTCCACTTCATTGATGTAACAGTGGAAGAGGGACCTAGCCTCCTCATGGCCCTGACGAGAAAACACCTTATCTGACTCCAGTGGTTTCCCACAGTCTGACACGAAGCTGTTCATCCGGAACCGCTTCTCCGATGACTCCACATTGCTGTAAAGACAAGAGCAGAGGACACATACAGATCTTCAGTCTGCCTGCCTACAGGTTCATGGTGCCCTGCATGGAGGGCAGGCCAGGAGAGTCCCATGAAGCAACTACTGGGTGTCCCTTAAGGATGTGCAGACCAGCACCAGCAGTGAGATGCATCGCTTCTAAACACAGGACTCCAAGGCAGAAACCTTGGGATGAAAACCCCTGGATTTTCCCAAGGATAGAGAAGGTGCAGGACTCCCCAGCATGCTGTAAGCACTCCAGGGATCTCCAGGGATTCTTAGCTCTCCTTAAGTCAAGTTTTAATCTTTATTTTGTGCTTATGTATATGTGGTAGTTATGTGTGTGTTTGTGTATGAATGTGTGTACAGGTACATGTGGAGAACTGAAGTTGATATTCAGTGTCTTTGATTGTCTCTACACCTTAGTTTTGTTCTCTGTTTTGTTTCAGACTTTTATGAGGCAGGGGCTCTCACTGAATCTGCAGCTGACTGAGTCAGTTTAGAGTGGCTAGCCATCAAGAACCAAGGCATCCTCCTGCCTCCACCTTCCCAGTGCTGGGATTACAGTCACACACAGTTTTTATGTGGGTTCTAGGGATCAAAAATCAGGTCCTCAAACTTGTGTGGCTATCACTTGAGCAACTAGGCTGTCTCCAAGCCTTACATCAAAGTCAGTTTAGGTGCTTCTGATAAACAAAGTCCTGTCTTGCAAACCTTTAGGATCTCTGGAGATAGTCGTAATCTGCATTTTCATAGAATCCCCAACGATCATTACTATAGTGATGTTCAAAATCACAGGCCTCTAGCACTTCCTGCCCTATCAGTAACTGTCAAGTTGCCTCCTTCCTCTCAGCCCCTCCTGAATCATCTAGGATCCATCTCTGCAGGAAACCTTTTCCGATTCTTATGACCTGGGGTAGTTGCTCTACAGAGACACTGAGCTTCTCCTCACTCATCTTCCTCTGTGTTATGCCTGTTTCTACCTCTCTGTCACCTCCTTTAGGTTGTAAGCTCTCCAGGGCAGGCATTGGATGCTTCTTGCCCACCACACCCCCAGTTCCAAAAACAGCAGTAGGTGTATACTAGTTGCTCAGCATGTTTTTGTTGGCTGAGTGAATGAATGAACACATCAGTTAGGAAGAGATCTGAAATTAAAGCAAATCTTGGCTTGGCAAGATGCCTCTTCCCCAGATCCTACAGGCTGGAAATAAGGGCATGCTCAGCAGCCAAGAGCAAGCACTGACTGTTCTTCCCGAGAGCCTGGGTGCTTAGGACTACCTGTTACTCCAGATCCAAGGGTCTGGCACCCTCTTCTGGCCTCTGTGGGCACCTGTACATATAGGGCATACAGATACACACATACATACAAATAAATTTTAATTACAAACCTCAAGTTACAAAAAACATGTTTTAAGTAAGTTTATGATCTTGTGGGCCACACACATAGCTATCCTCAGCAACATACAACCTACAGGTCACAATTGACACTGGCATGCTAGAAGGTACTAATCTTAAAAGTAGCTTGGTCATTGTTGAGTCATACCTGTGAATACTCTTACATAATCAATGCAGTGACTATCAAAAGATTCCCTCTAATAGGCAATGGGGAGCTTGCAGCTGCACCCTGCCTTCAGTGTTCAGGAACAAAATACACACTAGAGTCATAAAATGTGTGCCTATGATGGCCTGGGTACCACTCCATAGGTTATACTTTCTCATGACCTAGCTGCAACTTTAACCTCTTAAACTTGGGAGGTCCTAGGGAAAACTAAAGCTCACAACATCTATAGTAGCAGTTAAAAAGAAGTTTAAAACCAGCCAACTCTTCCACAGCTCTAGCTATACCTGTGAAAATAGAAAATTACAAGGCTCAGAAATGGAACCTTGAAAGTGTGGACTGATAGCCGTACCACTGTGAAAAGAGAGCATTCAAAGAACACTTCCAGAAAATATTATCCCCAGGAATCCCAGTTCCTCATTTGTGGCAGTTCATACCCAGACTGCACTGTTGTTCTGAAACCAAGATCTGGCTGGAGTGTTAAAAGTCTTCCCAAAGCATCCTAAGGTATGAGAAATAAAGACTATTTTGCTAGAAACCTGGACCCATTTTCTCACTGTTTTGAGAGTCTGCGTTCTTTCCTTTCTTTTTCTCCCTCCCTCCCTCCCTCCCTCCCTCCCTCCCTCCCTTCCTTCCTTTCCTTTCCTTTTTGGTTTTTCAAGACAGGGTTTCTCTGTGTAGCCTTGGCTGTCCTGGCACTCACTCTGTAGACTAGACTGGCCTCGAACTCACAGAAATCCGCCTGCCTCTACCTCCTGAGTGCTGGGATTAAAGGTGTTCACCACCCCCACCCAGATGGAATGTGTATTCATTATTTTTAATTTGGAGTTCAATAATCATCTCCAACATCCCGTTTCCCTGGCTAGAGCCTACTGTTCTGAGCCTTGGCTTTTCTCATTATATTCTCCAGGCCTATGGGATTATCAGCACCGGTATAGACAGCTCCTCCCAGGAGGTCCTGTACAGTTCTCTAACCCATGCGGCGACTGCCCTTACTCATCATGCCTCCCCCCATGCTGCTCACACACTTTCAACTCCTCACCACCCTCTGCCTGATCTTCCTAACCCTTCTCACTCCCTCATCCCTTCCCATGTCCTCTCTCTCACCAATCTCTCACTCACTCTACAGTATAGCTACGGTGGACCTGATTACCCTCTTTATGCCTCTGTTTGTAATGTCCAGCAGGCCTCTGTGCCGATGTGGTCTTTGCCTCTATGCCAAGACTCAACAGGAAGTCATCTGTCTACAAGCCCCTCTCCTGCCATCTTTTTTTTGGTCTCCCACAGGTTGTTTTCCTGTCTTCTGTGGAGCCATTTGCCTCTGGTTTTGTTTTTTTTGTTTTTGTTTTTGTTTTTGTTTTTACACATTGCTAAATGTTTGTGTCCTTCAGAGGACTTTGCAAGACATAGCCTCAATGGATGCTGTATGAAACACTGAACACAACACTGTATCTACAGGCTTGTCTGAAACCCTGACTGCTATGAGACACACGGCCATCTCCAGATTTGTCTTTTTGTGACAGAAACCCAAATAAAGTCAGGAAGATGGATCCCACATACACCGCTCTAGCTGCAGAGAACAACACAGGTAATGCCCTGAGTTAGCCCTAACAATTTCTTACAAATGAAATGCTTGCAACTGACCTGACCCACCACACATCAATTACCCTCCTCATCTCCTCAGGGAAGGAGGAGGTGGGCTGAACGGAATGGTGACACCTGCAATTTCCAGCAGTCACTTCCCTGGGGCTTTTACAAGCCTGTTACAAGCTGAGAAACATCCTCCTGAGAATGAAATGCTGTGAGAAAATAACCATCACCACTCATGCAGACACAGCCTGCACCCAGAATTTAAACACGGTGTAAATCAGCCTGATGGGGTGCCAAGCACACACTCCTGTGGAAGCCCTTCTATGAACACCTTTTGCTGAGTAGCAGGGAGATGTCAGGCTGTGTGTGCAGGGGAAAGTCTACCTTTAGAATTCCTCTGAGCATGGCCCTGGGCAAGCAGTAACTACCCACTTAGTAAAACCTCCTAATTGATGGTAAAACAAAGGCAACTCAGTAAGGGTGTCTAGGTTGGACCCAACACAGGTTTCCTACCTGCTGACAGCAGTCATTGGTATCTTGAGATCCTGGGGTTCCTTAGCAACCACTCACTGTGTCTGCACACGGCCAGCTAGTCTGGACTGCGGTCAGCACCAGTGACTCCCAGCGCTGACATTTTCATGCTGTCTGTTCTTGTTACACACCCCATTCTGTAGTGATTTAGCCATATTCTGCTAAATTACAGTTTGAGAGAAAATGTCATTGCCAGTTTCATAAGATCATGAACAAGCCTGTATTCACCCTTAAATAAAAGCTACCTCTACCAGGATATGGGCCATTTAGCAACGGCTACAAAAGGAGGCCGTTTATGGTGGATGTCTGAGGCTTGGATTTTTTTTTTCAAGAAGTCCAAAATATCCCACATAAAAATGAATCTAAGACCTCTCTAACCCTAACCCTCTGACAGCCGTGTGATAATGGGCTATAATGCTCCAAGATACCACTCAGGCTCCCAGCTGACAAGTAGGACAAAATGACTTTTCACTGTCTCGACAACATCCAAGTAAGAGCCTCCCTGCTAACATGAAAAATACCCCATGGGGGAAATTATCACCATCAAAGCTACTTCTAGGGCCTAAAAGCTTTTACAAAAGAGGATATCAGCTTTATACTGGGATCTCTCCCTCCAAGCCTTTCTTTCCTCATGCCCACAGGTACCTGGCTCTCCTCTTCTAGACAGGAAGCTCAGCACCATTCCCTGCCAAGGCAGCAGGTGGGCACAGCTGGCTCTGACCAATGAGTGGCAGGAGGAAAGGATGGGCATTGCTTCCTAGCTAGAGGACAGAAAGGTCAGAGTCCCCTGTATGTCGTCACAACAACGAGGAGGGGGTGGGGACTGCAATGCTCTCAAGCAGAGGTTCTCAACCTTCCTAACGCTGAGACCCTTAACTACAGTTCCTCATGTTGGAGCGACCTTCTCAACCACAAAATTATTTTAGCACTACTTCATAACTGTCATTTTACTACTGTTATGATTCCTGATATAAATACTCCATGGGGGAAATTATCTGTAAAAGGGGGTTGTGACCCGCTGCTATAATGGAGAAGCCTCTGTCTGTCCTTTGTCAACCTGTCATGTCACTTGAGGAAGAGTCATCCTCCCTTGACTGACATCCCAGCGGCTCTGACGTCCCATAACCCAGGTTAGCCCAATGAGTCCGTCCAGTGCCGCGTCTTAACATGGCCCCAGACTTTGTGAAGAAGTGCTTAAACGGTAACTCTGGGTTGCTTCACTATTTCCGGAGAGTGAAGGACAGTCCCCTTCACTTTGTTAGAGGCGTGTAGGGTCCCAGTGAAGCCTGGTCTCTGAGCACAGTTCAGAATGACTTCTTTAGAAAGTAGACTAGACAGGGTTTGCCAGAGAAACCTGCCCCTTCTCCCTCTGGCCCTCTCCCTTCCCTCCTCCGTCTCACCCTCTTCTCTTTCCTTCTTTCTTCCCAGTCTCTCCCCTTGTCTTCTACTCCGTGTGTGTGGTGTGTGTGTGTGTGTGTGTGTGTGTGTGTGTGTGTGTAGAGAAATTTCATTCCAGAATTGGCTCTGTCATATTCTGTAAGCTCCAAAGGCTGTAGACTCAGGGAAGAATTCTTGTTTTGGATGTCAGTGTTATTCTAGAGAGGCGCTCAGCTGAGTGAATGATTCCAGTATTAACTTCATCTATAAAAATATGTGGACAGAAACACCTAGAGTAGTGTTTGCCCAAATAGTTAGCTATCGTGGCCTAGGTAGGTTTATGTACAATGGCTTGCCTGCTTGTATGTAATACCACCTGCATGCCTGGTGCCAAATGAAGCCAGAAGAAAGCATCAGATTCCCTGGAACTAGAGTTACAGATAGTTATGAGCTGCCACGTGGGTGCTGGCAATAAAACCAGAGTCTTCTGGAAGAGCAGTCAAAGATCATAACTACTCATCCATCTCTGCATTGTTGTTGTTTGGTTTGTTTGTTTGTTTTAACTGTGTCTTTTCTTCCTATTACAAACACACCATATGTTTGGATTTCCTAGAACAATGCTATGAAAAGCAATTGTGTGTGCGTTTTTTTGTTTTGTTTTGTTTTGTTTTTGAGAGGAAAGAGCATGAAGAAAATGGAGAGGGTAAGGAGGAAGAGAAGGAAAATGAGAATATTTCTAGTGGCTTTTAAAAGAATTTTCCTGCATATGTCAGCTTATATTTTAAAATAACAGCATTTGCCCTTTTGTATTTAAAGGATTTCTCTAGTTCCTGAAGTCTCAAGCGAACTGAGTTCTGGGCCGCACAGTTCCCTTTCTCTGGGAATCTTTGTTATAGTTGAAGTATAGAAGTGAGAACCCACAACAGGCAGGAGAGACCAAACAGTGAGACCCAGGCAGGGGAATGCTGCTGCTGGGTTAACTTCTGTAAACACACCAGCGTTTGCAGCCAATTTCTTCCATAGATATCCTTTCCGGAAAAGGGAGAAAATACATCTTAACTTCAATATAAAAGTCAAATCTGGGATGAGCTGAAGATGGAAGGGCAGGACCAAGAAGTCTGATTTTCTAAGGGCTGCAAGAGGCAGAAGGGAGAAAGTATGATCTGACCTAGACAGCACCTAGATCTGGGTAGCAATCCGTGCCCCTCCCACCTCCCCATCCCTGGTTCCCAGTCTAGTTCTATGTGAAACACACAGCAAGTCCAGACTTACTCTTGGTGTGGGGCACCTGTCTTCGTCAGCAAAGTCAGCACAAAAAACATGAAAATCACAAAGACCGCAAGACCAACCCAGAATCCAATCACAATGGAATCTGCAAGACAGGCAAAGTGAAATTAATATTTTCAGGATTTAAATTAGGATATAGACATTTCAGGACTCAGAGCTTTCTGGAGATTCCAGGGTGCACAGAATATAACAAGAAGCCAGTCAACCATCACAATAGGGGTGTGAAGACAGGTCACAGGTTATCCCTGTTGTAATTTTAAAAGGCAGCTCCAGAAAGAAAGGCACCATACAACAGATTTCAAGTGGAGGGGGATTTTAGTAGGGGAAAAGGACCATTAAAAAGGGAAAGGGGAGGAGGGAGACCACCTCTGGAGACAGGAGCAGCAGGAGAAAGGAAAGAGAGGCAGAGAGAGGGGACTAACAGACAGAGGGAAAGAAAGAAAGAGGGACAGGAGGTGGGCAGGGCTCCTTTAAAAGGGAACATAGTGAACAGGCACAGGTGGTGCTCTTAGTGGCAGCAGCTGAGGGTGTATCCTGTCAGAACCCCAAAGGCAGGCCAGTACAAATGCCTAAATACTAATAATCCCAAGCTTCAACCTTCAAATCTTCTGCCCTGGGTTAGATTGTTTTTTTCAGAGATATTTAAAATGACTTGACTCTACTCCATCTTATTCATGTTCATGTTGATGCAATTCAGGTCTTGGTCACTTTTGGAAAGGACATATAGCTGGCATCTGAGCACCACAAATGAATGAATACCATCTGCATTCCCTGCCTGGCTCCTTTTATGCATGGGCAACTTTATCCTGGCTGAGGCTGAGGCTGGCCTACACTGGCAGGTTGAAAGTGCCTCTCAGATATGCCAGCACCATTTGTTGAAGATGCTTTCTTTTTTCCATTGTATGACTTTAGCTTCTTTGTCAAAAATCAGGTGTTCGTACATGTGTGGGTTAATATCAGAGTCTTCAATTCGATTTCATTGGTCTACCTGTCTGTTTTTGCGCCAATACCAAGCTGTATTCATTACTATAGCTTTATAGTAGAGCTTGAAGTCAGGGATGGTGATGCCTCCAGAAGTTCCTTTATTGTACAGGGTTGTTTTGACTGTCCTGGGTTTTTTTTGTTTTTCCATATAAAGTTAAGTACTGTCCTTTCAAGGTCTGTGAAAAATTGTGCTGGAATTTTGATGGGGATTGCATTGAATCTGTAGATTGCTTTTGGTAAGACTGTCATTTTTACTATGTTGATCCTACCTATCCAAGAGCATGGGAGATTTTCCATTTTCTGGCATATTCTTTAATTTCTTTCTTTAACAACTCAAAAGTTCTTATCATACAGGTCTCTCACCTGTTGGTTAGAGTTAACCCAAGATATTTTATGTTGTTTGTGGCTATTGTAAAGGGTAATGCTTCTCTGATTTCTTTCTCAGGTCCTTTATTAATCTTGTATCCTGACACTTTGCTGAAGGTATTTATCAGCTTTGGAGTTCCCTGGTAGAGTTCTTCGGGTCACTTATGTAAACTATCATATCAGCTGCAAATAGTGAAAGTTTTACTTCTTCCTTTCCAATTTGTATTCCTTTGATCTCCTTTTGTTGTCTTATTGATCTAGCAAGACTTTGCAGATAGATTCATTATCTATTACCATGTACAAAACTTAAGCCCAAATGGATCAAAGACCTCAACATAAATCCAGCCACACTGAACCTCTTAGAGAAAATGGGAGGTACCCTTGAATGAATTGGCACAGGAGACCACTTCCTGAACATAACGCCAGTAGTACAGACACTGAGATCAACAATTAATAAATGGAACCTCCTGAAACTAAGAAGCTTCTGTAAGGCAAAAGACACAGTCAACAAGACAAAACAGCAGCCCACAGAAAGGGAAAAGATCTTCACCAACTCCTGATTTCAAAAATATACAAAGAATGAAAGAAGCTAGTCACCAAAACACCAAATAATTCAATTAAAAAGTGGGGTACAGAACTAAACAGAGAATTCTCAATAGAGGAATCCAAAATGGCTGAAAGACACTTAAGAAACTGCTCAACATCCTTAGCCATGAGGGAAATATAAATCAAAACAACTCTGTGATACCATTTTATACCATTCAGAATGGCTAAAATCAAAAACACCAATGGGAGTTTATGCTGGAGAGGATGTGGAGAAAGGGGACTGCTCCTCCACTGCTGGTGGGAGTACAAACTTGTACAGCCACTTTGGAAATCAGTATGGCAGTTTCTCAGGAAAATGGGAATCAGTTTACCTCAAGATCCAGCAATTCCACTCTTAGGTATATACCCAAAGGATGCACATTCACACAACAAGGACAACTGTTCAATTATGTTCACAGTAGCATTATTTGTAATAGCAAGAACCTGGAAGCAACCTAGATGCCCCTCAACCAAAGAATGGATACAGAAAATGTGGTACATTTACACAATGGAATACTACTCATGGGGGAAAAAAAACAATAGAATCTTGAATTTCGCAGGCAAATGGATGGAACTAGAAGAAACCATCCTAAGTGAGATAACCCAGTCACAGAAAGGCAAACATGATATGTACTCACTCATATACTAATATTAGACATAGAGCAAAGGTTTACCAGCTTGCAATCTACACCTCCAGAGAAGCTAGGAAACAAGGAGAACCCTCAGAGAGATATGCATGGTCCCCTGGTGAAAGGGAAAGGGACAAGAGCCCCTGAACAAATTGGGAGCATGGGGGGAGTGGGAGGGAGGGAGGAGAAAGAGAAGGGAAGAGGAGGCAGGGGAGGAGAACAAGAGGGATCAGGAAGACTGAGTCAGGGGAGGAATGGAGGAGTGCAAGAAGAGAGATACCTTAATAGAGGGAGTCAGTATAGGTTTAAAGAGAAGTCTGGCACTGGGGATAAGTTCAGAGATCAACAAATACCCCAATTAGGAATCTAAGCAATTGTAGAGAGGCTGCCTTACATGCCCGTCTCTTATAACTAGAATGATGACTACCTTAAATGCCATGCTAGAGCCTTCATCCAGTAGCTGATGGAAGCAGAAACAGATACCCACAACTAAACAATGAGCCAAACTCCTGAAATCTAGTTGTAGAGAGGGAGGAGTGACACATCAAGACCATTCTTGGAAAACACACAAAAACAGCTGGCCTGAGCAAGTGGGAACTCCAGTCTGACAGCTGGAGAACCAACATAGGACCAAAACAGATCCCCTGAACATAGGTGTCAGTTAGGAGGACTGGACAGTCTATGGGGCCTCTGGCAGTGGGGCCCAGTATGTATCCCTAGTGCACAAATGGACTTCGGGAGCCCATTGCCCACTGAGGGATACTCTCTCAGGCTAGATACATGGGAGAGGGCCTAGGCCCTGCCCCAAATGACTTAACAGATTTTGATGATCCCCCCCCCCCATGGAAGGCCTCACCCTCCCTGGAGAGTGGATGGGAGATGGGATGGGGGGGGTGTCGGTAGGGGTCATGGGAGGGTGGGAGGGAGAGGGAACTGGGATTGATATGTAAAATAAGACTGTTTCTAATTTAAATAAAATTTACATTTAAAAAAGTGCCTCTTAGAGTGCTTTACTCTGTGCCAGTAGCTGAGAAGGTATCCCACAGGGCTGGCTTTTATCATTACAATTGCCATCCTAGTCTCCTAATTTACTCCTACACTCCTACTTTAAATCCCATTTGGACTAAGGAACATTGTGTCCTGTGTTTGCTTTAGCTCCTGGCTACATCTTGCTCACAGCAACACTTAACAGAATTTCTCACCATTTTGGAACTAGTCAGAGTCTGCCCTGTTCCAGGACCCATGAAAGCTGGACGGAGAGAAGAAACTCCACAAAGTTGTCCTCTACATGAATACCAAGGCATGTGTATATACCCACCCACACACCATACACACAAACACATACAGTAATAAAGAAAAGATGTAAAGCAAATCACCAAAAACATTTGTATTCAAGCACAGCTGACTTGAAATTATAAATCTCAATTATCTGGTCATGTGCTGTGACAAAATGGTGTATGGTTATCTTCAATTCTGCACATTGTACTTTAGCAACTGCTTCATAGAAAGAGACAACCCTAAAAAACTGTTAAGGCTTTCTTTTGAGCTACCAACCAGCTCCTAAATCACAGAGACTTGTTGCTATGAATATTTGGTCTTATCTTAGCTCTTGTTTTAATCTGTTTCTTTTCATCTATGTTTTGCCTTAGGGCTTTCTACCTTTCATTCTGTATATGTTAATTTCCTGTTTCCTCAGCATCTGACTGGTTAGCAGCTGCCTGGCTTCTAGCCCATGTGTGTCCCTCTCTTTCCCCCTTGTTCTCTCTTCTCTCTCATTCCTCCAGCCTAGATTTCTCCTCCCACTTAGTCTCTCTGCCTGCCAGTTCCACCTATCCCTCAACTGCCTAGCTATTGGCCAGTCAGCTTTTCACTAGACCAATCAGGTTACTTAGGCAGGCAAGGTGAAACAGCAACACATCTCTACATAATGAAACAAATGCTACATAGTTAAAGTAATATTCCACAACATAAACAAATGGAACACATCTTTGCCTAATTAAAGTAATATTCCACAACAAACCCTAAAACAATATGCCTGTGTCATGTTTCAGTCCCAGAATTAGAATGCAGTCCCACTGTGATGAGTGACATTTCCAAATCTGTTTACTGAGAAGGTCTCTCCTAAGGACAGTGTGGTAAGGGTCCCTGAAAGCCAGAAAAGGAAAGAAAATAGTCTTGTGGGCTGACCAATGTCCTTAACTATACAAAAACTTGACTATCTCTCTCCTGTAACCCCTTAATAAGTCTTCCTAAAGACCTTAGAGGAAGAACAGAGCAGCTGCCCTGAGGTTTTTACCCTACTAAAAATGCTTATGTGAGATACTGGTCTTGGAGCAGCCCTCTCTTCTACATTCAGGCCATCTTTAGACTCCCACCTTAAGGACTTAAAATGGTCAATAAAATTCTCAGTTTACAAATGTGAGAGACAGAAAACCAAAGTCATATAAAAGGCCCCATTTTACTGTATTGGTTGCTCTGGGCTTTTGTTTGAACAAGAGTGTGACCAAGATTGCCATCGTAATTAAAAGCTGCTTTCCCAGGGAAGCCTTGGTACCCAGTTTCTTCGTTCAGAACCCACAACTGCAGCGTCCATAGGGATCACTGGACTGGTCCATAGCTCGCTTCCACTTTTCTAAGTAGGGAGTGGACAGAAGAGAAGGAAGGGATGCTGGGAAAGAAGGGAAATTGCCACTGCCTTCTGTGGCACTCCTCGGGTACTCAAATCTCTAAAACCCTAGGGTCACCACTGCTTCTGAGGCCACACCTTCACCAGTGGCCTCTCCTGGGCTCTCTTTGGGACAACTCCAACCCTGCCCCACAATGACACCTCGGCCCTTTTCCTTGATCCTTTGATGCCTTTAAAACCAGTACCATGTGGGAGACTCACACATTATCAAGTTCAGCTGCCAACTTGGAACCCCCTTGGGCCCTCTGGACCACAGCATCTTTGGGTTGACCCTGAGGAAACACTTCCCAGAAGATTTGTTTGTTTTGTGTTTTGTTCTTCAAGACAGGGTTTCTCTCTGTAGCTTTGGAGGCTGTCCTGGCACTCCCTCTGTAGACCACGCTGGCCTCAAACTCACAGAGATCTGCCTGCTTGTGCCCCCTGAATGCTGAGATTAAAGGTGTGCACCACCACTGGAAGCCAGCCTCAATCACAGCTTATTTCTCAGCTGGGGCTGAGAAATTTCCCCAGTAAAACATTCATCCCTTTCCTCATTAAACAAAGGTTAATGTCAATTCCATTCCCCCAGTTACTCTGGTCCTCTACTCCACCAGTCACTCCAGTCACAAGACATCAGAGCAACCTTGCCTGTTCTCTTGAGCCCATGTCAAGCCACTGACCAATCTGGAGGAGCCCACATTTATGAACATCTGAAATGCATGCTATTTGCTTTATCTTGCATCTTGGCACATCAATGGCTATGGCGAGGAGTACCTCACTTGTCTTTGCTTCAAATCTCACTCACTTCGATCGCAGGTACAGCAATACCAGTAGAACCTAAAGCAGAGGCTGTTCCTCTGTTTCAAACCCTTAGCTGACATTTCAGAGAAAAGTCTTAGTCCGATCTCTATGCCCCTCCCCCTGTCCTGCTCTCCTTGTCAGCTCTACACTTGGCTTCCGCTGCTCTGTGTGGTGTTCGAGCCCCTGGCACGGGTGCTCCAGGTCATTCCAGTCATGGAGCACTTTCTGGCATGTTCTTCCCTCCAGCGTGGCACGATCTCACAATTCCTTCAGATCTTTCCCTCAGATGTCTCCCTTTCAGCAAGGCCTTCCACAGTGTGTGCTACAAATCCAAGCTGTGAGAAGTACTTTTGGATTTTCGGCTCACTGCTGTCTCTCCAGGGCTTCACATGATTCCATTCATAATAAGCGCTCAGGAAATATCAAGAGCAGTCATATCTGTTTACATTCCAGTCTCCTCTCATATATTGTCAGGTTCCTACGCCGAGAGCCCCTGTACTTCAGTCAGATCTCTTACACTGAGCAGCAAGTGCCTGGACATTTTTGTATTTTCATGACATTAGTGTTGAAACAAAAGCATTCTCATTAGTTGCATGCAATGTACCAAAGCTCCGCCTCAGTTTCTGAAGGAAATTCGTTTTCAAACAATAATTATTTCTATAACAAAAAAATTCTCAAAAGAGAGCTGCCTTGGTTGTCTCTGGAAATGTGCCAATGAAAATTACAGCAGCGGGGCAGTCTGTGGAGCCCTTAGACCAAGGAGAAGGGACAGGACCAGACAGGCATAGCTCTGATGGAAAGGCTCCTGTGACAGGGAACATGGCACTCTGCCAGTCTCTCCATTTTCCACCAAAATTCATAGCAGACAAGAGTCCTTTCCTAGAGGTTATCCCATTGCAAACCACGGATTAAAGAACTTAGTGGGTGTAGGTGATTTCATACTCAGACCCCAAGACCCTTATACAGATAAGTAATGGCAGCACGTCCTAAAAGATTCCTGCACTTTCTTGTCACCCCCACAAATACTGAGCAGATGTCAACAAAGGAACAAGAAAAGCGGTTCGTTATTACTTTAAGTGTGAAGGACATGTTTTAGTTGGTGGCTTTGCTTAAGGAAGAGAAGCAGAGCTCCCTCCTGGCAGTGAAGGGGTGAATGGGCACTCCTAGTGGGGACAAGTATCTCTATGGCCAAAAGTGGAGGGAGGAGGGAGGGAAGAGAGAGGGAGGGGAGGAGAAAGCATGCCTGTGTTACATTTGTGCCTGCAATTCTGATCTCTCACATTTCCCAATGTACCACTTGGTCTGGACCAGTTAAGAGCCTACAATGGAGGCTGGCGAAATGGCTCAGCAGTTAAGAGCACTCACTGTGCTAGCATCAGACCCAAGTTCATATCCCAGCACCCAGATCCGGTAGCTCACAACCACCTGTAACTCCAGCCTCAAGAACTGACCTTCTCTTTTGATCTCTTAAGGAACTACATAAACACACACACACACACACACACACACACACTAAATAAATAAATAAATAGATACATAAATAAATAAAATCAATAAATCTTAACAATGAGTCTAACATGTTTGCAGTATTTATGTATACATTTTTAAACAACTAGACGTCACAGGGACAGTTGCACATTATCCTGAGTAGTTGGTAATGCTTGCCTATATCAATTTTGCCTTCCAAATTAAGGTTGCTTCCTGTAAGTCAGACAGCATTGAGTCTGAGAAGAGTGCAACAATAACTGTTTACAGAACTGCATTGCTTTGTGACAGCCCAATTTCCTGAACTGCAACTGATGCCTACACCTCCAATGGTTTATGATAGGAGGCTGTTCTCACCAGGGTCTGTGGATACTGCTCTTATATTTATTTATTTTATTGTATGTGTATTGTATGTATAGCCTGCATGTTTATGTGTACCATCTGTGCACAGTGCCCACGAAGGTAAGAAGAGGGCATTGTATCCCTTCGAACTGGAGTTACAGATGGTTGTGAGCAGTCCTGTGGGTGATGGGAATAAAACCTGGGTCCTCTGGAAGAGCAGCCAGTGCTCTACACTGCTGAGCCAACTCTTCATCCTTCCACTGGGTTTAGAAATTATACTACTGGCTATTACAAAAGAAGAGTCTTCATGCAATTGCCCTAGACCCTGTTTCTATACACATTTTTGTTGTTACTCAAATACTGAGGCTTTGAGGGAGCTAGAATAGTTAGTGCCTTTAACAAAAAGCTCTTTGTAAGGCTAAAACACTAATCCACACTCTTCCATGAGGGGGCTGTTGTTTAAGTGCTTTGAAAGTCAGAATTACCAATGCCCCTGTATCATACCACCCCGGAGCAATGAGCCTACATGAAGGAGCACTGGGTATTTAGAGATACAAGACCATTCTATAAGAAGATAGGATATTAGGAAAAAGCAGTCACAGGGATTTCACAGGTTAATACAGACATAGGACAGTTACCCCAAGGAGCAGCACAAGACTTACATTTATGAGCCTTCAGTCCTTCAAAGGAAACTGGTCCAATCTCATAGTACTCATATTCCCAGGTGTAATCAGAATTAGATGCTGACTGCAGGGATGTTCTGTTAGAAGTCAACCTCTGGGCAGACATCTCCACCCTGCACACATGAAGAAAGGAAGTACAGAACTCATCAGTCCATTCACAGATAAACAGTTTCTCCAATGATCGTGGATGCATTCAAGAGTTCAGGGTCAAAAATCCTAGTTCTTAACCACCGGGTCCCCAGATGCCTAGACCTCACACCACACAACCATTATTTCCTTTCATTCACTATTCGAGCATATGTGAGAGCAGACACTCTGCCTTCGTGTGTGTGCACGCAAACTGTACCGGATGCTTGGCATATGAACTGTACCGGATGCTTGGCGTGCAATCATTGGGAACTTCTGGGAGATGGAAGCTGAGAGGGGAAGAAGAGACTGTGGCAACACCTCTGAGATTTGCATCAGCTTCATCACCTAGACCTGTGTGGACTAAGTAAACATCAGTGTCAGAACTGAACTGCCAGCATGTCTGTCTCCAGCATCGACTGTGTAGCAGTGCAGACATACATCGATGCAGATGTACGATGGGGATTGGACAACAGCAACTACACAGTGGGGGAAACCTCAGTAGAGGCTCACACATCACCTTTGCTTAGTCCTAAAGGAAGTCATAATTCCAGGATTTCCCTAACACCTTTTTTGTTTGTCTGTTGGGATTATTTTAAATATCTTCTTTGGGAGATGGTAGAATGTGTATCTATGAGGATGGTGAGTGTCTATGAGGATGGTGAGTGTCTAACATGAAGTGTCTAATGCAACAAATGGATGAACAGAAGCCATTGGGGGGTGGATAAAATACCAATCCACATCAAGATTCCCTGAGCAATCTCTACCATTGCATTTCTGTCTATAAAAGGGCTTTCTCAAACTTGCCTTTTTCTCCCTGCCAGGAGCTCAGAGCCACCCACAGCCAACTTTAGGGTAGAGTCACAGCAATAGCCAAGCAAAATCATCACCACCATTCTGCCCCAAGGCATGCATTTCTCCTTTCATACGTCTTCCTCCCTGTGCCTAGACCTGAGACCCACAGAGTATCCAATGTCACAATGTCCAAAGCATAAGGTGCTGGGACCCAGAGATGCCTGCCAGTGTTAGGAATTAAGTCACTCCCGTCAGGGTGGACAGGCAGAAACAGAGCTGTCAGCTCTTACATGGGGAAGAAGGTTCCGTGTACTAAAAGGAAAGTTGAATTTTACCTAAGATAAGTGTTCATTTACCCATTGCATGTCAGTTCAAAATAATGTAAAACCATTACATGTGCTGGTTAATCTTACCAACTTAACTGGATTTAGTATCACCATGGAAACGAAACTCAGGGTATATCTATGGCGATGCTTTCAGGCAGGCTTAACTGAGAAGGGGAGACAAATCCACAATGTAGGGCATGCCAGGCTATAGGTGGAGGTTCCAGACTGAATAGAAAGGAGACAGAGACAAATCCCAGCTTTGATCTACCTCTGCTCCCTGATGGTGGGAACAATGTGAACAACTGCTCCTTGTTCCTGCCACTGTGTCTGTCCCCTTTCTGTCCTTACCTTGTTTTGTCACAACACCAAGAAAAGTAACTGATGCCAGAAGCTGGTACTGCAGGGTGGAGCCTGCCTCACTACATTCTCTGGTTGCTTCTACCTCCCAGTCTGCCCATTATGGCTTTGGCAGATACCAGCTGCCTTTCAGCTGACTGACCCCAAAGGTCTTTCTGATGGAAAATTACCCTTTCCCAGTGTTTCCTGCATCAGGAACTGTGTGCCGCCCTGACTGATCCAACTCCAGATAGCCAGCCCCATAGTTCCCAGTCACCATGTATGCTTACAGATGCTTCTAACATCCCAAATTGCCTCCCGTAACAAACTATTTCTTATAACATACTTTATGTATTTTTGTGCCTCACAACTGGCATCCTGAGTTTTGATTTAATGCAGCATTTTTTTTAATTTAAAAAAAAGTAGTTTTCAGGAAATATGGCCAACCCGCTTTTCTGTCTTTCTTCGTAACAAAGTATCTATCTGTGACTCAGGGCTGGTTAGCATCACTCTTACAGCTCTCGCTACAAACTTAATTTGGCCGGGAGGGTCTTTTTTCATAGGTTGACCGATTAAGTTGCTACTGCTACTAAGTCTTTTGATATTAACAAACAAAATAAATTGAAAAAAATAGTAACAAACAATGTTCCAAGGATGCAACAAGATGTTCTTTAAAAGGCTTCTATGAATTAGGAATTTTTCCTAAGCTAAGATGTCCTGAGACAAAACTAGAGAGCCTTGACTGGCCCAGGCTCCAGCCAGCCAGACCCACAGTTCCCAGTCACCAAGCCAATGATGTATGCTTACAAACAGACATTTCAAACTTCCCATTTGCTCTGAAGATCTGAGCAAGTCACGTGAGGTATGTGAAAGATGAAACAGGGCAGATATGTGTTCAATGATGGGCTGTAATTATGATTTGCTCATGGTAACAATATTTTCCAACACTGACTTAAGGGGTTGTATTCAATCAAAATGACTACTTGGGAAACTCAGAGACTGTTTAAAACTGTTTGGGCTTTCTGCCTACGCTGTATCTCTAAATGTCAAATAGTTAATTGATTTTTATAAATATTGGCCTTCTCATCCTAATATTTATAACATATATTTTCTATGGCTTCCTATTGGGTAGAACCATGAGCTAGATAGTCACTGACTCAACCACACTCTTTAAACTCCAAGCACCCTTTTCCTCCATCCACCACCTTTGCTTCTTTAAATCACACTATGTTTTTTTTATATATATTTTATTTTCCAGTTTAAATTTAGATAAGAAACGAGGTTGCTTCACAAGTCAGTTCCAGGTCCCTCTCCCATTCCCTCCCCTCCTCCCGTGCCCTCCCCCCAACCCCTCCCCCCCCCCGTTATCCCCTCATTCCCCCAGGGAGGGTGAGGCCCTCCATGGGGGTGTCCATAGTCTGTCATTTCATATAGGGCAGGGCCTGGACCCTTCCCCAAGAGTTCAGGGTGAGAGTGCACCTCACATTGTTCTATGGGAGTCCAAAGTCCGTGTGTATACTTGGGATGGGTACTGATCTGCTGCCCAAGTCTCAATAGATTCCCTAGGCCTCCTCACTGACACCCAGATTCAGGGGGTCTTAATCAGTCCCATGCTGGATTCCCAGGCTGATGCCTGGGATTCAAGAGTTAACCTTTGTCTGGTCAGCTGTTTCTGGGGGTTAAATCACACTATGTTTTAATGATTTTAATTTCACAAAGCCACACACCAAAGTGTTACTTTAAATACAAAGGACAAAATCAAAAGATTTGGGCTCAATCATAGTGGCTAATATGGGAGCACTGACGCAGACAGGTGTCACCTGCAGAAAGCAAACCTGAGGAGGAGGCCGTACCTCCCCTGAAGCCCTGGTCCCTAACAGACTGTAGCAATGACAGGGCAGCGTAAACAATCATCTCTCCCCATCTCTGGAGTCCTTGGCCTTGAGTTAGGTCAGGTTCCTGATGCCTTTAAGTCATGCATTCCCCTGCGAAATGTTACAAAAGTGAGTTACCCTCTTTGTTCCCAAAGGTGTGGACCTTCCTGATGGCTCACTGTAGGGACTGGGTGCCTTCCTAGAGTCACAAGTGAATGAAAACCCTCTGTTTTCTCAGAAATTCAGCTCAGAATGTGTCTGTTGAAGCAGCTCTCTCTCTCTCTCATACCCACTGCTCCTGTCATCACCGCTTGCTGAACAGGTAGTCTAGCTGAACTGGTGAGAGCCAGGTTTTGAGATCTTGTCTTACGTTAAGGTGGAGAGCAACTGAATAGGACACTGATGTCAACCCCTAGTCTCCACAGGCACAAACATACACATACATAAACACACAAAGATGAATAGTGAATCAAGGCAAGATTAAGAAATAGCGGCCTACACTGTTACTATTAGCTAAGAACTATTCTGGGACAGAAAATCATGTGTTTATCCTTCATACACTTCCAACTCCTTAGCCAGCTAGTTCTTATCAAACCAACCCTGTGGTTAATGGATCTATGTAGTCTAGGCAAATGAAGAAAATTAAAATTAACATATATCAGATGCTGTTCAGTGCTTGTCTGTCATGTGTGGTAGCTCTGCACTTAATTCCCGGAACTACAAAAAAGGAAAGAGAGAAAAAGAGACAGAGAGAAATTATTCATAATAAAAACAACTCAAATAATAGCCATTTGGATGTTTAAAAGCTGTAATTATCAGCATTTATGTCTCAAGGTTCCTGCTACTCGGCTGACTTAGCCACTTAGAAATACAACAATAATAGTTTCTTTTTCAGGAAACTAAGATGAGGTCTCCTTTGATCATTGCAAATTGACACCAGCAGCCAAAGAGCAGAGGGAGATAACAATAAGCACAGGAAAACAAAGAAAACAAAAGTGGGCAATGTTGTTTCTCCTCTCTAAGCTGCACAGCACAAGCACACAGCTGCTCTCTCCATAGCTCCACGGCAGTGCGCAGCAGGGACCACCACGGTTGGAAGCGGCTGTCTGGCGTGCTCACAGGGCTCCAGGCTGCAGCTAGTCTGCTGTCAGGAAGCCCGCTGGAGACAGCGCATGTGTACGAACGCTGCTTCTCTCCCACACCCTAGCTCTCTAGCTCTGCCCTATTAGTGCCATGGTCCCCAAAGAAAGAATTCATGATAGGAGAGCCAGGATAGGGGAATCCAGAGCAGAGACCTGACAAACGTGGAGGTGAATGATACTAGAGCTAGCCCCGAGGTCCTGCAGTGAGGCAAAAAACAAAAAACAAAAAAACAAAAAAGCCAGATGCATCCACACCCCCCTTCCCCCCATCCAGCCAGCTGCAGTTTCCGTAGCCTTCAGGGAAAAAAATGAGGGTCTTGTTCTCACTGTCCAGCTCATCTTTGCTCTTGACTCCCAAAGGTAAGCTTGAGGACACAACCTGTGGTCCTTCCTTTACCCTCGGAAAGATCTAGTAGGCAATGCTGTTCCATCCAAGTCCCTGGGTAGATGCTTGGGCCCTTGGATGCACAAGGACAAACAAGCAGAAGGTCGTGGAAAGCAATGTTTTACTCCATATTACAGACGCCCAGTGCTGTCTCTGATATTGGCTGAAAGGGAGGCTGGCCCTGCTGGCTGTTTGGAAATTGTCATCCTGTCTGTCTAGGAAGCCCACCCTAGGGACTGTCTGTGATGCTGGCTGGCTTGTAGGAAGTGACACCCTGCCACCAGGACTCACACCAGGGGGCTAAAAGCTGGCAGGGGCTCTCTGAATATATAGACAGGGAACAGGGGGTGCTCCCCAACAGGGCCCTGCTACTCTAAGTATCCAATGAAGGTCAGATTGTCCCATACCATTAGAGTCATTTAAAATAACCTCACTGACAGGAAACACATGCTAAACAAGTTTCCCAGAGTGACAGAGAGAGAAATTATTCTTTTGAGCAACTACGAGTGCTGTTGCCTACAAATGCAGTAACAAACATTAGGACTCCACCTTAAAACTATGCTGGCAGGGGGTTACCCTTTTCAGGTGTGCATAGGTAGTTTCAGAAGAACCCATGGTGGGAAAGTGTGATTAGCAGGCTCCAGACATCTTTGCTGTGATGAAAACTGGCCATCGCTTCTCCTTCCCACATTCCAACACGATTCGTCCATCCTCTAAGCCAGCTCCCCTTGAAGGGACACCAGCCCACCGAGCATGTGGGTCTGGCAGGCCTTGCCCTTCTCCCCCATTCCCTCTGCCTTGTTAAAAACCTTTAGATTACATTCCTGAAGCTACCAACCAAGATGTATTCCCTTATTTGGCCACTTCCTCCTTCTGCGGCAAAATCCATTTCTGTGAATCCATTTCTTTCAATGTGTGAGTTTTTCTCCCATTCTCGGTCATGCTTCAGAGACTGCAAGGTCTTTGGCTTTGACATGTGCAAGTCTCTCACTTTTAAAGTCACATTAGTGATATTACATATCTGTACATACCTGTGTACACACTGCATTCATTCTCCTTCCTCAAGAGGACCCCCCACACACACACATTTACCTACACCATCAAGCTTTACACCATCTCTTGCTGTTTCACAGGAATACTCTGTGATGTGATTGACAGCTAACAGAATTTGAGGATGTATCTTCAACTCTGTCCCTATTTGCCCAGGGTACAGCTGTGACTTGTTTCAGAGCACACCACAGAATAAAAGGCATGCCCCAAGACTGATGGTGTCCCCCTTAAAAATCAACATTAGGGCCAATACCATAACTTGCAAATAACAGAGCTTAAAATTGTACCCAGATAGGTACTAAGCCACAACATTAAGTAGACTTAATCAATTAACACATGGGCATCCTCTCTCTAACACCTGGTGCCTCAAAGAGAATTCCCTCCACCAATTAGGCTTGGTGCACCTTAATAGTAGTAAACAGGTCAGATAGTAATGGTTTGAGTTAGTGTTTCCTGACTCTGTAGTTCCTAGTTGAGTCCTCAACTAAACTCTAGGTGCTGGGACATGACAACTGTCCTTGCCCTTTGTAGATGGTGGGTGACCGTTCCAGATACCACAGGAAAGGTTATCATGTCACTAAGCTGATCAGTCTTGCCCGGGGCCTTCTGGCTCCCTCTGGCTCCTTCTGTAAACCATAAGACAAGGGTCTTTTATACTTTAATTGCTGCTAGACTGCCAGCCCCCTGCTAGTCATGCTCGAATATTAATTCCCCTAGTCACATGGGCTCAATCCTCATGAATGGGATTAGTGGCCTAAGAGAAGCAGCCCCAGTGTACTGCCTGTCTGCATCATATGAACACACAGCAACAAAGCACCATCTACAAGGCTCCGAGCCCCTGCCAGCCACCTGGTGTGCTGGTACCTTCACATTGGACTTCCCATGCTCTAGAACTGTGAGCAATAAACGTCTATTGTTTATAAACCTAAGGTATTTTGTCCTAACGTCAAGAAGAGACTAAGAGCATGTAGCTGAGACAGCTCAGTGGGTAAAGCACTTGTTGCACAAGCTGATGACCCAAGTTCGATTCCCAGAATCTAAGGAGAAGGTGAAAGGAGAGAACCAACTCTACCAAGTTTTCCTCTGACATCTCTTTCTTTCCCCCTCTCTCTCTGTCTCTCTCTGTCTCTGTCTCTGTCTCTGTCTCTGTCTCTCTCTCTCTCTCACACACACACAGCCCACACACAATGTGCTCACACAATAATAATAAAGTTTTATTTAAAAAACAGACTAAGATAGTGCACAGGCAAAGATCATAGCAGATATGCTCTATGTGTTGTGGACGCTCTTGATGTTAATGCATTACAAAGGCAATCTTTGCTCCTTTCTACCCTGAACAGTAAATATGAAGTGCTTCTCAATCAATGCTCTGGGGGAGGGGGGTTGAGAGCTCTCCAAAGCAAGCCAAGCCCAGGGAATGGTGGACAAGGCTGAGCCAACCAGGTACCTTGCATATCCTCCCAGCCACAAGCACACAGCCTTGCTTCTTTCCAGAGCGTGGGGTTCCAGAGTCTCTTATGGGATCCTCTTTCTCCATCTGGGAGTCTTAGACAGCTGGGACGTACCAGTTCTAGAAACACATGTAGTCTTAAAGTCCTGGTTTTTAGGCTTCCACTGCATTTGTGTGAAAGCCTCCTATGACTTAGGTACTCCTCTCCAAATGTAAAGGGATTTATTTGGTGAAATTCCTTCTAGGAATATTCTGCAATGAAATACTAACTTTCTTTTTACTTATGTCAGTAACTCCATGTGTGTACCTATTATCATAAGTTATGGGTATGTATGTCAGCATGTACACATGATTGTATATATCTAAATAGACAGTAGATACATAACAGATAGATGATAGTGATAAATAGGAGATAAATAGCAAATCAATAGACTATGATGGTTGACAGATGGCTGAAGATCAATAGACAGATGAAAGACACACTATAAACAGATATGACACTTACAGAATTTTGACCACCTTACAATTTTTATGTGGAAACCCTATCCCCTGACACTACAGAATGTAACTTTATTTGGAAACAGCATCTGATGGATATCCAGAGAGAGATGGGAACACATGGAGGGACTACATGTGAACAGGCCACAAAGGGCAACCATCAGTGAGCCAAAGATGGGGGCCAGTGACAGAGCCTTTCCTCATGGTCCTCAGCGGAAGGCCACTCATGTCTGTGGTTTAAGCTTCTCTGCCTGGAGTATCTTGTCGTTCAAGCAAACTTACGTAAGTGCTGAATAAATTTGAGGAAAACACTGTTCTCTTTGATGAATTAAACTGTTGTTAGAAATGAAACTGTCATTTAACTTTAATCTGAATTTGAAAGGCCATTACATCTGGCTTATTTTATCCTAATCATTCTTACAGTAATAGAACAATAAATTTACCTTTGAAAAGAAAGCTATTTCCAAACTGATTAATCCACCCTCTTCTGTGCCACCTTCAACAGGTACAGAAAGTTCCTACAAGAATGCTCTGTAAGGAGAAGGAGTGATTTCGATAAACAAGTTAAAATAAATTAGGAGGAGAAAGTTCAAATCAAACAAACTCTCTCTCTCTCTCTCTCTCTCTCACTCTCTCTCTCTCTCTCTCCCCCACCCCCTCAGGGTAAAGGGCATCACTACAGCATGATGACACAGACAACAGATACACAAGCATCTTTAAGAAAAACATCTCATCCGGGCGTTGGTGGCGCATGCCTTTAATCCCAGCACTCAGGAGGCAGAGGCAGGCGGATCTCTGTGAGTTCGAGGCCAGCCTAGTCCACAGAGCAAGTTCCAGGACAGCCTCCAAAACAATACAGAGAAACCCTATATTGGAAAAACCAAAGGGGGGAAAAAACAAAAGAAAAAAAACTGTTTAGTACAGGAACCCAGGCTTGGTGCAAACAAAAGTAGTCCTGAAAGCTTCTACCCATCTTCTTCCTTCCAAGATTGACTTGGATCTTCCTCTATCCAGACTCCCACCCTTCCTTCCCTTGAGGGTGGGGTGTCATGAAACAGTTTCCTCCTCTGATTGAAACATTCCATACTGCAGAGAAGCTCCTTAAACAGGAAGGTAAACAACACAAAATAGCTCCAGGAAGTCCCTGAAACTGACCAGATTCACTAGTCCTCTCCCTGCCGGAGTAAACAATAAAAGCTGGGAGTCACCCTTGGACCACAGAGAGCCAAGCTAGAAAAACTCTGAGAACAGACCAGCTGCCTAGAAGAAGCAGAAAACACCCCTGAGCTGTCTGGAAAAAGTTTAGACCAGTCACATGGAAAGGATACTTTCCAACCTCTTGGGCTGCCTGCAGGCTGTGCAGTATATTCCAGATTTCCTAGCTTTTGTAAACTATCACTCATGTTGTGGTAGGCCTTGATGATGCAGCTGTCTTTGAATCATTTCTGCTCCTGTGAGTAACCCCTCACCCACATCCACATCCTGTAAGTAACCCTAATAAAACTCGTTGGCTCACCAAGCGGATTTCCTACAATGGTGAGTAGAAGTATGTGTTGCAAATCCTCAGAATGAGTTCTGACACACATGAGGGATTCAGCTCTACCTCTATTCCACCATGGACATTGTCCAACTACTTTAGTACATGAGGTCTCTTTTCTTCTCTCAAATTCCATGACATGAATTATGATTTCTTACTAACAAGAGAGTGTTGTGGTTCGAATGAGGAATGTCCACCCTAGAGTCAGGTATTTGAACACTTGGTCTTCAGTTCATTGTCCTGTTGGGGAGAATCGATCGGGGAGTGTGAACTTGTTGGACAGAGTATGTCACTGGGTTATGCTATCTCACTCACCTTCCAGCTTGTTCTCTCTACTTAGTGTCCGCTGTGAAAGATGGAACTCCTGCCACTTGCTGTCACATCTGCCTGCCACGATGGACTCATCCCTCTGGAACTGTAAGCCTAAATAAACTCCCTTCTTAAGTTGCTTTTGGTCATAGTATTTTATTATAGCAACATAAAAGTAGCTAATACAAAAAGCATGAGTCCATCTCCTAAGAGATCAGCTTGTCACTCACAAAGTGCTCATGCTCATTTATAGAGCTGTAGTTCTACAACATTGGAGCCAGGTGAAATAAAACTTTAACTTAGGGCATTTGCGTGACCCTGGGGAACCACTCTGTCAGTATTAATTATCAGAGTTTTTGAAACATTTGGCACAGACAGCAGTTAGTGGAATAGGCTGTGTCTTAAATCACTTGGGAGGTGATTTGTCAAAACAGCTTATTTCCCTCCAGTGGTACCCATCCCCAAGCAGCACACACCACTCCTCCAGCCCTGAGGTAAATCATTCTGTTGACAGGCAAGTACAAGGGGAAGGGGTCAATCTGATCTTGTAACTGTAGGAGGTTGAGACTGTGCATCAGAAAGCTCAAACACAAGCATCATATTTTTGCCTGGAGTTGTGACCTAAGGGGCCAGGATTGTTTGCTTTCTCTATTTGTCTAGCCCTCAGCCACCTTAGCAGAACTGCAGATGAGAGCAAGGGCATGATGGCTTCCAGCAGCCTACAGCTTCACCTTACAGAAAGGGCCTGATGAGAACAGAAAACAAGGAGGGGCCTTGAAAAAGGAGGGGTGGAAAGCAGAGTCTGCCCCTTGCCTGGGGGTCCTCAAGTCTGCAAACGTATCTAGCTCACCTTCCCTTGGTGGCCGGCTGCCTTCTATGGTAAATAAGCAACTGCAGATAGTACAAGTAACTCTAAACACGAAGTAGATGTCCATGGTAGCCAAAATCTTGCTTCTGGCACTCTGAGCTTAGCCTCAGATTCCCAGAAATACTGGTTGACTCTCCCTGTGTCATTAGGTTGTGTAGAAATTTCCAAATACTGCCATGAATGGGACACAGGCTTGTATAATGCTGCCAGAGCCTCATCTTAAATGCCTGCTTCTTCTGTGGAATTGTGTTAACATGGATGGGGGTAGGGAAGATGGGAGAGGTGTACATTCCCATCTTCTCACTTATCTCCTAATGTCTCTTTCTTGATCCCTGGGCAGCTGTGAGACCACCTGTGGGAAGTGGCACCTCAGCCAGCCCTGCCTCCCCATGAGGGCTGTCTTGGCTGCTGCAAGGATGTGTGTGGGGAAAGGAAATGCATCTTTTGAGGGGATGCTTGTTTGAAGCTTGCAAATCATTTTCACTTGAAGGGCTGTGGCATTTTAGTGGTGTTCCCTAGTCAGGCAAGTAATTATATAGATCTTAGTAGCAGAAGCAACAATTAAACCCACATTTCACCTTCTACAGTCTTAGCATCCCTTGAAGAGATTCTCAACCTCTGCTTTTATTACTCCTCATCTAAGCAACACTACCATGGGCTGAACCAGCATGTTTCTAATAGGAATAAATACTTTCCATACTCCCGTACCTTGGCATAAGCTCAAAACAACAGCACCCAGAGCCTAGGAGTTAGCCTGACACTCCCCCCCTCCCTTAGGCAGATAGATAGGGAGCATGCTAGGTGGTGAATTCCCTCAACCTCCTGACTGGAGACAAAAGCATGGAAGGTTTTGTCTCCAGCCAACAGGCCCCCTACTGATGGACTGGCTCAATAAGTTAAGGCCAGATCAGGACCTGTCACACAACAACTGGTGACTATCAACTATCCTATCTGTCTTCAGGCTGACAAACCCAAAAGTAGGGGACTGATCCTTTTGAGACTTTAAAGCCCCCATCCCTGGGAAGAGAATGGAATTTTGGCTTCCCTGCCTCTACTTTGCAGAGGGTTTTTCTTGGTGTGTTTGTAGCAAGTATGTGTCCTCACCCCCAATAAATGTCTTCCTTCAACTGAGGATTCTCACTTGGGTATGTGAGCTTTCTCTTGCTGCTACCTGCTATGCTTCAGAATTTGCCTGGCAGAATTTGCCTGGACTGTATTAGCATCATCTTAGATGGACCCTGGTCTCTCCCCAAACAATGAAACCTTAACTGTGTTCCACCTCCTAAGGAAAATGCATTTCCCCACCTGCCCAACTCCAGTCGTTTGCTATGCTGATGTCTGAGGAAAAGTCAAAAATTTAGGAAAATGAAATGCATGCGAAAGTCATTTTCAGCCACAGACAGACAAATGCATAGTTGTTATAGCCAGTAATTTTGCAGGGTACTTCTCTTCGAGTGTTTATTGTGATGCTCTCTCTCTCATTCAGATGAGCCTCTCTTTCCAAGTGGGAGTCTCTGGAATGCTGGCTAAGTAGGCATTTTCTTGTCCAAGAGCTCCCACATCTAACTCTTTTTCCATCAGAAGCAAATGTAGAATCAAGCAGACAGCTTGCTACCCTTTCCTATTTTAATCTACGCATAAAATTGCCCACACTCTGAACAGCCACAACTTGTGGGACCTGCCCAAGTATTTTCTTTCTTTTTTCTCTTTCCAACACCCCTTGAAATGCATTCATCTTCCCTGCCTTAGCACTGTAGAGTTCATGACTCTTCTACTCACATAGTCACTTCAAAGACCCAAAAGAACTGGAATGTCCAGCCCTTGGACACAAATGCAACTCTGACCTCTCTTCACGCTCCTGACTGGATCAGGGGAAGTTCTTTTCTCTTTCTCCATTGTCTGCCGAGTTGCTGGCCAGTTTCTCACCCATCCAGGTTCAAAGCAAGGAGATAGGACTGCACTGTCCTTTTCTCTGTTCATGCGCAGTGGTCTCGTCTTCTTTCCAGGGGCTTCTTCATCTCCTCCTCACCCCTGTGCCCTCACTCTCCAGCTGGTTATCCCTCCCAGGTGGTCCCTCTCGGTTCCAGGAAATATCCCAACACCCTTTTCCTCACCAGATTTGAACAAAGTAAGTTGATTCAGTTCCCCAGGATACCTCATAAACTGCATATACAGGAAGCGCATGAGCACCTCAATTTGTGTTCATGTGAAGGCCCAGTCCTAGGCTTAGCATAGAAGTACGACTGATAGTTCTGAAGACATCTCTTCAAGATCTTCTTCTCTCAGACCTCATATTACTATTGTTATTGTTATTATTATTAATCTTTTGTACCTGGGGTGCTGGGACGTAACACAGCGTCCCACTTATGATAGGCAAGTTCTCCTGAGCTGCACCATCTATCCAGCATTTGCATCCATTGACTCTCTCTCTCTCTCTCTCTCTCTCTCTCTCTCTCTCTCTCTCTCTGTCTCTGTCTCTCTGTCTGTCTGTCTGTCTGTCTGTCTGTCTGTGTGGGGGGTGCACTTTTGCATGTGCACATATTCGGCAGGTGTTTCTGTTTCTGCATATGTATGTATGTATGTATGCATGCCTACATGTGTGGAGACCAGAGGTCAATGTAATGTCATGTGTGTCTATTTCTCTCCACCTTTATTTTATTTTATTGGTTTTTTGAGACAGGATTCCTCTGTAGCTTTGGAGCCCGTCCTGGAACTTGATCCATAGATCATGACGGCCTCATACTCACAGAGATCTGTCTGTCTCTGCCTCCAGAGTACTGAGATTAAAGGTGTGTGCCACCACTGCCCGGCCCCCTTTATTCTTTTTGAGAGAGGGTCTTCTGTTGAACCCCAAACCCTCCGATTGAGCTGGCCTGGCTAATCAATGAACTTCAGGGACCCTCCTGACTCTGCCTCTACCCTGACCCAGAGAACTAGGGTATAGGCATGCACCACTGTGTCTAGCCTTTTCCCTGGTTTCTGGGTTCTCATGTTTGCCAGGCAGGCACCTTGGCAACTGAATCATCTCCCCAATGCAATCCTCACATTCTTAGGGTGGCTGGTAGGTACGGAATTTACTGAAATGTCTTCAGATAGCGACCTTGAACTTTCTACTTGGAAGTTCTCAGAAAGTTTACCCTGGTGCACTTACTTCACCTACATGCACATTTTTGTGATTGAGTGCCAACTTCTGATTCCTTTTCCTCTTCTTTTCTAACAGAATTGAATGTGAGCTTTGGTCAACAAAATGCAGCATCCTCTAATCCTGTGGAAAACCCCTCTTCTGAGGTCACATGCTGCTGCTGGTCAACTATCTCAGGGCTGCTCAAATGCTGGCCATCCTCTTCTCTGCCAGCTTAATGTAGTCTGTTCCTCTCATGACCTGGTCTCCAGGTCCTTGTGTCCAGTCACCTTTCAGCAGATTCTCTGAAATGGCCCCTACTCTCTAAATAGGCGTCATTCAGAATTGAAGATGGAATGCCATGGACGCTGGGCTCCTCTGATCCTAGTGTCACTTGGAGGGAACAGGTTACGATGATTATGTACCTGCCTCTAATCTCAGCTCCCCTGTCTATTAGCTATTGGTCGATGGACAAGTACCTCACCCCTGTGTGCTTCTGTCTCACTTGTTAAATGGGCACAAGGACAATTATCTTCCCACCTCCTGGGTTTGTTACAGATGGTGCAGTGAAAGATTAACAGGCCTATTATCCTGACATATAATGTGCCCCACACAAATGGGTGTGAGGAACAGCATGCCCTTACCAAGGAAATTCAGTCTCTTCTCTAGACCTCGCTGAGCTACACGACAGAAACCCTGGGATGTCTTTCACAGGAATGTAGCTCAGCACAGAGGCACAATCCTGCTATCTCATCTCTTGTCCTCTCTTTCTGCCCCCTCCCCCTGCACGCACACACACACACACACACACACACACACACACACACACACACACACACACACACCTCTTTGAGACAGGTCTCACTGGCTGACCTCAAACATATCCTCTTACTTCAGTTTCCCATGCAGCAGAGTTTACAGTCTTGTGAAACTACTCTGACTGCCCATGGGACAGGGAGGGGGGCACCCATACATGTATGTATGTGCATGCTTGTGGAAAAGCAAGAAACTGGTGTCAAGCATTGCCCTCCATTTCTCTCCAGCTTGCTTTTTGACACGGGATCTTTCTCAAGTCAGAAAGAAGCTCATTAATTCAGAAAGACTAGCTGGTCAACAAGCCCCAGGGACCCTCCTGTCTCCACCCCTGTAACATCACGACTACACAGGACCTTTGTTAAAATGTGGGTGCTGGGGATCCAAATTCAGTTCCCATGCCTTATCTGCCAAGTAGTCTACTAACCACCTGTGTGCAATGCCCAGGGAGGCCAGGAGATGCATTGGATCCGGCGTTATAGACATTGTGATCATCAGGAATTGAACCCAGGCCCTCTGGAAGAGCAGCCAGCGCCCCCCCCCCAACACGGAGCCTTCTCTCCAGTTCCCTTTCCTCTATTTTAAAATTGTCTCTGACCTTCAGTGCAGAGCTACAGCTTCAACCTGACCGTGAACTCAAAATTCTAGGATTAGTACCTTTTCAGACACATTTCTCCTCAGATCTGTAATTATTGCAACTTTAGTCAGTGCCTCCCACCACCATACCTCCCTGTCCCAGTAAGTTACACCAAGGAGAAGGCACACAGATAAAGCTCTACTCATTTTAAATACTGTCTATGTCCCATCCTTTGATGTAGCAGGAGATTGCCTTCCCTGCCTCTGCAAAGCCAGGTACACTTTATATCGTCTGTGTGTATGTGTGTGTGTGTTGTGTGTGTGTGTGTGCATGCACATGTAAGAGTCAGTGACTCCAATGTATCTGTAGGTTCTCTGATATAAAACGGAAATAATAGTCACCATAGCCAGGTGGTGGTGGTGGCGCACGCCTTTAATCCCAGCACTTGGGAGGCAGAGCCAGGCGGATCTCTGTGAGTTCGAGGCCAGGCTGGACCGACAGCCTCCAAAACAATACAGAGAAACCCTGTCTCGTAAAACCAATAATAATAATAATGATGATGATAGTCACCATAGCCTAAGGACTAAAGGAACCACATGAAGAAGCAAGCACCTCAGCAAGAGATTGTCACCTGCAGACCTTACAAATCCAAAAACAAACAAACAAACCAGAGAATTCAAAAGTGGATTCAGAGTGGTGAGATGTCCCAGCATCTGCCAGCCAATAGAAACCAGGAGAATGTGAAGATGATGTCATTTGCAAAGCAAAAGACAACCCCAAGTAAGCACAGGCAGCTGCCCAGGGGCAGGCTAGGAGCAGCCCTGGCTAAGGAGGTAGCAACAGCAGGATATAAATGTATGCACATCAACGCTCACTCTCACAATAAGTGCTGATGTTTTCTCCTCCCTTCTATTGAGTTTCATGTTTCCTTTTTTAAAAATTTGTTTTATTTTTTTCTTCCTTTTTTAATTTAAGTTAGAAACAAGCTTGTTTCACATGTCAATCCCAGCTCCCTCTTCCTCCCCTCCTCCCCATCCCTCCCCACCAGGCCTCCCAGCCCCCCACCCAATCTCCACTCTGATCCCCGGGGAGGGTGAGGCCCTCCATGGTGGATCTCCAGAGGAGTTTAATGTTTTCAAAAGGCTGGTAGCTACCTACTAGGCTAGCATCATTACCCTAATGAGTCACAACTCACATTTGTAAAATCGCGGAGAAGGCACACCCCCACCCACAGCCCAGTTTGCAATAAATTGCCTCTGGGAATGCTTTCCTGGGTGGTCTTGAGCTGTCTTTTACAAGAACTTGCTTTGGGAGGCGATGTTTCTGTCTACTGAAAAGTCTCCAGCTCTCCTGCCTCGCACCTGTACAAAGGTGACTCCAAAATGCTTTCACGGCTCTGGGGCACCAGGCAGCTAAGCTGCAAACAATGAGTCCCTTTCGACTTCAAGATCTCCCCAAGCAGCTTGGGGCCCAACCCCTACCTGGTCGATATCACCTCCCTGCTATAAACACTGCACCAAGAGCAGTGGACCTTCCCTGGATCCTTGCAGCCCAGGCGGTTCTCTTGTGCCTGTTTTTGCTGCTGTACTCCTAGCCAGGAATCACAGCTTTAGTTTCCAGAGCTCCCTCTGGCCCACTGTTAACCGGTAGAGTCATGTTGGGAAACCGACTTTGCTCTCTCATTTCATTTTCGCCCGCGAGGTGGAAATATTGCTACTTACCCGGGGGAGGAGGCAGTTCGTAAGGATTAATTTGTGTGTGGCAGTCCCTTCGTCTTCCCTGGAGCTACAGGAGCACTTTCTTCCAAGCCGCTTGCTCTCAAAACATTCCCGATTGCTTCATCGTCGCCGGATTAAGCCGAGTACAATATCCGGTGCTCCGTGTCATCTAAAGTGCCCTGGAAACCGAAGCTTCTGAACAGTCTCTTGTCGCACTTGCTCTCAGAAGGCCTTCCTCACTTCGCTACCCAGAACAGGACAGAGGAGAATACAGGAGGGAGTTGCGATTGCGACTTCACCAGTAAGGTGACACAAGACCCGTTCTCCAATCTGACCAAACCTGTTAACAGCAGGGTTAGTCCTGAAAAACGGATTCACACTGCAAGGGGTACGCATCTGGGGACCACGCCCTTGGTCTGGAGGCGCGCTGCTGAGGCTCTGGCGGAGGGAAAGTTTCTCACCTGCCGGAGAGGGTGTGGCCGGGTCGTGGTGCCCAGTGCGCTCACAGCACTAGGAGCTGTAGCTAGAGTTTCCTGACCCCCTCGGTCCGGAAATGCTGACCTCAGCAGCCTGACTGGCTTTGAACTTGGGAGCCCTTCAAGATGCCCTCAAGCTGCTCTCGGAACCCTCCAAACCCGGATGGCTCTTCCCAGTCCTCCCCATCTTCACCCACTCCGTTCCCCATCTTTACCCACTCCAATCCGGGGGCAGACTGAAAGGCACCCAGATCCCAGGCTAGCCCCGTACCCTGTCCTGCCCCGGGTTACCGCAGACTCTGCAGTGTCCGACTCCTTCAATGCCCAAGCCTCACCACCTTAGCTGGCCACAGCTGTGCGAGTCGCTCCCTGTGCCGCTTTGTGGAGGAGACACAAGCTCGCGACCTAGTGGTGAAGGCAGCTTTGGGCACAGAGGCTGGGGCTGAGCTCTTGAGACACCTCCCCAGCGCCCCAGGGCACCAGAGGATTTCGTGAGTGTGGGTAAAAACCTGCATTGAGCAAAGGAAAGAGGGAAAAAGCGATAGCCAGGGATACTTGGCCCTCTCTGGCTGTGTGGTGAGTATCTCAGATCAAGTTTGGGTACCAGGCTCTCCTGAACTGAACAAGAGGAAATGGGCCTGCTTGAACAAGCGGCCAGTTATTCTCAGCCCTGGGTTCAAGTTCAGCGAGGCTAGAGCCCTCCATAAGGCACTGCTTAAGTTACTATCTTGGTGTTTGAGTGTCTTCCCCCAACCTAAGGGTAGAGATGCCGAAGGGCATCAAACATCCTCCAGACTGATCCTGGAGAGCTACCAGTGGGCCGAGAGCAGGCTCAAGTTAGCAGTCGTGACTCTCTTCTGCATGCATTTGTATTTGTTAATCCAATCTGTATTGGGTGCCAAACACCAGCTTTGTAGAGCATCTGTCTAGTAAAGAGACGGGCAGTAAATGTTACCAGTAAATACAACTCAAGGTATGTGAATAAAGTGTTGTGAACAAAAATACAAAGCAGAAAAAAAGACAATGGGAGTGGGGTGGGGGATGGGGTCAGAACTGGCCTTATTGGGTAACACAAGGACATGAGAGAGCAGCCAGGCTTGTATCTGGGGAAAGAACACTGACTATGATCCAGGCTCTAACACGTCCTTTAGCATATACTTTTTTTTGCCAATCCCAAGTGCCACATGAGAAAGATTGCATGGCCACGCCGGTTTTACAGATAAGAAAGTAAACTGGGTGGTGGTAGCACACACCTTTAATCCCAACCAGCCTGGTCTGCAGAGCAAGTTCCTGGACAGTCTGTGCCGTCTTGGCTCTCTGGCAATGGTCTAAGTCAACATGATGGTTCCAGAAAATGATTCCTGGAAATGACATCTGATTCATGGATTTAAAAATAGTTTCATTATCACACGTAAAATGAAATATTTTGAAAACCATTTTTATAGCATTGGCAAGCAGCTTGATTCTAACGATACAATTTAATATCTATGGTGAGAATTGTCACTGGTTCCCAAGACTGTAGATCGACTCATTCTTTTTGTAGAGTTCAGTTTGTGGGGATGTGATCCATCACCCATACAGTGGTACCTCTGTCACTGTCAGGGCCTGGTGACACTGCAAAGAGCAGCAGCAGAACTGCCACCGTTGAGTGCCAACTACCAAACAGGCCAATATCCACCTTAGCTGTGGACAGCAGAAGCTCTTTTACCTAGGGGTTCACATGATGGACAATCAAGGAACACTGTGCTTGGGAACAAAGGCAGATGGCCAACCATCAGCTTCAGAAGCCAAAACTGTAGGCTTTTACCTAGGGGTTCACAGGATGGACAGTCAAGGAACACTGTGCTTGGGAACAAAGGCAGATGGCCAACCATCAGCTTCAGAAGCCAAAACTGTAGGCTTTTACCTAGGGGTTCACAGGATGGACAGTCAAGGAACACTGTGCTTGGGAACAAAGGCAGATGGCCAACCATCAGCTTCAGAAGCCAAAACTGTAGGCTCCCAGAGAGCAACGGTATCAGGAGGGTAATGAAGCTCACGTGTCCTCTCAGGTATCCGCACCTGTCCCTGGTGGCCCCTTCTTTCCTCCCGAGTTACTAACATCTTTCTGCCTTCCCTATAGATCCCTCCCGAGCACCTCTTCTCCTGGAGAGCCTCATCCATGCAGGAGAAGCACAGGTGTGTGCCGGTGCCTGTGTGGTTGCAGTTTCACGCATGGCACAGTGACTATGTGGAAGTGAAGGGACAGCCTCAGGCATCTGTCCTTACCTTCTACGTTGTTGAAGACAGGATCTTTCACTGTTCACTGGTCCAGGGGCTGGCATGGTGTACTGTCTTACTGTAGGGGCAGAATTACAGACACACGCTGCTGGATCCAAACTCAGGTCCTCAGGCCTGCACAGCAAGAACTTTAGCGAGAGCCATCTTCCCAGAACGATCAATGGCCTCTTAACCTAAAAGTTGAGACCTCTCTTATAGCACTTCTCCCTTTCTACTCTAGAGATCAGCAGGCTTACCCTAACCCCTCCCAGAGGCCTGTTCCATATTTCTCTACAAGATCACATTTTGCATCCAGTGGGCATTTAAGAGGTGTATTTTTGTTACAGGTAATAAAAGGGTGCAGATTCACTTGTCTTTTTAGTTTGTAATTTCACTTCAAAAATGACTAGTGACAAGACATAGTTACATATATCTATAGATGTTGTCCATCAATAAGCACTGACATCAGTTTGTCCTGAGGTAAATTCTGTTTGTCCCATTCCGAGATCAGAAAACTAAGACTTGAGAGTCATTTTCCTAAGCTCAGGATTCTAGTCAGTAGCACAGCTGGGATTCACACTCAAAATGTAGAAATTACCTTCACCAGGAACTCATACTTCCTCTCCTTCAATCATTCATTCGTTTGTTCTTTCTACAGATATTTACAATTATTTGCCTCAGTCCTGTAACAGCTGCTGGGAAAATTGCAATGATTAATGCATAGATCTTACCCTCAAAAATCTAATAAAAGAGAAAGATGAGCAAGGAAGTAATCAAAACCCAGTATTGTGAACTTCACAAAAGAGGCTCATGGAGAGACAGCCGAAAGGAACACTTTGTTTCCCCCACAGTTCTTAGAAAGGGGAGCTGACAGTAAAGAAGACAGAATCATAAGAATTATAGAAGTCTACTGCCGTGACACTGAAGGAAATTACACAGAAGTCAGAGGAGGAGCAAACGTAAAACCACAAAGGCTGGATGAGTGAGATAAACTGGGAGCTTGGCTTTGATTACTGGGGATGGGGTGGGGGTGGGAGACGGGGGTAGTGGGCAGGGGATGTGGGGCTCTTGAGATAAATAGCAGATGAGCCTGGCCAGGCTAGCTGCACCAGATCACAAAGGTCTAGGAAATACTTTCAGGGACTATGTTATCCTTGAACGTGTATGAAAAGTTGTTATACTCTTTCCTAGTCCGTGTTCTATTGTTGTGTAGAGACACATGACCATGGCAACTCTTACAGAGGAAAACATTTCATTGGAACTGGCTTACAGTCCAGAGGTTCAGTCCATTATCATCATGGCAGGAAGCATGGTGGCGTGCGGGCAGACATGGTTCTGGAGACGTAGCTCTACATCTGGATTGGCAGCCAGCAGGAAAAGAATTGCCACACTGATCCTGACTTGATCATCGGAGACCTCAAAACCTGCCCCCAGTGACACACTTCCTCCAACAAAGTCTCACCTACTGTAACAAGGCCACACCTTCTAAGAGTGTCACTCCCTATGGACCTATGGTGGCCATTTTTATTCAGACAACCACAGTGTGCATTTCATCTTCTCAGAGGAGAAGTTTCATGGTTTTAATCAAATTTTCAAAAAGGGACATCAGCTTCCTCTCTCTGATCTGTGGACCAAAGAACTGCACCATCAGTCAGAATATACAGGACACTGTCTAAGTTTAAAACCCAGGAGAAGGCCGGGCGGTGGTGGCACACACCTTTAATCCCAGCACTCAGGAGGCAGAGGCAAGTGGATCTCTGTGAGTTCAAGGCTGGGCTGGACCGATAGCCTCCAAAACAATACAGAGAAACCCTGTCTCGTAAAAAACCAAAAAAAAAAAAAAAAAAAAAAAAACCAAAAAAGAAAAAGTGACTGAGGTGCCTACCTAATATATCCCTCAGTCCCTACCTGTTATAGGGTATGACTGGCATACCCTGAACTCTCCAGCCCAGGGGCTGGGCCACCCCTCCCCCAGAGGCTCTTCCCTATATAACCCAGACATTTTGGTTACCTACCCTCTTTTGGACCATTGGCCTCCTGGCTGCTGCACCTGGCTCCCCTCTCTCCTTCCTGCTCTCCCCCTTCCCCTCTCTCCTACCCCCACATGGCTCAGCTCAGTTTGGTCATGTCCACTCTGGACTCTCCCAGAGGTCCCTGCCTCTGACTATGTTCTCCCTTTTATCTACAATGAACTTTCTCCTCTACCATACTTAGGAGCGGTCATGACCTTTCCTATTGAAAGACCCCTACCCAGGACCCCCTAGGAAAAGAAAAGCAAGACCAGGCCGTTGCCTAATGAAAAAACCCAGACCAGGTGCCTCGCCCAGCTGGCAGGATGTCAAACAGGATCTGTGGTCACCAGAGCAGTCATGGGACCCAGATAATAATTGCTGAAGCGTGCCAGGGTCTTTTATGTGGCAATACCAGGACACATAGTCCTTGGCAACTACCCCTGCCCCCAGTTGTGTCTATGATCACCATAGGAGTCATGGGACCCGGATAATAATTGCTGAAGCGTGCCGGGGTCTTTCATAAAGTAATACCAGGAAACTTAGTCCGTGGGAACTACCCCTGCCCCCAAGATGAGCCAATGAAATGCCTGTTACTTATGTAACCATTAAAACTGTATAAATATTGTGCTCCCTGCAAGCCCGGTATGCTCTGCACCCGAGTTGCAGCAGCATCCGCAGGCGCCTGTGTACTCAATAAATCACCTCTTGCATTTGCAGCCAGTGGTCTGGCCCCAGTTCTTGGGCAGAGGGTTCGGTTCAGTGCCCGGCGCTTTGATGCCGAGGTCTTTCACTATCCTTTTTATTTTTTTTTTCATTCAGAAATCCTAGATTTTGGAAGAGCACAAGACTCAGCCCTGCCAGATGCCTCCAAACATGAAGCTGTACTGCCTGCCACTCCTGGACAAGAATGGTCGGACCCTCCAATACCTCATCAGTCAAGGGTGGAGGCTGGCAGGCTGTAGCACAAATAATAAAAACCTAGAGACAGATGTTGGAGTTCAAGCTGAAGATCAGAAAAGCAAAGCAGCCAACCACCAGAGAGTTCTTACTTCTACCAAGGCTGGGGGATCCTGTCCTCAGAGTGACTGAAGTCTGAATACCCAGCGAATACCCTGAGCTCCTGTCTTATATTCCTCTCTAGTGCTGGGATTAAAGGCGTGCACCGCCAGTGCCTGGCCTCTATGGCTGTGGCTAGCTTTGCATTCTGATCTTTGGGCAAGCTTTATTAGATCATAAACAAACTATCACCACAGCAGGTATAGAGTTATGGAGCTGATGGCCAAAATCATGTCATAGAAAGGGAGCGGGATGTAGGACCACAGTCTGCTGAGACACTGAGCCTCCATCTGACTTCACTAACTGCTAGGTTATGTATGCCCCGAGTCATATGTCCTGATCCCTAGTTACTTTGAAGTATTTGTAAATGGGCCTCTAAAGATGCTATTAAGTTAAATGAGGTCATGTTGGGTAAGTCTTGATCTGTACGACCAGTGTTCTTATGGGAAGAACACATTAATACACAGAGAAACAGTGGGTGCTTATGAGTGTAGAAGGGTGACCCTCTGACAAGAAGAGAGTAGTCATCTGCAAGTCAAAAGGAGAGATCTGGAACAAGTCTGTGGCCCTCTGAGGAAACTTCCAGTCTCTGTGAGGAGATACATTTCTGTTATTAAAGTTATCCAGACTGTGGTATTTTGTTATGCTCAGGTCCAGTATACCAATGGACAGAACACCAATTCAAAACTCAAAGATAACGTCTTTATGAAACTTAACCTGATAGCCAAATAGCTTTAGATCCCAAGGGATTGACCTGTGTTGGGTGGAGTCCTCTACCACCCTGCTGCTCACATGCCCCTGAAAGCCAGTGGTAGGAATATAGGAATGGAAATCTGAACACAATTTGGGATGCAGGAGTGCAGAGATGGAGTAGCTGAAGCAAGGCATTAGTGACACTGATCCCTGGAAATAGAAGTGAAGAAAGGGCTCATGCCAGAAAGAGTAGTTACGGAAACTGGAGGTGAACAAGAAGGGGTAGAGTGTATGGGGAAAGGGGTAACAATGCCTAAGGCCAAGACTACATGATAAAGATCATAGCCCGTGAGCCTTAGCTGTGTGGTCATGGGATGGAAACTGGGGCCAGACTGCTGCTGGTGGCCATATGATCGTGGTGTGCCCTTACAAGGAAACTGAGAAGAAAGAAGAGGGTGGAGCCGGGCGTTGGTGGCGCACGCCTTTAATCCCAGCACTCGGAAGGCAGAGGCATGCGAATCTCTGTGAGTTCAAGACCAGCCTGGACTACCAAGCGAGTTCCAGGACAGCCTCCAAAGTCACAGAGAAACCCTGTCTCGAAAAACCAAAAAAAAAAAAAAAAAAAAAAAAAAGAAGAGGGTGGAACCATAGGAAAGCCATGGGACAAGGGGGCTGGTCACCAAGGCTAAGTCATCTTACTGGAAGGACCAATGGCAGGTCTTCCAATAAGGACACCATTGGCTTAGCCTTGGTATATGGCCATAGCTGGAGTTCTTTGTGTTTGTTGGTCCATTACTTTAATAGCCATTCTCTCTGAACCTGATGGGACACATGCCGACTGCACATCCAACAGGGTAAGTAAATGAATGGGATGCACAATGTCAGGTTGCATTGCTCTTATTTAGCATTTACTCATTTTTTCTTTTCAGATTAGATTCTCAACCTTCCTAATGGTTCGACCCTTTAATACAGTTCCTCATGTCATAGTGACCCCAAATCATGAAATTACTTTCATTGCTATTTCTTCATAACTGCAAATTTTTATTGGGCAGTGTCTCAGTTCCTGAGACTATCAGAAATATATGTTTTCTGGTGGTCATGTCCCACTTGTTGAGAACCACTGGATTAGAGACAAACATTTTTAAAGGTGAAGGGCATGTCTTCCCAAAGGAAGAAAGAACTCAAAGACAGAGTCAAGGGAGAAAACAACTGATGGAAATGAATAAGAAAACATATCAGGAGAATGCTATAGGAAGAATTGAGCATCCACTCATTTACTCTTTTAATGGTGGGTGTTACACATTGCCCTTCTGGAGATAAGGAACTTTCCAAAGAGATGAGGCAGATATGAAAGAAAGCATTTGGTCTGTTCCTTTCTGCTTTCTTAAGATAATACCATCTATTGAGAACTGTTTCATGAAAAAACAATAAGAATAAAAACTAGAAAGAAAGCATATCAGGGATGTACCCAATCATCTAAGTAAACAAGAACACTTTGGAGACAGAATGAACCTGGAGAAAACCCAGAGGCATCACTGCAGAGGTAGGCAGAAGATAAGGAAAACAGTAGGGAGGAAATGGGAGGAAATGTCCCTGGCCTGCTAGCAGGGGACACTGGCAGCTCTTAGGATGCCAGAAGCAGGGGCTCATTGTTGGCTGGAGACTTGAGGTGGCACAGTTTATTTTCAGAATGATTAGGACCTGTGTCAGCCAGCCCAGAAGGAATCAGTAAAACCAGAGCTGTCTCTGAGGATACACTGCGAATATTTAATGTGTCTGGCCTGGGGAACCTGACTGCATCCCAATGCGGTCAACAGTAAGGCAAGAACCAGTGGGTGAGACAGAGAAACTGCTATGGGACTCAGATCTTAGAATGCCTAAAATGATATATTTGCTGCTCTAATTTGGCTGTTTTCTTTCCAAAATTGGATAATCCATCACCTAGCTAAACCTAAGGCAGAAACACATATCTGCATATGCTGCCAGTAAAAGTCACCTAAGGGAACAAGGACAGTTTCCCCTGTCACTGGAGTTTCAGAAACCAAGCAAGACAGTAAGCATTCCAGAAGCCCAAGCTAGACTGTGAGAAGCATAGGCTTAGTATCCTCCTGCCAATCAGGACTTCTCCCACCCTCTTCCTGCAGTAGTTCCCAGCCTTCCCCAGCTAATTTGAAGGTTACTGCTTATTATAATACCTTTCTTACTTTTTTTTGTCATAAATTGGGTTTAATTTGCTTTGTCTTAGTTT